TATGGGGAGCTTGAATGCACTCCCACTGACTTGTGAAGCAGCATCTGTCACACTAACCCCGTTCGTCTTATTCCTCTCTCTCGTTGTGTGTAAAAAAACAGAGAATAACAGAGGTGTAAAAGTTTAAGGGCGAGTGTTTCTCATTCCTGCCAAAGTCTATCAAAGCCCCCCTGAAAACTGAGGAAATAATAGCTTAATTGTATTTTATGATGACTCCATGTACCCTATAACTTTCAGAAGCTTGGCTTTTACAGAGAGCGGTGAATTTGTGAGTGTTGTAAGCTTGTTGGATTTCCATTGGGTAATAACCAGTAAGTAATTAAGTAAGTAATCCCCATTAAACACTATTTCTGTTTGTTTTCCATCTTGTGTAAAAAGTATTTCACCTCAACTGAACAGGATTAAAGTAACATTTCAATTGATTGAGCTTCTCACTCCAGTATTTGTAACAAAGATAAAAAGTCATATGAGGTTTTGACAAATAAATCTAGTATGTGCGTCTAAATTTAACAGAGTAGAATACATTGATGGTAGTAGGTAAGGAGTGCGGAGTCCCTTTATTTTAGCTGCGAAGACATTGTTTGAAACACTGTTGATTAATATTCAGATGAAGTGGTTCTGAGACTTGGCTGGAAGAGTGTTGCTCCGCCGTACCGGTCACTAGCTAACATTACAAAACCATTGTTTAGCTTTGCAGATAAATTGTCAATATGTTTGCATGAACAGCTAAGTGGAGCTATGGTCGTAGCTCGGTTAAGAGAGAAGCATGTCTGCAACCACAACGGTAGACGCCCTATTTATGCTTGTTGTATGGGATCGTTTCACGGTTGACCAACTAAATTGTATACCAAATGATCAACAAGCATGTTGGCAAGTTTTTTTTTTTTTACATACTTTTGTCTGCCATTAAGGTTTTGCTTACTACCTGCCTATGTTATTTGACTTTTCAGGTTGAAGCCCAATGTGCAAACTCAGAACACTTATGCCTGTTTTAGTCCAATTGAGCCGTAAGCATGGACGAGAAAACCAACCCTCAACCGCATGATCTTGGTGTCTTTGTCTGATTATAAGAAGTTAGATTTAGTGTGATTTCAGTCAGACCAACTTGTTAACAAGTCCAGTTAAAAAGTCCAGGTTTAGTCTAAGACAGGTAATTTTTTTTTTTTTTTTTTGAACTGCATGTACCAGTGTTGACTGATTTTGTCCTTTCCCACAGTTAAAAATGAAGTGAAAATACTGCTGGTATGGGCTCTGACATCTTGCACTGTTGATACATATTAAGAGCAAAGGTGTATCCAGAGGTTATCTGGTTAGTGGAGCAAACTGGTAAACTTGCAAAGATTTCTCAGGTTGGTACAGTCAGCAATTCAAATTGTTGACCTGATTTAAAGAGGACTCCTTGCTCTGAGTTAATTCATATTGACATTATTATGTTACGAACCATCATAAGAAATTGTGTAAGATTTTCCAGAGGCAGATATTTAATTGTTAGTTTCATACTGTAATGAATCTCCTGAACTTGGTACAGAAATTTTTAGGACACATGCTGGGACTGAAGTTTTAATAAGCAGAGTACTGAGTTATTCAACACAGGTGTTTTAGTGTAAACTGCCAACATCCCACTTCTTTAAAATCCTGAGTCACAAACCAAAGAGACTGATTGGCCAAATAAATATCAGTTTGGAAGATTGTTGCTCTTGAAGACGAGACAAAGAAAAGAAGCTCCTGCTCCATAGCTCTATAGCAATAACGGGAAATTTTCACATCATCTGTCAGCTATTCTCACTGCAGCAGCTTGTTAGGAGTCAAAAAAACAAAGCTCAACCTTGTTCGGCGAAATCAAGTGTTTAATAAATTGTGTGTCCTGATGTAGGGCTGCTCCCCGGAGTTCGCTCTCTATTATCGTGTTTCAGTTTGAAGCTGTTTTTGATGGATTTCTGCGAGAGAAAAGAACAAAGGATCCACCTGCTGATTTAATATGAATAAACCTGCATTAGTGCAGAAGTAATATCGCTCGGACAGGCATTAAAATATTGCCTGTCTGATAAAATATTGGGTTTTCTCTTTCTTGGAGAGAAAACTACTTTTTCTTCTTGCTTGAGCTGCACATGTACCCTGTCAAGAGTTTTATTGGTGCAGCTTAAGTCTCTTGTTTTTCTTACTGCAGTGGGCATCAATCATAAACTGCGGTCACTCTGTCATAGCTTGAAGATGGATCATCTGTCCTTCCCTCGTTGCATTCCTGCATGCAAAAGCAGCCTGATGCTTGACAGTGAATTTGTTTTCTGCTTAATGTCAGTGTCTTGTCAAATTGCTTGTTCTCATGAAGTTCAGCCAACCCTTTGGTTCAGTGCATTGACATGAGGACAGATGAGACACCTTACATCTATTCTGATGACAGAATAAGTAAGACTACAGACAGTGAACTGAGCTTAGTGCTGCTTTTAATTGAAACAGCTCGCTATTGGTGGTGTTTTATGAAAGGAAACCAGATTTCCTCAGGGCAACAACAATTTCTGTCTTCATAACTGAACCACCGCTGAGAAAAATGCTTTTAAACAAGCTCTCGTAAAAAAATGTTGGACTTGAAAGCACAACATGCCCAGGTAATAATTCATTGAGTACAAAAGGTGAAAAAGGTTATGAAAAACATTGAAAAAAACAACAACAAAGTGCAAAAACTGCAGCCTCCTCGGATCATATTGGAGGTATAACGGCAAAAGTCAAGATTTACATCAAAGTTGGCTTGAAATAAAAGGACTTTGCAGTGTTTGTTTTACAACCGACTGCATAAATATGCTTTGCAAGACAGAGTTTTATATATTTGAATGCAGAATTTAAATTGGATGAAATGTTTACATTGATCCCAAACAACTTCTCTCCGTTTCCTCAGCGCCTGCTTTGATTTCAGGTTAAAGGGGGAAAATTCTACTTTCTGATTTAGAAGATAATTTATTACAGTTGATTGCTGATGTATCCAGTTCCAATTTCATGCGTATGAAAACGAACAGAGAACATTCCTCTGTCTCCCTGCTGTATAAACTGAAAACTGGATGGTGCCTTCTCTGTGAACTTGCCTACCTTGGACCTGATCCACGCTTGTGTTACATACCGTACACGCTGTCAGCACAGCATCATTACAAGCAGACAAACTCTGCCTTCATATGCCCTGATATCAAACAGGTCTTCTCGACACCTCCATCAGCTGTGCATTAAAATAACATATTTATATATTTTTTTAAAACCCAGCAAGGATGAAACTCTGAAACCAAACTAAGTGCAACCACATATTTATTGTGCATCCCAGGAGCTCTGTAGTCATCATTGTGGACACTGAGGTTTCACCCTTTATGCTTTTAGAACAATAGTTGAAAAGTTTTAATCATTTCCTTCATGATTACGGTTTCCCTCAATTTTTAGGACTTCATAAGTGGGATAAAATATCAGAGAACTTATTGTTAACAACTACCTGAAATAAAATCAAACAGCTAAATTCAAGACTCTTGAACTCATGGCTTTAGTATTTCTTAATAACCTGATTCCTGGCCACTGAGAGACAAAGGCTGAAGTCAAGTTCTCTCTTTATTTTAGACCAAAAACATTTGTTCAACCTCCAGGCCACTTCGAACATGCTCAACACCACTTTTCTTTTCCAAGTCTCATGATGCCTTTGACCTTTACTATTCAGAAAATAATCAAATTGCCAAGAGCAGTCAATCAGGCAATGAAGGGCTTAAACCAGGATCACGGATCGTATTCAGCTCAGTCATTATGATATTATCCTGACAGAAACTGTGTTGCACCCTCTTCTGGGTGAGACGGAAAATAGCAACATAAAATTTGCATAAAGTTTCTTGTCTGCTGTGTTGAATCGTTATAATTTAGGCTTTAACAAAGAAACCTTGACTTGCAATATTTCTATGTTAGTAGTTTAACACAAAAAAAACTTAATATTTAGACTCTGTAGTTTCTCAAGCAAGTCCAAACTTCCCCCACCTAATTAATCAATCATGAACATAAAGTTAATACCTTGAACATGTGTATAAAAGACACATGTGCAAAAGAAACAAGATAGAGGGGACAAAAAAAATCTAAATTCAATCACAGACAATTAACAATACAATAAAGATATTGAGAGTAATGTTTGCATTAATTTTCCATTATTTTTGGGGCTCTCATATTAGGTAAAGGGAACTGATAAATATAGGTTAGTGAGTATATTGCCTAGAATTAGAATAAAGTGCACCAAAAACTTATTTCTATAGTTGTCTATTGCAAATCCATAAGTAATGACCTTTCTGAAAAATTGCTCAAGCTAAAAATTTTTTAGAGATAAGTCAGGCGTATGCATCCTGCCAGACAGCTTTGCAGGCTTCATACAGTGCAGAAAATAAATGTTTCAATATAAACATTTACTGTTAGTCTCAAAACCAAATCACTAAGGCAACAAGTCACTGGATGGATACACTCTGTTAAAATCTTATAACAAATTTGTTTTGCGATGCTGGCTACAGGGAAAGTCAAGTAGGCCTATTTAGTTTGTTATAGAGGCCTATGAAGTAAACTTTTGAAAAGACTTGGGACATAAAGTTCCTGTGAAATTTTATGGGGTTTGAGATGTATACTATAGAACTAATTTCTTGGTGTTTTGTTAGGATTTTGACTATCGGCCACTGAGGTATGGCTTTGGTCATGGTTTTAAAGTGGTTTAGTATTGCTAAAATAACCATATTTAAGAAAAATATCCTCGTTCAGTCGTCCCCATTTAGTGACCCGGTGTCCACATATCATCATTTAATCTGTGTTGTCATAATTAAAATCGTATTCAGCCCCATTTAGATTCTTCCAAAGTCACTCAACCCTTGATTTCATGGTAGTAAAATCGAAGTCAGCCATTTTTAAACCCTCATGTCGCAAATTTATCACAATTTGACTACAAACTGCCAAGCTCTGTTTCGACTTACTTCGGCTCACTTCGGCTTACTTCGCTGTCGCTCTTTTGATGACGTCCTTCCTGCTGCACCGTGTCAACACGTGTGTGGTGTACTCTTGAGAGCTGAAGGGGGAAAAACAGCGACTAAACTTCAGCTGTCAACACACCGGAGTGTCGTTTTTCTGGTTTACCCGGGGAAGGCTTCGCCGACTAAGCCGCCAAAATGGTGAAGCCTCGTTTCAAGGGGAAAAGCTCCATAAACCCCTCATCGTCCAGCAGCAACCCCGGTGAGCTAACATCCATGAGCAGCGACGGCGTTTGTTTACAGCTAATGCTAACTGCGGCTAACAGGACACTTTTATACCCCGAAATAAGCGTATAGCTTCCTAATTTATTTATCTTTCAACCTATCCAAGTTTTACTGATCTGATTAATGCTGATGCTGAATGCTGATTAAAGCAGATCTGTGTCATTGTTATTAAAGATAACTAAAAAAAAATGTAGGGGAGAGTGGTGTAAGTTGAGCCACCCCCTGTTTCTTGGAAATGTTAAAAGAAATTGATCATGTGACCAAATATTTAGGAGATGGGCATCAATTCATGGAATCTGTGAAGGTTAGAGGCACATGGGTGAAGGGGTTAGACCAGGGGTGTCAAACTCAACCACAGCAAAGGTCATAATCTGGATTTAGGTCTAACCTGAGGGCCAGAGTCAACATTTCACCCAAACTGTCAACTTCCTTTTCAAAAAATATGTAAAACAAAAACAGCAATGATTATAAACCATTTGGAAATTCAGAGATAAAAGATAAGTTTGAAGGCAATCTGAGATAGAGAAAAATATTTTATTTTTTATTCTTTTTTTATTTATTAGTTCAAAAGATCAGAGCATCATAATAAAAACTGAAAAATAATGCTTTTAAAGAGCAAATACACAAGGAGAACGTTGAAATCAGGTTTAAAAGGTCAAAGTATGACGTAAAATTTAAAATTGGACTCTAAAGTATAAAAAATACACAAGTTTAAATACTGAGTTGAACAAAATCAAAGCATGAAATAAAAAATCCAATCATGTTTGACTTGTAATCCTGAAATGCAAAATTGAAAACATGAAATAAAACACCAAATATATTCCTCCCACATTCTTGACTATTTATCAAATCTTCCTTACTCTTTCATTTCCTGGATTTTCGTGGCTTATTAAGGACATTTTAAATAATTGTGCTAAAGTTCACAATATTATACTGGAGGAAATCTGCAGACTTCATACTGGTGGGCCAATAATAATACAAATATGATATGATCTTGTGGGCCAGATATAATTGTTCCACGGGCCAGATTTGGCCCCCGGGCCTTGAGTTTGACACCTGTGGGTTAGACATTTATTTCCAAAAAATCATTTTTTACTCTTGAAAGTGAATTTAGTCGGTCATAAGTTTTGTTAGAAATGTGTTCAGACCAAAAAAAGATCATTTTAAATTTGTTTTATCCATCAATTGTGGTATCTATGAGCTACAACAAGAGGTCAAAAACCTAGCATAAAAGTCCACCATTTTAGCTTAGAGGACTAATAAAGTCATGATAGTAGTTCTTGGGTAAGTTGAGAAAGTAAAAGAGTCTGATGAGAGGATCAGAGTTTCAGCTCAGATTGTTGAGATGTTTTTACTTTTTCTTTTCAAAATACAGCTGTGAATGTTCTGAATCACTTAAAGACATTCTCATGTTAAAATGGCTTTTTACACGGGTTAAGCGAAGCATCGGAGACCTCTTTTTTTGGCATGGTATATTACCAAGACAGTTATGTTTACACTCATTCTGTTGGTTTGCAGGGATGCACAACATCTTGAAATATATGCAGATACACTAGTTAGAAACAAAACTATGATTGCCTTGATGTAGTGATCTGAAATATGAAAAATGGCTCATCTTATCCCACTTTCTCCTACATGTTTTTCACAGACCGAGCCAAGGGTGCTGGTGGAAACAACATGAGGGATCGAGCAACAATCAAGCGTCTGAATATGTACAGACAGAAGCAGAGATGGTAAGTCATGCTGAATATTTGTTCTGTTATTCTGAAGTACCGTGTTGCAGGTATTCCTAGTGAATATAATCATAAAAACTCTGACATGACGTCCATTCTGTCACTGTCTTCCTCTCCTCAGTAATAGCCGTGGAAAAGTCATCAGACCATTACAGTTCCAGTCCACAGTGGCTCCAGGGACTGTGGCCAGAGTGGAGCCGAACATCAAGTGGTTCAGTAAGTCCACCCCTTCACCTTTCTCTTTCATACGTGTCTTTACTTTGACAGTGTTGAGTGTATCTGTAATCAGAATGTGGTATTTGTTTATTTTTGCAACATACATTTATTCTGGCACTTGAATTGAGCATTTATATGTCCTGTTGGATACACTGCAGATATACTAAGGGAAAGTATCGTTTCCCTGTGGTTTTGGATAATTGTGCTGAAGTTTTGTGGTTTAAAAAGCCAACACTTGAACACATGGAGTTGTATTGCTTAGCAACCTAATGTCTATTTGTCTGAGTATTTGGTACTTCTTTGCCACATCTATTTCAAGCTCTCAAGCAAGAAAACCAAATAAAAAAGCAGCACACACAAAAGACTGTTTCAGTACTTCATCACTCACTTCATTTGATAGTTTTTGTAAGGTTTGATCCAAGACAGCCTGCATAAAATCCACTGAGTATTTCAGTTTTTCAAAAAAGTCGAGGTCAATTTTTATCAATTTGAACTCAAACAGTGAAGTCTTCAATATCTTGAAGAGTTGGTTTGGGGTGAGAATAGCATTTATACTCCGTGAGTCACAGAAGACTCTCATTATGGTAAGATACATGAAATTCAGATTGATAGTAACAGTGATGCTGTGATGATCAGATACATTATGATACCTGATTACTTAAAAATATAACATGCCCTCCAAAAGGCCAAGTGCAGGAATAATGTGCTTTTTAATCGCACATTGGTTTCATTCAGTGACATGAAATAATTTTCATGTTTTCATGTTATGGTTAATGTAGAAAAGACAAATTAAAATGCATGTTTACAAGAAGTACACACTTTATTAAAGATGAAGTTGTTTGTGTTTTCTTTGTAGCTGTTACAGCAACATTGTCAGTGAAACTGCTTCTGCTTTATGAGCAAAGGTGTAAATCTTGATCGTAACACTAGTTTATAACCTATAGTCATGCACTCAGACTTAAAAGTAAAATAAAACAAGCAGGAATTGAAAACTTCTCCGAAGGGAAGGGAGTGAAACCCTTTCTTCAGACTGGGGTGTACCCTCCATCTTTCCTCCTGTCTACTAATCATCCAGCTGTGTCTATACTTGTACCACACAGGTCAGGAGTCTGTCCCACCCCTAGAGTTGATATCATCTTTAGGGCTGTTCTGATACGATATTGATATTGGATATCAGTCCGATATCAGTCAAAAAACAAATATCGGATTATATCAGCCTGCATATAAAATCTCAGATCTCAACACTCCAATACAAGCAGTCCATTCCAGACTCCGCTCCAGCACACATGCAGTGCCCGGATCCAGCATGCAGAGCCCACATGATCACAACAAGAGTGTGTACTAAGGTACTGACAAAGTAACAAGGAGTACGAGTGATGTCGGCCATGTGGTAGTATTTTTCATTAAAGTCTGAAAAAGCTGTTGCAGCTGAGTGGAAAACTTGTCTTGCACAAGTTTGTGCCAATATCGGATCAATATCGGTATCAGCCAATACTGAAGGCTACAATATCGGTATTGTATCGGAAGTAAAAAAGTTGTATCGGGACACCCCTAATTATCTTCTTTGTGCTGCCTCTCTTGTTTTTGTGAGGCATATGCATATGAAAAAGTCAGCAGAGTCTCATTTTTACTCACAACCTTCGTAATCTTTGAGTGAAATCCAAGAACACCCGCTCTTATGGGTTCCCAGATGTTCTGCCATCGAGATAATCCGATCAGCCTGTCCCACTAATTGTTTTTCCCCATTCTATTTAATTAGGAAACAGGGCATCCACTGAGTGAATTACAGAAAGTGATGTGGAAATAGAAGCATGAATCCAAACAAGTCATCACAGACGATGTTTGACTGCATTGGATCTTCATTGTAATGAGAGCAGATGTTAAAAGAAGATTCTTTTTTATGTACAAGTGGAATCCTTCGTTACCTCTGATGTAACTCAGAATTGAGAATGACGGGGTGACTGGGAAGCTGAAAAAGAAAAGGGATATTCTAAAAAATGGGGGTGTAAACTGGTTTTCATTTGCATATTTCATCTGTGTTCTAGCAAACACCCGTGTCATCAAGCAGTCGTCGCTCCAGAAGTTCCAAGAAGAGATGGGGGCCGTACAGAAGGATCCATACCGTGTGGTGATGAGACAAAGCAAACTTCCCATGTCCCTCTTGCATGATCGAGTCAAAGCCCATGTGAGTATGACAGGAGTGATCTCTGTATGTTTAAATTTGTACCCCTGTCTTACAGATTTTATTAAACGTACATTAGGGATATAAAAGTCCAAAGTTGTTATTTTCCTCATACCATTCAGCAGAGGAAAGAATCATACCTCCATTTTCACTCAGTAGCCTGTTGCTTTGTATTTTATGAGGTGAGCTGAACATGAGGCTTTACTTTAATCTTCATTCAATTCTCACTTTGGCCCGCTGTGACCCGGAGTGTGCTGGCTCCGTGCTTGGCATAAAGAAATGCGCTCCGCTAGACTCTGACTCCTCCACCTCATAACCAACGCAAACTCAAATGCGATCCAGGTCTTCGCTGTCTCTTCCAACATATCGTTGGGTCTGTTTCAGTCCTCTTTTATATTCTGCTCTTTTCCCTCAGAGGAACTACAATTCAGGTCTGACTCCTTTCGTCAGAACAGCCGAAGAAACAGTTTGAATCTTTAATATTAGTGCTTATTTATTGTCAGAAAATCTTGTTTAACTAACTCTGCTGCACAGTCTAAGCATCATTTCCTCTCTATCTTTTACAGCTCCTTGAAGCTCATTCATGTTTTTAATATCTTTTTAAAGCCACTTAGTTTGTGTAAAACAAAAGCTACTAAGTCTGAATGTCTGGCTGCTGAATGAAAAGCGGGGTGGTTGTTACTTTTCCAACAAGGCTTGAATCAAACCAGAGTTTTGCGGTACGATCTGGGAACTGCTTCCTCAAAGAACCGGGGAGCTCTGTCGAAAATCTTGGCAACATAAAGCCTTCAACAGCCTTGTTTCCGACAAACCTTGTAAACTTTTGGTCCCCGCTCCTCTCATGGCAATGTTCTAATAAAGATATGGTTTGTGATTCAGCTTTGTTGGAACATTTAATCAGCCCTGGCACAGGCCTGGCTGTTTTATTGGCGTCTTTGTTGCATATTTGGGTGTTCTGTTTACTGTATGAATCTGTTTTGTAATAACGTTTGAAGCCCTTAGAAGGACTGTGCCCGCTAAGTGTATTGAAATTGGTTAAACATCCTGTTATCTGTGGAGCGGTAACGGTTTCCAGGTCGCCATACCGCGAGCCATCAGTCGGAAATGGCATGAAATTGTTGGCCTTGAGTCGACACAAGAGGAAACCAGTGTTTGATAAATAATGTTGCTGCGTTACTGTCCTTGATCAGGCCTCACTTCTGTCATATAACTTAAACTTACGGCCTCTTCTTGTATGAATTCATACATCACTTCCTGTTAACACACGTTTGTCATACGATTAAAAAAATCACAGTAGGAGGTTTAAATCGCTGTTCGTACTCTTTCTCTTAATTCCTGCAGAACTCTAAGGTCCACATTTTAGACACAGAGGGTTTCGAGACCACATTCGGGCCAAAGGCTCAGAGGAAGAGGCCAAGTCTTGTGGTGGGAGACGTGAAGGACCTCCTAGAGCAGGCAGAGGCCTCAGCTATGACCTACAATGCAGACAAGGACAAAGACCTGGTGACTGAGGACACAGGGGTCAGGTAAGACTTTCAAAATATTTCACTGATGCACCAGAGGCGAGGTCACTGAATTTTTAAACACAAATGTAGACTTTGTAAGATTTTTAATTGATTGTTTGAAAACAGGGAGGAGGCCCGGGAGGAAATCTTCAAAAAGGGTCAGTCAAAGAGGATCTGGGGAGAGCTTTACAAGGTACCACTCCTGTTCTCCTCTCTGTACATGAATCAGGACTCAGGATTGTTACGGTGTCCTTTACACTCTTCACTGTTTCACTTTTACAGGTAATTGATTCGTCTGACGTCATCATCCAAGTGCTGGACGCTCGGGATCCCATGGGCACACGCTCCAAGAGTATAGAGTCGTATATGAAGAAGGAGAAACCTTGGAAACATCTGATCTTTGTTCTCAACAAATGTGATCTCATCCCCACCTGGGTTACGGTTAGAAACCGATCATCTCATCACATTTGACTGGAAGTGATTATATTTGGCTTCTTCGTTTCGCTGAATTGTGCTTCTGTCTCTTTGTTTCCAATTCTCTCTAAACCAGAAACGGTGGGTTGCTGTTTTGTCCCACGAGTACCCCACTCTGGCTTTCCACGCCAGCCTCACAAACTCATTCGGGAAGGGCTCCCTCATCCAGCTGCTCCGGCAGTTTGGCAAGGTAAGCTCTGCCCTCTGGTTCTGATGGATCCAGTGACTATCAGGACCATCGCAGCTTGATTCGCTGGTTGATGTTAGCTCACTGTGCTGCTCGTGGAATCGTGTCATCTGCAACAGAACCTTTTGGAGCTTTTAAATTGAAGCTCGTGGATCTGTTTGGATTGATGGTGATGCAAAGATGCATTCATTTAAAAGGGTTTTAAATGCTTTAAAGGGATATTCTGGCATAAATTTAAGTTTAACACAAAGTTAGACACCCCCTTGAGAGATGAATGTTGCCGACCGCTTGTTTCTCTAGTTTTACCAACTTTAGTAACGACCGCAGGATAGCAATGCACAGCGGTCTACATCTCCAAACGCAAACCTCGACTAAAAAGCCGCTCTATAGTCACAAATAATGCTCAGAACAGCACCTAACTTCATCAACAGTACATATAGGGTCCCAGCCATAGTACTAGCCACCAAACATCTTTTTAACTTTGCCTGATTTCTTTAGCAAAGAGACTAAACACAAGTCACCCATTCTCCTCCAGCAGCCGCTTGTTTGTGGGGGAGCCCTGACTTGTCGATCACTTAGTGCAGTGGAGTGTCGCAGCTCAAGGAAGAACATGTGCACTGCAGACGCGGTATTTTTTCTGCCTTAGCGTCTCGGTCTGATTGCATTTCCATGAAGTAATGATCATAAATTTTCCGCTGCACTCGGCGATCGACTTCCCAGGGCTCCCCCACAAACAAGCGGCTGCTGGAAGAGAGTAGGTGAGTTGTGTTTTGTCTCTTTGCTAAAGAAATTAGGCAAAGTTGAAAAGATGTTTGGTGGCTAGTGCGATGGCTGGGACCCTATATGTACTGTTGATGAAGTAAAGTGCTGTTCTGAGCATTATTTGTGGCTGTAAAGTGGCTTTTTAGTCAAAGTTTGTGCGTGGATCCATAGACCGCTGTGTATTGCTATCATACGGTCGTTACTCAAGTTGGTATAACTAGAGAAGAGAGCAGTCGGCAACATTCATCTCTCAAGGGGTTGTCTAACTCGGTGTTACAGTGTGTTTGACCATAACCTAAATTTACACCAGAATATCCCTTTAAACTTAGTACAAATGCATCAAACCCAATTATTAAAGTGCGCCTTCACTTTGTTGAGAGAGGCTTTATCTGCACTGCCAGACTTGAACACGCAAAGTTGCGTAGCGGTGGGGGAATGTAGCGTGTTTATGAACGCGCCGGTACATAAAAGATCTGAGAGGTCAAGAAACTCAAACGGTTTCATATTCAAATAAAATGTTCTTGTTAGATTTAATATTTTGATTTAAAGAGGCTTTTATGAGGGAGACACTGAAACCTTTGTTTTTCCCTGTAAAAAAGTTTTCCCCCGTTGGACCTCATTCACCAAAAAGTCTGGAGATAACAAGGAATAAAAAAAAAAAACCCTTCTTCCAAAACAACAGATAGCTTTATCTCTGATTTTGAAGGGTTTTAGATCTTCATGATTATCTTGGCCACGTATGAAAGTCCCTTTAAGAGATATCCTGTGGTATGTGTTTTGAACAAACTACACTTCGGTTTTGGAGTGGTGACAAGTTCCCTTTTTTTTTCATGGCTGATGGAAACAGAACCCGGTCTAAAATTACCTCTGCGAACCGACGACAGGCTGAGGCTGTTGTTCAGGAAACAGAGCACCCTGACTCTATCTTTCTTTTCCTTCCACAGCTCCACACAGACAAGAAACAGATAAGTGTGGGTTTCATTGGCTACCCCAATGTGGGAAAGAGCTCGGTCATCAACACGCTGCGGTCGAAGAAGGTCTGCAATGTGGCACCCCTCGCTGGGGAAACAAAGGTAAGGTCCCCTAACCTTATTTAAACCTTCACAAAAGCAGTCAGTGGAACAGGATGAGTACAGTCTGTGAGTTTGGTTCACAGTCACTCAAGGCCTTCAGTAAAGAACATTAAAAACAGATCCTATCATGTTAACATACAGCCACAATGATGAGGGTTTTAAAGAGTGAAAGAGTCTCTGATTCGTTTCACCTCCATACCCCTCATCTTTCGTAATCGTCGATAGCTGCCGCAACAGAAGTAGTGTGCTTTGTCTTTAAACTGTAGACATAAAAGTCTTAAGTGAAGATTTGGCAAAGGAGAAAGAACAACAACCACTTTTATCTTTCATTTCCTCTCTCTCTCTGGCTGTTTATCCTTTTTTAAAACCTGTCTGAAAACCCAAAATGTCCAGAGCAGGGTCAAGACGAAAGAGGGAAAATAGCTTTGCTTGGCCGTGCTCGCCAAAAGAGTGGAGGGTTTTTTTTTGTTTTGTTTTTGCACACCTGATGGCATGAGAGAATCTGATGGGCTTGTGGCCAGAGCTCCTTTATTTCTTACCTTGCCTTTGAATCTCACTAAATACTAAACTGTGGCACCGTAAAACTCTCACAGTGCACACGACTGTTCCTACTTTGTTCCTGTCTGTCACAGCGCTGTGATGTCTTTGACTAATGAAGCTGAAAAGACGTTTGTTGGATCTTTTCTTTGTACTTTGCTGTTTGACTCCAGCCAGTATTGACTTCCTCGCCCTGATAGGTGTGGCAGTACATCACTCTGATGAGGCGCATCTTCCTCATCGACTGTCCCGGCGTCGTCTACCCATCAGAAGACAGTGAAACTGATATTGTGCTAAAAGGAGTGGTAAGTCTTTTACTTTGTTTCTTTACCAAGTTCTTTTTCTCTTTGGGCTCTACATACCTCTGCTACCACCCCAAAAATGCCAAGGGTGAATAAAAGTTCATCTGTGCTCCCCATAGCCCTGAAAAACAGCAGGAGTAATTCAGGATAATCCACCAACTGTTAATGTGGCATTTTTGACAGCCCGAGTACCTTAAACAAAATGATGAAAGGATTCCCGTCGCTAACACCGGGCTGTTTTAAAAAACGCCTTCATCAGCTCGGATTCTAATCCCGAGGATCTCTCACCCTAAATCCGAGGTTTAACACATAGGCCACGCAGTCTCCGTAACTGAAAGGTTTCAGGTTCACGCTTTCAAACTGCACGCCTCTCTTCTTCACCTTCCTCCCAAAGGTTCAAGTGGAGAAGATCAGGAACCCGGAGGAGCACATCGGGGCAGTGCTGGAGCGGGCCAAGCCGGAGTATATTCAGAAAACCTACCGCATCCCATCGTGGAGCGGCGCTGAAGACTTCCTGGAGAAGCTGGCATTTCGTTCTGGAAAACTACTAAAGGTCTCAGATGTCCCTCTTTGGTTTTTCTTGCATTAAAAAAAAAAACAGCAGCTTTTATAGTTTAAATTTATCAACCGGTCTGCTGGAAAAGTTTGTTTAAAGGTTTTGAGTTGAAAAGGACACTCTCAACAAACAATACATCATGACCATATGAGTGCTAATTTGATTAAAAGCAAACACAAACCGTGTACAAAGTGATTCATCTGACATATCGTCCATAATAACAGCAGAGTTTGAAGCCAGGTGTGTATAAATGACTTGTTTTAAATGTCTTTGTGGATATTTTTCAGGGCGGTGAGCCAGATCTTAGCACAGTCTCCAAAATGGTGCTGAATGATTGGCAGAGAGGACGTATCCCCTTCTTTGTTAAACCCCCTGGACCTGAGGGCGATCAGGAGGTAGGAGTCTGCTGAATTTTACACCTCTGCTTTTTCATTTAATAACTGGATTTCTTTACCAACTTGTGCCTTTTGTCTGAACTTTCCTTCTGAAACTGTGATGTCTGCAGGACAAGGAGCTTTTGGCAGTGGAAGGACCCTCGGATGTGGTTGAGAATCTCCAGGAGGAACAGCTTGACAATCCAGATACCACCTCAGAGGAAGAGCAGCAGCGGCAGCAGAAACAGAAGGAACAAGTTCAGAAGATGCTGGCGAACGTGCGACAGAACTTTGGCAAGATCAGCGTGGCACCTGAGTTCAGCGAGGAAGACTTGGTTCCCGTCGAGATGCCTGACCTGGACTTGGACGACTTCTCTGGCTCCGACGAGGATGATGAGGTAGACAGTGAAGAGGAGGACGGGGAAGAAGGAAACAGAACCGGCGCTGAACCTGCTGATAGAGAGGCTGCGGGACCGGTGCCCACAGCGGCTCAGACTGTAAAGGCTAACGGCAACAAGAGTTCACGCGAAGTGGTTAAGGAGCTGGACGCGAAGATTGCCAAGTACAAGCAGTTCCTGGATCGAGCCAAGTCCAAACGCTTCTCTGAAATCCGGTCCGTTTGCTCACACCCAAAACCAAACTTGCATGTTTGTCTTTGTTTTATGCTCCAGTGAGCCAACATGAAGCTGTTAGACAGAGGGATCCATGCATTTGTTAATTTCTTTAATCTGCCTCCTCCTGTCAGAATTTAGCTTCTACTCTGAGCATAATGTGACTTGATTTCGACTGTTTTAAAAATGTTTGCTCACTGAATAATGATGTGCTTTTCTTTCTTCTCGCAGGATACCTAAGGCACTCTCCGAGAAAGTGTTTACAGACCTGAAGACTAAACAAGCGGCCGCAGCTAAACGAGCGAAACAAGCACAGAAAAAAGGTAGTAAACATGTTTGTCTAAGATGATCTTTGAGAAAAATGTGACACCATTTCTCAGAACTACGTTTAAACACACCTGCCATCTCACTGTTATGATGATGCACTGACACAAATACCTGAAGTTATACAAGTAGGTCAGGTTGACTCAGAGATGCAGAGATACTACATTTGTTGATCTTTGTTTGACTCCAGCTGTGAACCAGAGGAAGAGGAGAGCCGAGGATGACGGAGAGTCCACCCAGACACACAAACTGACTTCCAAGCAGGTATGCAATGTTTGCTCCCTCTGACGTCAAACAGACCGCTCTGCCTCAGCACCGCAGATAAAACGCCCTTTTTCCCCTAACTGATGTAATAGGTCAGAAAGGAAAAAAAAGGTCTGGTCGTGTTCTTTTTTTTTTGTTTTAAACGGAAGATTTTTATCATTTTTCTCTGTTTCTTTTTATCTGTCTCTACAGAAAAGAGCGATGGACCGTGCTCAGAGAACGAAGAAAGTAGGTGTTCGCTATTACGAAACACACAATGTGAAAAACAAGAACAAGAACAGAAAGGCTCCGGCTTCAGCTGCAGAGGGACAAAAGGCTAAGAGATCAAAACACTAAGGCAGAGTCTTAAAATACAAGAAACCTTTTATTTAAATTAGACGAAAGACTGTGTTTTAAAGAAAAAGTGGGAATAAGGTGGAACTGGATCAGTTTGATAAACTGATTTTGTCAGACACGACTTAATGTGTCTTTCAGGGAAATCACTGTTTTTGCCTCTTCAGCTCTCTCCCCTGCTTTTGAATGACATTTCATTCATCACATACAGATGTAATGCTCTCTTGATGTTCAAGAGAAATGTACAGTGATTGTTTGAACTGTACTTGTTATGTCGTGCTGTTGGAGACAATAAAACACTTGCTAATGACGCTGTTGTACATGTGTTATTTGGCATTTAGAAATAAGAAAATGAACACTGTATACTTTGAGAAGGAGTCCCAGTCCATGTTGAATGAGTTACTTCTTGGGTGTGATGATTCCTTCCAGTTGGGTCTGAAGAGGAAAACAAAATAAAATTAGTGAAAAACATCCACTACCAGTGTAAACTCTAAAGAGAATACTTTTATAAGACATTTGATTCTGAAAAAGGTCACCTTGAGCTGCTGGTTGGTTCTTTGAAAGAACTGGATCTCCTCGGCGTGTTTCTTCTCATCGATCTGTCGCCTTTCGTTTTCGCTTTTTTTGTATGCATCCCATTCAGCTTTCTGTTCGTTCAGCTCCTTCTTCAGCTCGAGTTTTTCGTCTTCAAGTTCATCAATCTGGGTGTTTGGAGAGAGTCACAGATTTGCTCTGAATGTCGAATTGGTTTCTTGAGGTGGACACCAGCCCACCAGATTTACTCTGGAAGGGAAATGGTGCCCTCTGCTGGATAACTTAAAAGCTTAATTAGTCCCTTAGCTTTAGTAGCAGAACTACTGTATGTCTGGAATTACTCTCTGTAAATACTAATGAGAGTTTTAATGGCAAATTAAGCATAAGAAGTAACAATATCCTCACTCTTTTCTCCATGTCAGACTTGCCCTGTTCAGCAAGCAGTGCTTTCCTCATCCCAAAGGCCACACTGCTTTCATACAGAGTCTGATAGGCGGCGATGGTCATTTGAATCTCATCTCTGACCCGCGTCAGCAGCATGCCTCGTTCACCACAGTTTATTGTCACTTGTCTGATTAGCTCATCTGAAAGGAGTACAAAAAGTCTGTCAGTCCAGAGCAGATAAAGATGACTGGATGAATGTACTTTCAATGGAGGTTCAAATCTCAAAAAAAGAGTACATGATCTGAAACTCAGATCATGTACTCTATTGTACTCTAGATGGTCCTGTGCACCTGAATTGTTGGCATGGCAGTTTCCCTTACCAAAGCACTGAGTGTAGAGCTCTCTGCGGACAGGACATATCCCAGTCTGTCTGGCCTGCCTTTGCTGCAGCTTTGTGTCCAGCATCTCCTCCAGGCGGATTACATCTGTTCTTGTACAAGGAGCATTGGACACTTGCTGCACCCACAGCTGGTTCCCGTCCATCCACTCTCTGTGATAACACAGGTGGATGTAAACATAGGAGTAGACTGGGCATGTTGACAAATATACAGTGAATGGGGAAAGTTAGACCTGGGCGGCAGGATGATGTTCAGGATCTCCTCATTTTCCAGCTGAACAACATCAACGGAGCTGGATTTGGGTTTTGGAGGTGGGGGGACAGGGGAAGAGTCCAAAGGCAGCTGAGGGCTCACTTTCAAAGGGCGTCCCTGTAGTGACAAGATTTTATAAGGTTTTTTGTTGTTGTTGTTTAATTGTTTAATAATATGTTTGAAATAAATAGCATATATATATATATATATATATATATATATATATATATATATATATATATAATGGGCAAACAGTTGAAAAGTAAGATTGTCTCACAGATTATACGAAAGCATAACCTCCCTAACTCAGTGTTGTAAAACCAACAGGGGACCATTAATGTCAGAGGTGAATTCTTATTTTTTACTGTTTATATACACACTATTTTACTATTATGGTGTGTATTTAGTGTACGTACTTGTATATTTTATCTTTATTTTTACTTATTTTACCTATTTTATCTACTTATCTATTTTATCTACTTTTATCTGTTATTTATCTCCTCTTTCTACTTTATTTGCACTGGAGTTACTGTAATGAAAAGCAATTTCCCCCTGGGGATTATTAAAGTTAAAATAAGAAACCAACAAATTCTGAGTTGTTGACTTTATATTAACTCAGGGAGGAGTTGTTGATTTGTTCTGACATCTATTTATTGCACATTTTGGACCCTCTGCCACTATATCATGGCCTTTTTAACTTTCAACTCCTGCACTTAAATAATATATTATCTTTGTATTCTTTGGTGCCTTTGTTCCTGTACCTCCTCCCAACTTGGTATTACACCTTTATCCTTTATCATCCGGTACCTGAACCATGGGACGTTAGCTGAACTTTGTAAACTCACCTTGGCGGATTTTCTGTCGGTGGTTGTCCTGATCAGAACTGGATTGTCGTATTTCAGGAGAGACTCAGCCGGTGCAATCATTGTGTTTTAAATAAGATGTTAAAAGAGAAAACAAATCCTGAGGTAACTACGTTTAGGGTTCAGTCGCAGAAATACCGGTCCTTTTCGAAGTTTTCTTGCCTAGTGTTTATGTTGCCATGGTAATTGTGTGCCAGCGGTCCGTTTCCGTCAGGATCCGTTGACATGTTTTTTCTCGCTCTCCCTTTTTATCGATTTCTTTCTTAGCTATTGTATAAGCTATTTCCTTGTATTTATGTTCTAATGTTAACAGAAAGACCTTACGTTTTGTATAAGATTGGGACCACTTTTCTTTTTTTTTTTTTTTGGATCAAATGGCAACGTATTTTCAACTCTCAGTCTATCTGCTTGTCACGTTTTAAATGTTATTCAATTCAAATTTGTTCAGAACAGTATTGCCAAAGGGTAAACTATATTACACGTTGATCAATACTAAGTTGGCTAACGATTCAACTTATATACATTATGTGTTTTCATGTGAAGACACAGTCAGTTAGTTAACCTTATTCATTTTATAAACAGACAACCGCTACGGTGGCCGAGAAATGCCACTGCTGCAAATAAAAAGAATGCCAAAAAAAAGAAGTCACAATGCAAGTTACTGATGAAAAAAAAAAAAAAGAAACCAACGCCTGCTGCAAATAAAAAAAAAGAAACAGTGCAGATAAAAAATAAAGCCACAACAGAAGTTGACAACGCAAAAAAAAAAAAAAATGGCGATGGAAAAAAAAGAAGAAAAAGCTACTTACTGTGAAAATAAAAGGATGCAAAAAACAAGATGGCGTGACACATGCAAATGGTCAAATGGGGGCGAAAACAGCAGAATAACTCTTAAACGGTGCGTCGGAGAAAAAAGTCCAAGTGCACAAAATCAAAGATCTCGTTAAGATACACGTGCCTGTAAAATTTCGGCCAGATCAGACAAAGTCGGCGTTAGTGGTGCTCTGTAGGGGAAGCTAGTGAGCCATTTTTATTGTTTTTTTTTTTTTTTTTTTTGGTCACTTGAACACAATGCGATTCTCACTGGGCCTACCTGCAAATCTTCATGAGTTTTAGAGGCCGTTCAGGGGATCAAATTTGCATTTTAAGATGTGAAAAAAAAAATAATAATAATAATGATAATAATGATAGGAATAATCGAGAACCCAGACGATTACAGTGAAGTTCGCCGCAGAGCTGCGCCCTCGGCTCGGGCCCTAATAATAAATTAATAAATAAAGCCACAGTGGAAGTGAGCTGCTGGGGACCAATAATGATGATGCACCAGTGTTTTACGATCTAGGCACAGAAGACGATGGCGAGAAGACGAGCAAAGAAGTTAGTGGAAAGGTTATTGTTAGATTTCGCTTTGTAAACTTTTCATTTGGTAAGGTCATATAGCGCCTGAGTGGATATGAGGTTGATCTGGAGGATGCTGGTAAAGTGTTAGCTTCACTTACCTTTTTTTTTCATGGCCACTTTTTTTTGCATCATTAACTTCTGCTGTGGATTTCTTTAGCTGCACCGTTTCTTTTTTTTATTTGCAGCCGGCTTCAGTAACTTCCTTTATGACTTCTTCTTCTTCTTTTTCTTTTTTTTTGCATTCTTTTTTATTTGTACCAGTGGCGGTTCTCGGCCACCGTACAAAACAACTTTGGTAATATTGTTCTGAACTTACAAAAAAATAAAAAATAAATAACCGTTTTCTCCAGAATCCGATTGAGCGACACGGAACGAACAGTAAACTCATCCGGAAATAATTTCTGGTGGGACTAGCGGAAGGGGAAGTGCGTCAAATGTGTTACAGGCGAAGTTATGTAGCAACAACGTTTTTGAGTTGCTTTTGTGTTTACGCGCCGATGTAAAGTTTCTTTCTTTAACAACAAAAGGGAGAACAAAAGTGAATAGTTTGAAGGATGGCAAAAGAGAAGCGGCACAGGAAGAGGGACTGTTCACCGGAGAGAGAGTCCAGAGTGAAGATAAAAGAGGAGAAAGCCAGTCCGGTTAGGCCGCAGACATCAGGCCGCTCACGGTCCAGTTCACACGACAAACCGAGTCCACAGAGGAGGAAAACAAGCAGGTACCATGATAGAAAGCTGTCAGATCACTACGATGCTCTTCATCAACACTTGTTTTTAACCCTTTCAGATACCATAGTTGTTGTTTTTTTCTTGACCGCTTTAAACGCTGAATTCAGACCCCCGCTCGTTTTATTTGTGTCAAAAATCGGCTGTTTTTCAATGTTTTTAATAGAAACATTTTTTTTTCTATGTGTAGGTCACCCGTTAGGAGGAAGGATCGCTCCCCGGGCAGAAGACCAACATCTCCACCGAGGGGAGGAAGCAGATCACCCAGAACCAGGAGGAGCCGCAGTCCTCCACGGGGAGCTGAGGCCAGAGTCAAACGGGTGATTAGGTTTCATTTTATGTAGAAGAATGGGGTTAAAGAGATATTCCGGCGTTAAAATAATTCAGGGTCAAACACATCGTAACACCGAGGTTAGACACCCCGTCGAGAGATGAATGCTGCAGACCGCTTGCTTCTGTAGTTATACCAACTTTAGTAACGACCGCATAATAGCAATACACAGCGGTCTGAGGAGCCATACACAAACCTCAACCAAAACGCCACTCTATAGCCACAAATAATGCTCAGAACAGCACCTAACTTCATCAACAGTACATATATAGGGTCCCAGTCATAGCATTAGACATCATATATCTTTTTAACTTTGCATGATTTCTTTAGCAAAGAGACTAAACACAACTCACCTACTCTCTTCCAGCAGCCGCTTGTTTGTGCTAAAGAAATTAGGCAAAGCTAAGAAGATGTTTGGTGGCTAGTACTATGGCTAGGAACCTATATGTACTGTTGATGAAGTTAGGTGCTGTTCTGATCATTATTTGTGGCTATAGAGTGGCGTTTTGGTTGAGGTTTGTTTATGGCTCCTCAGACCGCTGTGTATTGCTATCCTGCGGTTGTTACTAAAGTTGGTGTAACTAGAGAAGCAAGCGGTCTTTAACATTCATCTCTTAAGGGGTTGTCTAGCTCGGTGTTACGGTGTGTTTGTAAATTAACTTTATGCCGGAATACCCCTAAACAGTGAGTGCTGGGATCTGATAATTCAGCCCTATACAGAGTCTAGGTGACCTTCATCCTCACTGGTTTGGTAATTCATGTTCTCAAGTGTCTGAGTCCACTATTAGAACCATCCAATCTCCCCGTACCATCTGTAAGGATCACTTTGAGCCTGTTTTGAACAAACAGAATAGAGTCCTTGGACTGTGTTGATAGCATTTAGTGGGAGGATACAATCTAATGCTTGTGCTTTCAGTTTTCAAAGCAGTACAGATGCAGCTAAAAAATGAATGTCCTTAACAAGTTGAATTTTCTTTAAATTAATTCAAATAGTGAAACTAATGAACAAACTTGATTTATCACATTAAAAATGTAAAATATATGTTAAGACTGTATTCAACATTGCTTGAATTTTGATGATCGTGGCTTACAGCTCATGAAAATAAAAAATTCACTATCCCAGAACTTTGAGATATGGTGAGAAAGTCCAGTTTCTTGTCAGTTACTTCAGTCCTGAAAAGTTTTCTCATTGGCTCATTGACTGAACACCTGTAAAGGTGTGTGTGATGATCAAGAATATGTGGAGTTTCACTTTTTGAATTAAATTCTGAGGAAAATCAGTTTTTTGGTTCATTGGGATTTTATTCGAGCCTCACCTGTATGTGGTTATTTTTGACCCAGTTTCTCCCTCTTGAGGAAGACACCTTTGAGTGTACTAATAATGATAAAAATAATGATGAAATTGAAAATCTTTATTTTGATTTAATAGATTTTTGTGATCGTAACTTACAAAGACTTCCAACAGTCAGAGGGGAGACCTGGGTATTAAGAACATTTTATCACAAGCAGAAAAGTATTAAACAAGAGCTCGACAAATAAAAAAGAGTCTGATTTAACTTTAGTAAGAGGAAAATAAACAATCAGACTGAAAATATCAGATACTTCTATGTGAAATTAACCTTTTCTGTGCTGGATATCTGTTAGGAGCGAGAGGAGCCTCGAGGAAGTGGTGATGAGCGGAGGAGAAGAAACAACCAGCCAGAGGAGAGACGGAGCAGATGGGAATCAGACAGACCGCAGGACCGAGATCGCAGCAGAGATCGACACAGAGAACGGGACGCACTTGCCTCTCAACAAGCAGAGAGACAGCAGCACGATGAGCGCCGCAGGGAAAACCGTCAGCGCCGCGAAGAAAACCAAGAGCAGGATTTCGGTAGGGCGGAAGAAGAAGATGACGCAACAGACGCCGCTCCTGCTGAGAAAGAGAAGCCCAACTTTGGACTGTCGGGGGCGCTAACAGAAGATACAAACACATTCCGGGGAGTTGTGATCAAGTACAATGAGCCACCTGAGGCTCGTATTCCCAAACGCAGGTGGCGACTGTACCCTTTCAAAAACGACGAACCCCTCCCAGTCATGTACATCCACAGACAGAGTGCCTATTTGTTGGGGCGGCAGAGAAAGATCGCTGACATCCCTATTGACCACCCATCCTGCTCCAAGCAGCATGCAGTTTTCCAGTACAGGTAAGACAGACATTCATCAATATAATGTTCAATCCATTATTTGTGACATCAAACTAGGATCAGTTTCAACAAATGACCGTTTCTGTCTGTTTTTGCAGACTGGTGGAGTTTACACGAGCAGATGGCACCTCTGGCCGCAGAGTCCGACCTTACATCATTGACCTAGGCTCCGGTAACGGCACCTACCTGAACAACCAGCGCATCGAAGCCCAGCGTTACTACGAGCTCAAAGAAAAGGACGTCCTCAAGTTCGGCTTCAGCAGCCGCGAGTACGTCCTCCTGCACGAGTTCTCCGATACAACTGAAGTGGACGCAAAACAAGAAGAGGAAGAAGACGACGAGGGCCTGGATGAGTAATCGGTCCTCAAAAACTGTTTTTTTATCCCCCCTGAGATCAGTCAACTCAAATAACCTCACATCAAAGTTGATTCAACTGTCGTCTCTGCAGGGAACAGAACAATCCATCGATGATAAGAGGGACTTGATTACAGCAATGAAACACGGCCGGTTTGTATTTTATGAAATTTCCAAACTGTTGCTCAAACCTGCCACAACTGTCTCTAAGAAGACTTCCTATTCTCAGGTTGTTTGTGTAATGTCTGAGTGATGCACCACAGATCTCTCATTAGTAGTGCTCACGTTATTAAGTGCTTGGTGCCAGATGGAGATACCCCACCAAGTCAAATAGTCTCTATTTTTGGATTACAAAGTTTAGCTGAGGACTCCTCCTGCATCTCTGTCTATGGGCTATATATGTCATTGTACATGCTACATGGAATGTGAATACTGATTCATGTTTGTAAGCGTTGATTATTTTTCAGAGTCAAATATTACTGACATACAACTTGTGATGACATTGCCTTTTTTTTGCTTTGTAGTGCAGGGAAAAAGTTGATGCTATTGTGTGTTCAAGGACTGCCCCCTTTTATTTTTGAAGCCCGCAGCATTTATAGTCAACTTTGATTTATGTACTGTAAATAAAGACAGTGAAAGTTTGCAGTCTCAAGAGTCTTTTTGAAGAGAAATAGTGTACGTTTTTGTAAATCTTGAATTTTTCTCTACAAATGAGTAGACAAAGATCAGGGAGAGTTTACAGTACATTCATAACGTGGAAAGGCTATGCATGTATTGAATTTTCTTCAGTTTTTTTTTCTAAATAAAAGGTTATATTAAGGTTGGGAAACGGGCATTAAAGGCACCATATGGAGTTTTTAACTTAGAAATAGATTACACTCATACTGATGCCCTTTTATGACCTTAAAGGGATATTAAAAAGGCATCATAAATGTTCTTCCTTGAGCTGCTTCACCCCGCAGTTGTCGGTGATGGACGGGCCTGAGGTCTCTCTACAAACAAGTGGCTGCTGGAAGAGAGTAGGTGAGTTGTGTTTATTCTCTTTGCTCTTTGCTTTGTTAGTGATTTTTGACCAAAATAAAGAAATAAAAAACTGAACCCACTGACTTTTGACCGTCAAATGTGTTATTTATGGTGAACATGTTAGGCTGTTTCTTTATCTGCTCGGCTGTTACATACTTGCGCAGCTTTTACACATTACAAATCAGAATAAAAAAATCTTCAGTCTTGTCAATAATCAGAATCAGTTACCACAGGGCATCCAAAAGTAGTTTCAAATAAGACAAAACAAACATAATCTCAGGGAAATATGCATTTTCAAAAAAACAACCTGTACGTATAAACTCAAAAATGCACTGTATATCAGTCAAAGGAGTTAAACTGTGGAACAGCTGCAGCAAAGACATGAAAACCTGCAGATAGCAAAACAAGTTCAAACTCATTTTTTAAAACCACATTCAGAGTGGATATAAGAGAGAAATAGAAACATAAATTTGTAACAATGGGCGAGGTGCCTTTTTTCTGATATATTTCCTTTTCTCTATGCCGTTATTTCTACACATGCTCTAACTGATTAAATTACAGTAACAACAATAAAGGGGTAAGACTAGATAAGTTTTATCAACGTCATCCTACACCCTTTCGAACAAAGTATGATTATCTATGTTGCTACAGAGCTGTCTCTTTAGTTGTTTTTCTGCCAAAGCACATTGTGTATTTATTTTGTTTTTATTTTAACCTGTTCAAATAAACTATTAAACTATCTTGTTTGCTTTAGGATATTATGAAAAGGCATCAGAAGGAATTTAAGGAGCTTCCAAAAACTCTTTATAGGAACTTTAAATTAGTTTGAGCACAAAGTTAGGAGACAGCATTCAAAATCTTCATCAACATCTATCTGAGCTCACCAAACTGAACTTTTATGGTGAAACAGCTTAACCACAGAGTTGAAGTAGTAGTGTCGTTTTCCGAATGAACAGGGACCATGACAGTGACAGGTTTCCACAGCAGAGGTCAGGCGAGAGTCGAGGCTGAAGGGTGTAGAGTTTCAGCCTGAGGAGTCAGCAGGCGGAGCAGATCATAGGAGGACAGGAGGGCGGGTCGAGGGAGAGGAGTACCGGGAATGTTAGTGGATACTCACAGCGAGAGGAGGCGGCGACGCACCTGGGAAATTACACGATCAAGCAACACTGTGGTTGCCTCTTTAATGGAGGCTTTAACGAAGAATTGCATGCGTAAAGTTTCAGCGGACTTCTAAAGATGTACACGACGGAGCGCAGGCGAATGAGCCTGCACGAGATGAAGAGGAAAGACCCGGTTTGGGTTTCGGCTGGAAGTTTGTGGCAGGACCATCTCGCCATGGATCTCAACGGCGGTAAACATATCGTCTCTCCGAGGAGTCGGACCAGAGCTGTATCCGTGGCATACATCGTCAACGAGGACGCGTCCGTGCCACAGACTGAGGAGAACTTATCCCTGAAATGTCTGAAGGAAGCCTGCGCGGACGCACGGGCCGTTTTCAAAACCATTTCGTTCGAGAGGATCGCTTTGGGCTCCACAGACATCCTGGATAGTTTCTACAACGCAGGCAAGTGCAGGCATGCGGACTGTGTGTGTGTGTGTGTGTGTGTGGAGGGGGGAGATAATATGGATGACACAATTACGCACATGACGCAAAACTGATCTACCTTCCCAACGTTTTTTCCCCACAGATGTCGCGGTGGTAGAGATGAGCGACACTTTCTGCCAGCCTTCCCTTTTCTATCACCTCGGAGTGAGGGAAAGTTTCAGCATGACCAACAACATTATCCTCTACTGTTACAAGAAAGATAGCGACCTGCAGGCTATCAAGGTAACTGAACAACAATAACACACACAGAGTGTGGTCACTGTTTGCAGTGAAAGTGGACTCCTGACCCAGCTGTGTGAAGGAGAAGGGGGCTGCAAACTTTTCATGTGAAAAAAAGACAGAAAGCAAATGTAGATTTAGAAGCAGAGACAGAAAATGATGCTGGAAAAGCACCAGAATGTTTAATCAATCATCAGTAGGGGAGAGTGGGGTAAGTTGAGCCACCCCCTGTTGCTAGGAAATGGTAAAAGAAAGAGAAAGAAATTGACCATGTGACCAAATATTTAGGGGATAGGCATCAGTTCATGGAGTCTGTGAAGGTTAGAAGCACATGGGTGAAGAGGTTAGACATTTTCACTCTTGAATTTAGTCTGTAAGCTTCAAACCAGAAAGTATCATTTTAAATTTGTTTTATACATCAATTGTGGTATCTATGAGCTACAACATGAGGTCAAAAACCTAACATAAAAGTCCACCATTTTAGCTTAGAGGACTAATAAAGTCATAGTTGTTCAGGCATGCTATATTATCAAGACAGTTATGTGTACATTCATTCTGTTAGTTTTCAGGGATGCACAACATCTTCAAATATATGCAGATAAACTAGTTAGAGACAAAACTATGATTGCCTTGATGTAGTGATCTGAAATATGAAAAATGTCTCATCTTACCCCACTCTCCCCTATATTTAGGAATGATTTAATTTTGATTCAATAATTCAATGAAATATGAGAATTGAAATGATCAAAACAATGTGTCAGGGTGTCAAGTCTTTGTGAACAAATATAAAAAGGACCCTGCACCAAAATCAACAATAGATCAACAACAGCTTTGTGATTTATAGAAGTAAAATGAACAAAAGACAGAGTAAATATATTCTTTAAAAGTAAGAAATGAAAAAAGTAAACAAAGGGGAAGTGTTTAGGCGCAAAATGATGTCATGTTATTCATCAATTCAAAGGAAAGTGAACTTTTTTCCCACACATACTAGAAGAAATTACATCATATAGAAGTTGCGACACTTATTTCAGCCTTGAACGCTGTTATTAACTGCTTTGGTAAAGAATAGTTTACAGTTTCAGCACCCATGAGTTTTATATCAAATACACAAGTGGACAAGCGAACAAACTGTGTGGCTTTTGGACCAAAATATTATTAAAAATTATGTGAAAGTAACAACAACAAAAACAACAACAATAATAATAATAATAATGATAATAACAATAATAATGATAACTTTATTTTTATAGCACTTTTAAAAACAGAGGTTTACAAAGTGCTTTGACAAACAGTCACACAGCACAGAACATCAGCACATGGAAATAAAAACGAACAAAAACAAAAGCTCAGTTAAAAGGGGGCCTCAGAATTGAAGGCCAGTTTCATTTGTTGTAAGAAAGTATAAAGTATCAGTTAAGAGGAGAGCACATGCACATGAACAGCATATGATGCGGCTGCTCCACCGACGTTGTTTATGATGCTTTTGTTTTGTGCCCACAGGAGCAGTGTGGGAGCTACACTATGATCGCATATGTGGTGTCGCCTCAGGGTAAAGTCTTTGCCTGTGATGCTACAATGATGACGGGTATCAAAGAGCTGATGCAGCCCAGTTTCCAGCTGGAGCCCCTGCTGACCCCTCTGGTAGAGAGACTGGTGCATATGCTGAACAATGTCCACGTCCACACCAGGTCAGACTCAAACTGCAGCGCTCTGTTGCACCAACAACATTATCGTCTCAGATTACATGTGCATTTGCATGTGGTTTAATTTACAGCTCGTCTCATGTTAGACTTCACTCAGCTGTTTTTTTTATTGAAGATCATAAAAGTGTGAGAATGTCACGGCCCCTCTGTTCTTTCTGCTGACAGTGAGTATTTCCGGGAGTCGATCAGGTATGAGATTCGTACGGCGCGGGAGCGGTTCAGCGGTCAGGCCTTGAGCGAGGAGCTGAGCCGGATACAGAAACGGCTTGACAGCGTAGAGCTGTTGACACCTGATATAGTCATGAACCTGCTGCTGTCCTACAGGGACATTCAGGTGTGTGTTTATGAGGCAAATACTGAGACACAAGGTCTGCACTTCTTTTTGCATATTTAAAAAACATTAAAGAAGCGTATCCTGTATTACGGAAGGTAACCCTACACCCTCTTTTGACAGGACTATGACTCCATTATCACACTGGTGGAGACTCTCAACAACCTGCCCATGTGTTTGGTTGCAGGGCATCAGAATATCAAGTTTCATTACATATTTGCTCTGAATAGGTGAGTAAAAAAAAGCCTCCTGCATTCAAATCAAATCATAATTCAACTATCATAACCTCCTTTCTCTTGCCACTGTCTTGTCTATCAGGAGGAATCATCCGGGAGATCGTGCCAAAGCTTTGGAGGCTATTCTGCCTATCGTTGAGTCAGGGAAAAAGGTGGCATCAGACGTCTACTGCCTCTGTGGACGCATTTACAAAGACATGTTCATGAGCTCTGGCTTCACGGACGTGCAAAGCAGAGACCAGGCCTGTTATTGGTATAACCTCTTTGTGTTTGTGTTTGCTGCCTGAGTGTACAACCTGAACCGTAGTAATGAGCACGGTGACATTTGTCTGTCTGCTATAGCCTCTTTTACTGTTTCAGGTTATACATGTTTGAAGTGTATATTTACGAATCATTAACTATAATCCTTCACTGCTTTCTATGTGATACTTTTCAGGTACGGCAAAGCTTTTGAGACGGAGCCGACTCTGCACTCGGGCATTAACAACGTGGTTCTCCTGATGGCAGCCGGGCATGAATTTGACACTTCTATTGAGCTGCGAAAAATTGGTGATTAATGCTTTTGGATATTTTGTGTCATCAGTTTTCCACTACTAATGAATTAAACTTAAAGTTTTAGGGGTTTGAACTCTTTGCAAAACATGCAACTGATAATTATCAACCTAATTTTTGTGTAGAAGCCGTTTTTTAGTTTATGTTGAAACCTTATTTTTAAGCAAACAAAAGTCTCAGTTTATAGTGTTAATTGTAAGGACCAAAAATATATGATTTAAAAGTAATTAAATGGGTTGTTTCCATTGATTAGTAGATTCAGATACTCCTGTCTATTATGGGTGGAGTCGCAATCTTTTAGGAAAGCCGGCACAGGTGTGCTTGTCAGATTGTGTTTGATTCAGGTTGAGATGAGCGGCACAAAACAGTTTTTTGACCGTGAAACCGTGGCTTTTTTCGATTTTTTGTACGATTTCTGAAGTTGTGAGCCCTATGGAATCTGGAATCAGCAAAATAGATGCAAAAACTACAGACCTTTGAGTACTGGAGTACATTACTGTACTGGCTCGTCTCATCCAAGTGGCTGTAAATACTGTTAGAGGAATCTGTCGCTACATTTTGCATAAAACTAGAAAGTACCATTCGTACAGCACATCATTTAACACCCTGAGAGCATAAGTGTTCACAAGGGAATCATATGTTGTTGCCAACCATCTCAGAAATATATAACTAATTTCACAGATAGTTGTAATGACTTATTTTTCTCTGTGGGATCAAATCTGTGTTTTAGGTGTGACCCTGAGCACTCTGTTGGGTAGAAAAGGCAGTTTGGAGAAGATGAAAGACTACTGGGACGTCGGCTTCTACATCGGCGCCAACATCCTCGCCAACGAACATAAGAAAGTCATCGAAGGCTCTGAAAAACTCTACCGGCTCAACGCTCCAATCTGGTGAGAGTTCAGCACCAGCTCTTGATTAGCTGTAATCATAATTGTAATCAAGATAGAGTTTAGAGGGCTAGTTAGTGTATTTTGATGGGTTTGATTAGATACTCAGAAACCCCCTGTGGACTTAAAGGCTTTTAAAATTTTCAATGTTAATAAGTTTGACCTGATTTTTTTTCAGGTATGTGGCATCTATTATGGAGACTTTCATCCTGTACCGCCAGTTTGCCAAGCCGCCTGAGGTGAAATCTCTCAAACAGGACACTGTGGACTTCTGGACGGAGCTGCTCTTACAGACGTGTAAACCTACTGTTTCCACAGACCGCTGCCCTGTAAGCAACACCAAGAACCTTTACAGCAAAGATATTAAAAAGGGAAACTTTTGAGCAACTTTTAAGGAAGTTGGTGCTTTTGATAACAAACTGGTAACGTCCATTTTTATCTTGGTATTAACACACCCAAATGTAACTGCAGACAGAGTGATAACTATATCAAAAACATGTTTGTTGCTGCCTTTCAGGTCCTTATTCTGGAGCCTAGTAAAGTCCTTCAACCTGCTATTGTGTGTGTGAGCGAGGAGGATGAAAGCCGCACCGTCCAGTTGAAACACATCACACCCTTGAAGGTATGTGGACCCTCTGTCCTCCGCCCCCACCTTCACAGCTGCATGCTCCTGAGTACTTGCTGTGTACACACAGAGCAGAAAAATGACATAATGACAAGCAGACTGTGACTGTTTAATCCAACATGTTTGAGGGTGTGTTTTCCGTCGTTGTTTATGAGGGACTGTCTCACTTTGTACATCAGGAGCCAGGCTTGTTTACTTTCCTGTTTCATGAATGCATCTGTGAAATAAAAGCAAATCCATCATGAGTGACGCACCAGACAGTCTTGATCCTGTGACTTAACTTCATCCTTAATTCTACAGAAAGGCTTGCACCAGTGGACTTTCCCAGCATCTGCAATCCGGGGAGTGAGGTAAAGTGGAGTACAGCATGTGCTAACATCTCACAAATATCTGCAGCTCTCCGTTCTGGGTGTGGTCAGGCCTGCAGCAAAGCCAGAGGACCCGAAACACACTGGTTGCCAGGGAAACCTTGGCTGTCAGTCAGATTTTTAGTTTCAGTCTTTGCTTCTTTGTTTGTTTTTGTTTTTATTTTTCTTTTCGCCTGAAGATATTGATCTGTGTTTTTGAGGACTTTACTCTCGTGTTGAGTGCAGATTCATCACTTTGGCAGTTTTCAGCAGATACCCGATACAGTCAGCTGCTGACTCAGTTAGAAACAACAATGTTATCAGATGTGTCTGAAGACAGATGAGAGACAGGTTTTTTGTTCTTTTGTTTTCACTCAGCATTGACTTAATAATCTATTTACCTCAGTTTGTGCACTTAAACCTGCTAACATTGCTTCACACTTAATCATTAGCTTTTGTTGCTCCTGAACGGAACAATCATTGTCAAATACCTTTACATCTAACAGAGCTCAGTTTGCACCCAGATTATTTTAAACAAACATGTCTTATCTGAACTGATACATCTATGAATGTGATTATTTGTGTTTAATTTTGTACATTTATTTCTTCCTTTTCCTCTGAAGTGCTTCAAAGATCGATGAGCGGAGCTGCTTTCTGTATGTCCATTACAATTCAGACGACTTCCAGCTCTGCTTCCCCTCCGAGCTTCACTGTAAAGGGTGAGTCACAAACGAGCGTGCAAACAGACGACAGGTGCGTGTGTGTCTGTGCAAGGTGGTGTCAAAGATCTATTTACTTGGAAAATAAAGATGATGAAGGGTTACAGGAGGACACTCAGACCTACTTTCAAACCAAGTCCAGTCAGTGGCTTTAAGAAATGAGGGTGATGTAATTGTACGTAACGGAGTGAGTCACAATTTCTACATCGCCTTCTAAGAAAAAAAAAAAAAAAACAAGGACAGATTTCTTCGGTCGCTCTTTCAAAGTCAGGCGACCTAAAGTACATAAGACCGATCTATTTCCTTCTAATCTCATGTGGTTTCCACCACAGCAGATACTGTATCTCTTACCATCAGCAGCATCAAAGACACCAACTGTTTCTTTGTATATTGTTCATTTAAACTCTCTTTTCAGCCAAGTTTCTATTAAATTCAGGAGTGTAGAAAGTTTTCTTTCTGCCCAAACAGGTTTCAGCTCCAATGAGGAGCTTTTTGTTTGTGTTGATTTCAGAAATAGGTCATAAACTGGATGTAGGAGCAGCGTGTCAATCAAGACGTCACTTTGACATCTGCTGTACACCCTGGCAGCAGATCCAAGCAGGAATCTCAGTCTGGTTTCTGATGGTCTTGTTTTTATTTTTCTGGGTCAAAAGAAGCTCAAAGTTAAGTTTAGAACTTAGGAAATATACTTTTTTGTAATCCAGGTCAACTCAACCCTCTCAAGACCTCTTTGTAGATTCAATTCTCAACATATGCAGGCGGTTTTCTCACCAACAGGCATTTTCAAAAGTCAAAGTCAACTTTATTGTCAAATATGCTATACGTGTTAAACATACAGCACAGATGAAATAAGGCCATCAGCAGCAAGAATAATGGTTCTGTTTTTATATAGAAGACACACTCTTCACTCTTAGCCTCACTCTTCTGTGGTAAAGTCTATTTAAGTGAATTCGGGATCCTCAACCCTGAAACCTCTGACCTCTTTACCGTCCTGCTCACAGTGGGAACGGTTTCTAGCTAATGTTTGTTTTGCTTTAACTGAGAGCCGCTGAAGCTTTGTATAACCACGTGCTTCATTCCCATATTCATCACTGTCTTTCTTCTTACGCTTCTTTCTCTTTAGTTTCTGTGAGCTGGTGAACTCTCTGCTCCAGCAGGCTGTGGACCCTGCTCAGAGCCTGGACCATATTAGTGAGGGGATACTTGAGGTCAGTCGCAGTCGTCCGTGTCTCTGACATAGCGTCTGTTCCATTCTGGGTCTGACTTGATCCAATAAGTGGAAACTATAATAATTATCATGAGGAGTATTATGAATAATATCTGTTTGTGTATTTACTTAAACTGACAGACTCCTCGACTTGTTTTTTTTTGTGTTAAAAATAAATGAATGGCACGTCTGTTCTTCCGCTCTAAAATATTTTGCATGTCAAATCCCTCACCCCCTTGATGTTTCCACTTTCAGTCATTCTCATTCTCATCCATGCTGTCTTCATTTCTCTCTCCAGTACATCTATGAGACCAATGAGAACGGAGACAAGGTGATTCTGGGTAAAGGGACGTACGGTGTGGTGTACGCAGGGCGAGACCTGAGCAACCAAGTGCGCATCGCCATCAAGGAAATCCCAGAGAAGGACAGCACGTACGGGAAAGCAACACTCACGCTGTTTTTCTCTCTGCTGGGAGACACAAAGCTGCAGTGTTTCTCACAGGAATGGTTTTTTCCATAATATCCTTAGAGGGACAGGAGTTGGCAGGACAGATACTCACTGTCATGATTTAAGATTGTGTAGTCTTCTCGTTTTTGTTTATCACTCTGTAGTCTGCGCAGAGATCTTCGGCTGGCTTTGCAGTACTCCTCTAAAGGAAATGAGATATTCCTCAAGAGCTTTTGAATATTTGCCAAACCTTTCTGTGCTCAGGAGAGAGGAAGTTGTTTGAAGTTAGTCAGTTAATGGAGTTGTGCTCTAAAAATTCTTAAAATGAGTAAATATTGCACAGATTAGTAGAATTCAAACCATCAAAATTGAGTTTATTTTGCTAATCGATGCAAGACAGAGAGAAGAAGAGAGGAAATACTGTTTTTGTTGCATTCGCAGCTGCCATGTGATGTTATTTTTTAGCTGTTAGTAGTTTGAAGAGGAAAATTAAAATCAGTAGAGCCAAGAAAAACATCATATGACTAATAAAATCTGTGGGGAGCAGATGGGTTACTGTGCTCTTCCTGCTTCAGGGTTTTTTTAATGATGCCTCAGACTTCCTTTTTTTTTCACTTTTCTGACTGATAATGAGCTCATTCATTTTGAACCCTTGACACCAGATGCATGTCACGAGATCTCTACTTTTTCGCATTTTTTTTTTTTAAATAATAAAATGTTTTATTGTTGATGGACACACCTTTTATGCTCATTCCCTCTCAGGTACTCCCAGCCCCTCCACGAGGAGATCGCTCTGCACAAGAGGCTCAAACACAGGAACATCGTCCAGTACCTGGGCTCTGTCAGTCAGGATGGTTTCATCAAGATCTTCATGGAGGAAGTGCCAGGAGGTAGGAATCTGAAAATGTGCAGGATAACTGCTCATGACCCGACATCCTGGCACAGGCGATCTGAGGGACTTGGAAACCCCACTGTCCCTCAACGTGGATAAATGAAAAACAGGCGTGAGAAGAACACAGAAGATCACAGCAGCCTTAGCACAATTTAAAGTAATTTAAAATAAGCTGGAGGTTAAGATGGAAACACTGTGATGTTTTTATTTCAGATAATTTTGGAAAGCACCTAGCAACCCTTCAGGGGGTCCAGACCCCACATTGGGAAACACTTCTTCTGCACACAAGAGCACTCTTCAGTACATTAAGTAATTTTAATAAAATATCTGCTCAAAACTATTTCAGTATTAGACATCAAAAGCTTCTTCAACTTGAATTAGTTGTTGGCTTTCATCTGTGTCACAATTTCATTTCACTCTGATTCCTGTCATGCATTTACATCTGCATCTAGAAAATCTAAATAGTTCTGCAGTTTCGCTCTTTCTAGCAATCTCTATCATATAAGCAACAACAACTAAAGAACTTGTTGACACAGAGTTTACATGAGGAACTTGGAGAGAGCGACCTTGTCCAGTTTCCTTTCAAGTGCAAACATAAGGAATCCTTGCCCTTACATTTAGATCTGCCTTTCCCTGCTTACTGTGTGGTTTTGTTTTGGAGGGAAGCCTTTATTAAGCATGCAGGAAGTCAGAGCCTGAAGAGTGTATTGATGTGTGTGTATGTGCGCGTGTGTGTGCATGTGGTTGTGTAACCTCAACTGGAAGTCAGTTAGTGGGTGAGACATCCTGCTCTCTCATTGGAGAGAAAGTCTCTCCAGATAATGATGTCATCATCTCAAAAATAACCTATAACACGTGGACTCTCCTGATCCATACCTGGTCTGATATCACCAGCAAAGTCGAAATCATGTCTTCCTCTAGTTTGTGACTTTTGAACATTTAAGAAATGTCATTTAAGTTGTTTTCAGTTGTTTTCTCCTTTTGTTAATTTTCATTCTTCATACAGGTAGTTTGTCTTCTCTCTTGCGCTCTAAATGGGGTCCTCTGAAAGACAACGAGGCCACCATCATCTTCTACACCAAACAGATCCTGGAGGGGCTCAAGTACCTTCATGACCATCAGATAGTCCACAGAGACATTAAGGTGAAGAAGCGGTCTTGAACTCTGTGGGACAAATGAATACAGTGACGATTTCTAGGGCTGGGCGATAAACCGAAAATTTACTGATACCCAAATTTACGACAATAACCAACGTTGTTTTGTCCTTATCGGTATATTTGGGGTCAAATAAAAAAATAAAAGTTGGTTTTGGATGTGTGTAGGTAGGCTATGGTCTCACGTTCCTTTAAGACGCTGTCCTACATCAGAGACATGACTCCACCCCATCCAGTCGGTAACAAAGAGGGAAAAACAGGTGAGGAGATGGAGGACGGTTCAAAAGTTGACGACTGAAGTAGACGAAGTTAATGTGGGAGGGGGTGAGCAGCTTGTGGAGAAGTTATTGTCTATTTATCGTTATCAAGGTGAACTGCTCAACATATCGTGATATTGATTCGAGGCCTTATCGCCCAGCCCTAATGATTTCCATTCTTAGAATAATGAAATTGCAGTTAATGCTATAAATCTAAATAAAATCTGAATGTGGATCATTTGTCTTTTCTGCAGGGTGACAATGTCCTGATAAACACTTACAGTGGAGTTCTGAAGATCTCTGACTTTGGCACCTCTAAACGATTAGCAGGAATCAACCCGTGCACTGAGACATTTGCTGGTAAGATGCTTTTTAAAACATGTATCTCAGTTTTGTTTGTTTCTGACACCATGATCCCCATTTAAGGATAAATGTGCCAAAGTGACATTTCAATCATGTTTATGATGTTCCCTTTTGTAACAGGAACCCTCCAGTACATGGCCCCAGAGATCATAGACCAAGGACCTCGGGGTTATGGGAAGCCGGCTGATATCTGGTCCCTCGGGTGCACTATTATAGAAATGGCAACTGGCAAGACGCCTTTCCATGAGCTTGGAAGTCCACAGGCAGCCATGTTCAAGGTAAAAAATATTGTAATTTTGTAGATGTGATTATAGAAAATGGATTATCCCCAGATGATGAAACTTCCTGGATTAATCCACCCATTGTCAGGACTTTTGGTTTGCAGTGTTCATGATATAAACCCAACTAAAAGAATTCCCATGAGCCTGAGCTACAGGGTGTTTATTTATATTAGCTTGGAAACAGAACTAGCGAGGTCAACCAAGGTAAACATAAGCATGAAAGCATTTCTCTGTCAGCCTTTAATCACGGCGGTTAGCTCTGAGCTCTGAGTTATGCCGTCCTAAGATGAGTTGGCAACATACCAGATAAGTAATAGAGATATTATGCATGCTCTGATCTACAAAGTGGGATTTTAAGACACTTAACATGATTTGAAATTGGTCGTGTCTTTTAAAAAATATAGAGTAAATATGGATTTGATTGAGTTTACTGAAGGATTTTAACTAAATTGATCTCTAAGAGCATAAAACTCGGATTCAAGATGTCTAAATAAACACAAAATGTGTTTTTTATTGTTAATGTGCTCGTGTTTAAACTCTTCGAGTAACTTTTACACAATTTCATCAAGGTGGGCATGTTCAAGATCCACCCAAAAGTCCCGGAGTGTATGTCAGACGAGGCAAAAGGCTTCATCATGAACTGTTTCGAGCCGAACCCTGACAACAGAGCCACAGCCGACGAGCTGCTGAACGACACCTTCCTCAGGTCGTCTCCCAGGAGGAAGGCAAAACCTCAGCAGGAATCTGAATCGAAGGACAGCCTCTCTGCAGGTTAGTGCGTGCTAATCGTCTTTCAAGGTCAAGGGTTCATCAGATTTCTTATGAGTTTTATCTTTATGATCTCAACACATATCTAACTTGTAATCTCTGGGTTTTTACAGCCGACTATCAACGCAGCCTGTCTGTGCCTATCTCCATCCTTGTGGAGGACACCGATTCGTACTCAGGTTCGATCGACCTGTCCTGTTCTCTGGACTTCAGAAGGCCGCACTCTGCTCTCTTAACAAATGAAATCTCAGAGAGCCCACCGAGCGCCTGCAGCTTCCTGTCGTGAGTTACACTGTTACCCAACAGAGGAGGAAAGTTGTTCGATTTCTGCACCAGATGTAATTCACAGGATTTTACGTCAGTGGCAAACCGCACTGAGGTTTCCTGTGTAGGCATAAAATAGGGCAAAACGCCAACATAAGAAATGCCACAGTCTACAGTAAATCATATATAACTGATGAAATCGCCTCAAAATCTAAAACTCAAATATTGATATGTAAATGTAAACTCTTCTCATGAGCTGATCTGGTGTTATTGACCCTGCAGATTACCTGAGGACTCTCCATCAGAAATGTGCAGCCCGGCATCAACAGGGGAGAGCGTTGGGCTGTTTATGCTGAGGAAGGACAGCGAGAGGAGGGCCACCCTGCACCGAGTCCTCACCGACTACATCAGCCTGGTCGTCTTTAACATTCAGGACTCTGTGCCTCAGGTGGGTGAAGAAAAGTCACAAATCTAATCTAATCTAATCTAATCTAATCTAATCTAATCTAATCTAATCTAATCATGGAGGACAAAAACTTCATCACTAAAGGGTTATTTGTTTGCATATATAAAAGGAAAAAAATGGATAAATAACTAGAGGTAACATCCACCTTTTAAATTTGCAGAGTAAATCTTTGGGTTTCCTTGAGCCAAAATTGATCATTAATGATTCAGAACCAAAGATACTGTTTGTCGACACCAAGTGAAACTTTTATTTGCTGAGTGAATCCTCATAATTCTACCATGACCATCACTGAAAAGACTGAAAACTGCTTCAAAACCCTTTTCTTTTTTAATTTCTACAAAAAGAAATTGCTTAAAATTAAGTTATCAGACAGGATTGTGTTTGGAAACCTCCTTTTGCCTCATAATTAATCAAACACGCATTATTAACTGCAGTTTCCAAGTTGCATCCTTCGTATATTTTGTGGCTAAGATGTATACGCCACAGTGCATCACAGTCCCTGATGGAAAAATAGCATGAAGGGCTTGAGTTTCATTTCCTTAATTCTAAACATGCAAACCCGACTGACACTCTCAACCAACAGTCACAGAGTTCATTCCAGAGTTGGTGCCAACGAGTAACTTAACAATAACAAAAGCATCTAGGAGTCTCTCTTCATTCAGAGTAAGAACTACACTGTCAAAATACCAGCACATGCTTATTTTTTCCTCTTCCGCTGTAGGTAATGTTGCCTTGCTGTTGATAACACTTTGCTCAAAGTGTGAAATCTATAATAAATAGCAATAATGTAGTAATGAATAAGAATGAAAAGTAAAATGCACTTGTAAAACGTTGCTTTAAAATCAGAATTTGAGCTACCATTTGGAAATACAGTCAGACTAATCCTTCCCTTAAACAGCCGTCAGAACTATTGAGACCAAACTGTTATTTTCTAAAACACCCGTCTTCTAACTGAACTTCATCTAGTTAAAATACAGTTGAAGTCAGATCTTGGATATCATGACCTGACTTCACTCCTGTTTTCAAACAAATTTCAACATTGAAATCTGGGTCATGACTCACAGAGCATCAGCAAGTCTTGACATGTAGGTGAAGGAATGATCCCTGGATGAAACGAAGAGCCTATAAGGCGGGAGTGTGGATCCCTCCTTTGGTTTTGATATGACACAAATTGCCCAGACATGCCGCCGCACAATAAATGAACAATAATTAAGCAGCGAGTGCAAATCCAACAAGGAAGTTGTCTTGCAAGAATGTAATTTTGAGCCTTAGGGTACTTTTGATGTCATATGTTAACCAGGAGTAGCACTTGTTTTTCACTTAGAAGGTGTCTTGTGCACAACAGTATTTCCCTGAAGCGAAAAGGTGTTGGTGCTACTTTCTTAATTTGTTTTCTGTCAAAGTCTTTAGATGCCAGGTTTAGATCTAAAGAACAATACTCCAAATAGAAAATCTTAATTAGTAATAACCCCTTTGAGATGTTTAATCTTGTTTTTAATAGGTTCTTTAAAAAAATTGAGCTACCATGCGTATTATAAGGTCTGCTCAGTCTTGTTGCACACTCAGTTTTGTGTTTGTGCAGCAGGAAATAAAGAAAAATGCAAAATTTAATGTTTTTAGACATTGCAAAACCAACTTCAGATTTAATGTCTTTCTCTGAAGCTTTTGTAACCCCATACTCTAGAAAAATTGCATGTATTAACCGACCAAAGAGCTAAAACAACAATTAGACGGTGCCCTCATTCTTCACTTCCTGTCATCTTGTCTCTTAAAGCACGGGGAAGGACCACATCTCACTGCAGAACACATCACTGAGCTCATCAAATGCTTGCGAGACAACATCCGCTCCCCAGACAGGAAACAGCTGACCAGCAGTCTGCTGGACCTCCGAGCCACACTGGTCACTGCCGCAGTGCCCATGAGCAGCCTGCAGGTGGTGCTGTTCAGCTTTCAAGACGCAGTAAGTTTACTCAGGAGTCTACGCACATCTTTCACAGCAGCTACTCGTTCAGTGACATGTTTTGGCTGAAATGTTTTGCGCTCTGTTCTCTGTGTAGGTGAAGAAGGTGTTGAGGCAGCAGCAGGTGAAACCTCACTGGATGTTTGCTCTGGACAATCTGCTGAGACAGGCGGTGCAGGATGCCATCACTGTGCTGCTCCCAGGTAAAGTTTGATCTGATTTTAGTGGATATCTTGCAAGGAAAGCAAAAATATTTGAGCATGAGGGTGTTTTTTTTGCCTCTTTTTGTGTTCTTTGTAATTCTTTTACTTGAATTTACAAACTTGTTTTTTATACTTTTTGTTAATCCTGTATTTTATTTAATTATTTTCCACACCTCCTCCTCTTTCTATGTGTCTCAGAGCTGAAAATCCAGCTGCAGTCCTCATTTGAGGTTGAAGACAGCACTCCCGAGGAGCAGTCCATTGACCCTGACACTCCTATCGCTATCGCACCTGATCAACAGGTGGCGCCAGCAGACTTCCAGCCGATAGCAACGATAACTGAATTCCTTCCTGCAGACAGCCCCAACACCCCCACAGACCTCATCCTCAACTCCAACTGCCCCCTCAGTGACAAACTAAAGGACCTACGTCTAGAAACGAGACGGTAGATTTGACTTATTTTCATGTTTGTTTTTTTTATTTTTCATATTTTTAATAAACACTAAATGATTTTGTGTTTATCAAGAGCCAGTGCACTTGGACAATCAAAACTTCCGTGATTAATTATGGCTGTCTTGCAGCTCTGGCCTCGGTATTAAGCAGTAAACAGAGTGATTAATGAGGATTTTGAGATGCTGCTTTTTCTGCTGAGTAATGAAGGCTTTTCTGTGCTGCAGACTGCTGAGTCAGCTGAATGAGAAGGAGAGAGAGTACCAGGAGCTGCTGAAGAACTCTGTGCAGAGGAAACAGGAACAGATAGATGCTCTGAGGAAAGCAGCAGTCGCTGAAGGTGATGATATAAGTTTAACCATTAACACCAGATTTTCTCTTTAGGTTTTATTTCGGCAGCTTTTCTATTGAGGAGAAACAACATGGATAAATTAGTTTTAGAGCAACTGTGTAAGAAAAAGACTCTTTTAGCCTAACACACCACTGGCGTTTTGTATATATCTTTAAAAAGTAATGAGTCAGGAAGGGAAGACAGCAAAATCGTACCAAAATTCTGTGTAGATCTGCATTTTTTATGATATGAGGCCAAAGCTGTCTGTGGTGGAGTTGAGTGCAGGTTAAGTCCCTATTTTTATATCATCATAAAATATTAGGAAGACTGTTTTACTCCAAATAGTTTCCTGCATAAACCTTTTAGACCATTTGAATGTGAAAAATGCATCTTTCCTTATTCTGACTGATCCCATTGGCGTGTCTTTAGATTAAAATCACCAGTTTGGTAACAGTGTTGAGCGTTCACCACAGCTCTCCTAATGGGGCGATACACCGTAGAGGAATCGCTGCAGGTGTCTAATAAATTAGACTCTTTACTTATCCAAAAATCTTGTTCCCAGTAGTAAAGTCGGATAAACAGCTATTACCGTTAGCTTGCTGTCTTTCTTTTCTGGGTACATTCTGTACAAACATCGATTAAAATCAAGGCTAGTTCCCACCCTCCTGAAATCCTAGGGCAGAAATAATGATTGATTACATCCTTTAGGCATCAAGGTAGTAACGGTTCTTGAACAAGATGTCACTTGAATGCTCATGCAGGTGAATGTGTGACAGCCCTCACTTCAGATTGAACAAACAACAGTGGCCTTATACTGAAAATCGAGTTTTAAATCTGATCTGTACCAGTTTTCATTATCAAACCTCTACATCCAACTAAAGTTATTATATCTCAATGTTTTAACCTCAAGTCAGTCATTAGTGGAGCTGTTTCATACGTCCAGAGTCATTTGCCAATCGCTCTAACAATGAGCCAGTTTCTAAGATTTGGAAAGAGCTCACTCTAACACACAAGCTACGGCATGACCCGTATTGCATCAATAGACCTCTGTTAGTTTATCAATATACCGAGGGATTCTCATTACTGTTTCTTAAGACTCGTACTAGTCAATCCCCACCACGCCTCAGCTTCAGGCGCAGGATTTCTGCCTGACTGGTTTGTGTCGGAGTCATCGAACGTCGAGTCATCAGCCACAATGTGCTCAAACTTGACTCGTCACTTTAGGTAATGATTATACAGCGCGCCTGCGGTAACTCGACAACAGCGCCATGTGATACTGTTTGTCTGTTTTGAAGTGCTAAACGTGTTCATGTCTTTACTTTATAGATGGAGAATTAGCTCTACAGAAAAGCTCTAATCCAGAGGTGAAGGCTTTAGTGCGCTGGCTCAAGGCTGTCCCCGTAGATCAAGACACTATCGACAAGGTAAACTCAACGCTCAGCCATTTTTGACATTTCTTTCACTCCTGACGATGCATTACTCATATGTGCTCTTCTCACACCTGCATGACCTTTCCTCCAGTTGCTCTCTCACGGGTTCACCTTGGATTGTCTCCTCCACATCGCCTCCAGGGACGATTTGATGTACTGTGGAATAAGGTGAGCCGCCTCACACCGTCAGTCCACGCAGGAGCTCAGGAGGGGACCTTGTTATTTTGTGTTACGTCAAGTCTGTCAAGCCCCAGTTATCTTGAATCTGAATCTGTTGTCGTTTCAGAGGAGGCATGCTGTGTCGAGTCTGGGCAGCCATCACGGCTCGCAGGAAAAAACAGCTCAGCACGCACGACGAGGACGGCGAGGACGATCCGTTTGATGGCTGCTGATGTTGTGCATCAAAAGACAGATTCACTGACAGGCTGGTCCTGTTGGAGGAAGGGAGATGGAGAGCAAGATACACTTTGGTTCCCTTGTCGACCTGTGAATGTATTCCTTCTGAGATACCGATCAGTTCTTCCATTTCCTGTGCATATCAAGTAGTCTTGGCAGCATTTTGTTTAACAGTTTCTCAGGGCTTTTTAAACTGGGACTATAAAAAAAACAGCCTTTTAAGGGAGATGATTCACCTGCAAGTAAACATGTGAATGCAATTTTAACAATGTCTTTTGACGACACTTTTTGTGTGTTTGTGAAATCTTAGCAGGTCTAAGTTTAAACTATATTTAAGATGAATGTCTGAAAAGGATTGTTTTTCTTTTTTTTTCTGTCATAACTGATTCAGACAATAAACAGGAACCTTAAATCTCCGTCTGGGCTGTTATCTCTGTGCAGCAGTGTTTGTGTGTGTGTGTGTGTGTTTTGTTGGAAAGGGAGTGACCGAGGCTGGAATAAGTGATGAAGCGGTGAGCTGTCTTAAAATTCCACTCATGTTCCCTCATCTGTTTTCACAATGTTGACATCTCCTTGGGAACAGTGACATAAGTGAGCTTTGTGTGCTTCTGCGGCTTCGTGTGAAATTGTTGTGCAGCATTGCGTGTTTGGATCAAAGTCTTGAGTTTTGAAAACTTAAGAAGTTTCTCTGATAAATCATCTAACTCTTTCAGGTTTGAGATAACTGACTCAGGAATTATACTTTAGTCGTATTAAAATGAAAACAAAAGAGCGTAGAAAGGTCAGGATCAGAGCATCAGGGGTTTAGAGATCATTTTTACACGCTCAAAAATACTTTCCAGCGTGTCATTTATTCCTGATGATCTCAGAGGTCTTTTGTTAGATCAGACGATGCTCTTTATTTTGATAAGCCCAACTGAGGTTTGTTAAATGCCATTACACATCCATTTACTTTTAATGAGAGAGGTGACTTCACTAAGTCTCTGGGTGTTACTGCTTACAACCCCTGGCGCCTGATAAATAGTCATTTATCTCATGGCTGTTGCTGCATTTTCTAACAATGTGATCACCTTTTTATCATGACCACATGTGCCTGTAAAGCAGCTATAACTTTAAGGATTTCGTTGTTACCATGCAATCCATTCCCGCTAAAAGTTTTGTGGGCATTTCAGGCAGTTTTGAAGTATAAGCTGGATTCGAACCAAACTAACTGAAAATTGACCATATTATATCACATTGGACCTGATAAAGGTTAATAAAACTGTGGCAAAAATACGATTTGATATGTTACAATATGATATGTTATGATATGATATGATACTAGATATGATACAATATGAAACGTGATATAATATGATACAGTACAAAATGATACGCTACAATACGATATACGATGCGAGTTATAATACAATGCTGTACGATACAGGACAATATGTTACGATATGATATGATACAACATGATTCGATGCAAGATATGATATGATACGTGATACGTGATACGATATGATGCAGGACAATATGTTACGATACAAGATATGACGCGATATGATATGTGATACGATATAAAATGATGCAGGACAATATGTTATGATATGTTAGGATATGATACAACAGGATGTGATACTAGATATGCCAAATATGATGCATGATATGATACAATACAGGACAATATGCTACAATATGATATACAAGACAAGATTTGATACGGTATGGTACAATGCAGGACAATATGTTATGATATGATATGATATGATATGACATGATACGATACGAGATATGATACGATATGATATAATGCAGGACAATATGTTACGATATGATATGGTATGGTATGAGATTTGATATGATACGATACAGGATATGATGTTACCGTACAAGATAAAACGATACAAGATATGATACGATATGATACAATACAGGACAAAACGTTATAATACGATAAGGTATGTTATGGGATATTGTACGATATGATTCATTGCAAGCTTTTATTTTTAGGGCTTTTGTTAAAATTTGTTACTGTATCATAGCTGAGATAATTTTTTGTTTACAGCTACAATGAACACTATTCATGATGATGCTTCCTCTCCATACCTCCAAAGTTTGATATGAGTCTCTCCTCGGATGGTTTATTACATCATTTCTCTATTAGACATGTGAAGCCCTCCAAAAAACTTCCACCCCTTACGCAGGAATACAGATTAGGCCTGTGAGTGTCATACACTTTGATTTACCTCTGCACCAATCTTGAATCCTGAATAGATCAAGAGGAAGAGGACCAATAAATCAAGTCAGGCATCTTCCTCCTTTGTCCTTGAGTTGTGTCAGGAGGGAAATTAATACCCAGATTTTATCGGCTAAATTCAATTTGGCAGCATCCCATCTCCTCATTGTTCCCCCCTGCTTCTCAGATATTTGTGTAATAAATGAAACTTGAGGGGAAATAAAAAGAAGTATTCGCTGATTTATAAGTCACAGATAACACAAAATGCAAAGATTCACTCTGAATTTTGAAGACTTTAACACATAAGGGTTTTGTCTACCGATGTGTCTATGTGTTTGCTGGTTAATGCAGAAATAATGAGAACTTATTCAACTACACATCATCAAAGCTTTTAATAAACATCTCAGAATTTTATCTCATAGGTAATGAATAAACAACATCATCCTGCTCATGCTCATCATGGCTGTGAAGGTGTTCGACAAACGTATGCTAATGCACCACATTCACTCTGAGTCATGTTGCCTTACAGCCACAACACGGCCGCACACGTCACCTCAGTCTCATTTCCTTTTAAAGATAATTGGATGTAATGTCAGTGCAGCCCCCCAAGTCCCCCCTATTCTAATAAGCTTTATACCACAATAGCATTAGGGTTGTCCTGCTAATAGGATGCTAACTATTAGCTTTTATCTGACAGTGACGCTCAGAGTCAGTGTCAGCTGGTTCAATGTTGGAAAATGGATCTGTTTACAATAAAGGGAGCCAATGGGACAGTGTTTTCTCATTGTTTATACTCCCAATTTCACTTTTGTCCTAAACTTCCCATTAATCCTCTTGTCATCATCATAATGCATTTTTAATTTCTGCTCAAACTCTTTGGTTTTCTGTACATATTAAAGGGACCCTGATGATCTGAGGGAATTTGTATTGTCTTAAGGAATTCTCTGTCCTTTCTTCTTTTTCAACTCTACAGTAAATCCCTCCATCTCTGCTCTGTCTGAGGGTGGAGCTAAGCCGCTGATAGGCAAATAATGAGGACTTCTGTCGGGGGGATTTTGTCAGGCTCTTGAGGGGATTGAGGGCACTGCACTGGGAGGCCCAGAACCCTTTGTGGGATAACTGAACTCGCCTTTTTTTTTAATCTGCTCCCAATGGGCAGGTCACCCCGTTTTTCTGGACTAAACTTGAAAGTTAAATTTGAACATTTCTAGCAGGGTTTGATCAAAAATGCAGCAGTGGGGCTGCAGCATGATTCACTCGCTTGTTTCTGCTCTGAAGAGTGAATCGTGAGTCTGGTGTTGAGTGCACCAGAGCTTGTTAATGACAAAATCAGCAATTGCTCCATAATGTATAATTAACCGTAGAGGTTGCAACCAAGCTGCTTTGCTTCTATTATTAAACTCACATGCTCATATGCCTGCAGGTGCTCACAGATGTTTATTATGCATTAGCATGCAAAATCACAGATCATATCAAGGCCGTTTTCCTCATTATTCCCTTTCACATCCCACACTACCCATATTTCCTCTATAATGCAGTTTCAGCATGCGGCTTTATGAACGGACAACATGTTAAAAACACATTTTTCACATTGCTTCATCACTCCTCTGAGTTCTGATGATAGTCAGTGTGCAGGAATTTGGGCTTGTACATACAGTTGAAACCAGAAGTTTACATACACTGTATAAAAAGGCACATAACCTTTTTTCCTCACTGTCTAACATTAAATCAGATTAATCTTTTCCTGTTTTCGGTCAATTAGGATTTCCAAAATTATTTTTATTTGCTAAATGCCAGAATAAAGAGAGAGAGAATTTTTAGACATTTTTTAAAATTATTTTTTTCATAATAATTATTATTTCTACTGCTTACATTACTACTAATATCACGACTAAGACTACTTATCATACTAATACGAGAACTACAACTTAAACTTGTGCCACTTCTCACCTTCCTGCCTTTTAAGGTAATTTACTTCTTCATTCAAACTTTGTGCAATTTTAGACATTTTTCTCGCCTCTTTCAACATTAATAAAATTTCAATTTATGGAGCATCTTCATACTATTTGTCCTTCAACCATTTTCACAATTATCCAACTTCTGCTACAACTTTTTCACCCCTTCAACAGCTTTTACATTTATACCTTCATCCATTAGTAGTTTTGCATTGCTTTTTCAGCATTTAACACTCACCATTTCCACACATTTTCTGCAAGGAAATCCAGTTTTTCTAGTTTATACTTCATGGGACTTAAACTCTATTAGTATTTTATCGCATAATAAAACTGATTCTGATTCACAGTAGTATTCTTTGCCGCACACTTAGTGCAGCAGTTAATCTCTGTCGGGATATCTGTCTCCCTCGGGAGCGTTTAGGAATTTTCTTATCTTCATGACCCTCAGGAGGAGGAAGGATTGAGGAATGAAAGGGAAGCATTTAGTGTCATGTTATCTTCTCTGTTTCACGCTGGCTCATTTGCAAAGAATAGCCCGTAAGTAGCTTCCAGTGTTGCAGCACAGCAGACAAAACACTGACACCACTGATGGACGGCTATGGTGGTTACAGCTGGAGAGGAATATTCCCTCAGCTGCTCTGTGGCATATAGAATTAATCCTGGCAGTAATCCAGAGGGGGTCGAATTAAAACAACTAATCTTATGTGTGTGTGTGGCACACACGTGCGTAAGAGCATGTGTGTGTGTGAGTGTGACAAAGCTTCTCCGGGGCTTGACCTCGAGACCTTTCCCCCTTTGTTTATCTCTGTTGTGTTTGTGTCACTTTGACAGCAACCCATCGATATAACAAAGAATCATCGGTTTTTATCGAACACTGATGCTCCACCATTAACCAGGCCTTTCAAAAAATTGGCAAAAAGTGACAAAGGGAGTCCAGGAATTTGGACACGCTTTTGGATTGGCAAATACTGCAAAATCCTGTAAGTGTAGGATACATAAAAGACAAAGCCAAGATGCTTTTGACCAAAGTAACTTTCCTCAGAAACTAGGGACTTTTGAAGAACTGTGTGTCTCGACTGCGGAAACTAGGGTCTAGATTTAGTTCCTGCATAGGTAACTTAATTTCCAGATACCATCCATGGATGTCAATAGCCTGATCTGCATTGTTTACTCAGGAAACAAACTCAACAATCAGCCACAGGAGCCATTTAGATTTGCAAAAAGGTCCTGGAAACTAAGAGTTCTTGGTGCTTTTGGTAAAAAAAACAAAAACATCTTTTTGAAAGCTCAGAGTTCCTCTGTTTTTATAAACTGTATATGATGTTATTGTGCAGGTTTAAAACAGAATTCAAACCTTATTTTACCATTTTAATGCCTTTGAGGATTTTCATTTGAGCTAAATTTAAGGTTTTGGTTGCCATGCTTGCAGCTAAAAATGGATTAGTCATATTGATGGTTAGTCATATTGCTGTAATGATTAAATGGGTTGCAATGGAAATTTTATAGAAATATATGGTGTTTAGAGTATAAATACTCTTAATGTACTGATCCTCGCCCCTTCAATCATCACCACTTGGCTGACTGCCATGGCCTTTGGTTCAGAAATTTTAACAGACCTTAAAGTGGAATCATTTGGTCAAAAATCTTCACTTTCCAATTTAAGCAAATAATAGTTTATAAGTTAGGCACATTTCGGATCATGCAAAAACTTTCTGATAAAGCCATCCTCCTTTAAATAAAGCTTTATTTTTATCCAGCACTGTCCTCTTTTGCAAAATGTGTTCATTAAGTTTCTTCAACACTCTGACATTATTAGTGCAGTGTTCATGTTTGCTACAAAGAGGTGGCAGACTTCTTAAACATCCTGCTTGATTTGAACACACTAGCATTGTCAGAATGAGGATGTTATCAAGCTAACGCTCATTCTTCCTGTAAAGTGCTCTTTAACTTCTCTAGAAGGAGAAAACTACATTAAGCTTGGAAGCTTTCTCCAGATGCACTGAGCTGTTGTGCTGCCGGTCGGTCAGTTTAACCTCACTGAAACTTTACCCGTTGTACTTTTAGTTTCCTCCTTACAAACAGAACCAGAGGTCAAGGCAAGGAACTCCCACCCTCTCATTCACGTTTTTTTCTACCTCTGCTATTTTCCTCCCCTTCCCTCTCCTTCTCTCCTCATTGTTGGTTGTCATGGAAATAGAACCATAGGGAGGAGGGGGGACTTCTATTATTGAGGCAGTTGTTGGTAGTGGGCTGGGAGCTGGGAATAGTGAAATGGAGCAGTTCATGCACTCATAAACAGAGAGTGCGGTGGAGCAGAAGGGAGGTGGAGGGGCTGCGGGGTCGAGGGAGAGAGAAACGAGGAAAAGGAGAATAGGAGAGGGGCCCCGAGGGTGAGCGGGAGAGAGGAGCCAACTCCACGTGTTTTGGCCCACTGCTAACTGATAGCACGTTTTAGACCATTACGTCATGGTCTGCCGGTCTCTGTGCTGTTTGAGACTCACTGCTGTGGGATCACATTCTTCATGGAAGACGGCCCGGGGTAATGACACCTGTTGTTGAAGGACTGAGAGTCTGTTAAAAGACGGTACATGGAGCGTTTATGAGCAGTGACAGGCTGTGTTAACGATTGCATACCATAAAGGAAACAGTTTAACGTGATTTAATTAAGACATAACAGACTTTTTATGATGTTTCTCAGCTTAAACTGAATACAGCTTATGCTTGTGCTCAGTTTTGAAATTGTCACTTTTCTTGGGTTTGTGAGCACAGTCTTCATGATGCCAGCCAAACAACCCGCAGGATTTTTCAGCAATCACATTTTTATTGCTTCACCACTAGAAAAGCATGTTTTCCAAAGTGGAGCACCCCCTTTTATTGCACATTAAGGTCATTAACTGTAAGCACTATCCAGCCTATAAAACTATAACATGTCTTAACCCCTAATGGAGACGCACAGATTTGAAATGCAATCCTAATGATGTCAGATGAGGGTTGCATCGTGGAGCTTGACCACTTCTCAGTCTATGTATTACAACATTTAACATTTTCTTAATTAGTTTTGGTCTCAAATGCTAGTTTCACACACCCATAATAACTTTTTAAGTTTCAGACCTACATATAAAGTTGCATCATTAAAGGTGGGACTGAGTGGTGGTGGGATTCTGCAGCTGTTGGACAGGTAACCCCACCTCAGCTTTACTATTAAGATTGAGTCACCAGCCCAAAATTGTTGGTCTTCAAAGCAGCACTTTAAAAACCAATGGCTGATTTTGTAGAGGCTACAACTCTTTTTTATACAGTCCAAATCTTTATCCAAATATGGTTACTTTTAGCAGTAGCCCAAGGCGTAAACAAACTAAGCGCCTGCTTAGGGCCCCGCAGCCAGTAGGCAGCCCCCAAGAGCAATCAAAAAAATAAAAATATATTATTATTATTTGCATGTATGAGTGATGCTTTATGTGTGATCAAAGACATATTATTGTAAAAATAAAATAAAACATTTTAGTGCTGCTGCTGATGTAGGCCTATGATTCTTACTGCCGATATGTTAAAGCTCCACCAACGTTTTATGCCTCCTGTTGTGCAATGTGCACTAAGCATCCTGAATGTGTTACATTTTGAGATTAAAACCATATGTGGCACCCTGTACATCATTCATCAGTCATTCATTGGTATTATCTGTATGGTTGCATTGGTATTATTAATGTCATTACCTAGGCCACCCCCTTAAATGTGTAGACATGTCAGGTGCACTAAATTTATACAGTAGGAGGTATGTGAATGATCAACAATCAATATTATTGGCAGAAATAGTGGCCCCAAAATCAAATTTTGCTTAGGGCTCCATTGAGGCTTGGGTCGGCTCTGACTTCTAGCTCCAAAAGACTGTGTCAACCCCATAGTGATACTGTCTTTAATACAGATCCAAGATTTTGGAGTCGCCTTTTTATTAATTATCGTCATTTGTCAGCATCTTCACATTTTCATTTAGTCTATAGCTCCACCTTACAATACATCCAGACCTCCCAACTTGAGTCCAAATCCCTTTCCCTAAAGAAAAGCAGACTAAATTCAGATGATTCATACTAAACAGTCCTCTTTTTCCCAGCACCCCAGAGAGACACACAAAGAAACAGGGGGACTCTCCCACACTCTATCTCTGCTTGCCTCTCTGTCTGCGCTTACACACACGTTTTCTTCAGAGTGACATGTGATGTAGTGTCTGATTAAATCACACTAAAGGAAACAAAAGACAACAAGGTCGTAAATTATTTGAGTCTACATGCCCCCTACAGGTGTAGGTGACATTTGACCCCGCTCAGTCCGGACAGTGATGAGGGAAGACAAACTGGTGTTGCATGACGGCGAATTAAACAAGCACAACAAAATTAAACTGACGTCATTATGAAATGATGTGAAAAACTGTCTTTGCTGAATGCCTCAGTTTAAACAGATTAAGGACGTACCAGGAACCCTGTTTCCTCAGCAAATCCATCATAGTTGATTAGTGTCATATCCACCCTTCCCTCATGGTACCCCACCCATGCTGCTGTGACTACGCACCATTTACCAAGAGCAGATATAGTGTATTCAGTAGTCTATAACACAGAATTGGTCTTTACTCTCTGGGGACATTCTGGACATTCCTGCTATTGTTGTTTCATTACCAGGCTGAGGGTTACTCTTGCCATTCACTCTGGCTGACCTCTAGATTAACAGGCGGAGCTGCTGGGGACCATGTTCCTGAAATAAATAGATGTGAGCTCTTTCTTTAAAAGTCATGGTGTACATTTTTGCTAGTGGGTCCCATAAAACACTTATGTTTTGATTTGTCTGACTCTCCTAGAATAAAAATGGGAAACAGCTCACCACTCTGAGAGACTGATTGAGCAAATGGTTCAATAAAAAAGTTCCACAGAGAGAAAACTTTTAGGTATTTCATTGTCTTTAGATCTCCGTTCATAATTGATAAGGCCAAAAACTTATCCTGGATATGACTGAGGTGGCAGTCACTGCATCAGTTCAAAAAACCATCACCTGGAAAAACAGTTCATCACTGCATCCATAGCTGCAAATTAAAACCGTACCATGCAAAGAGGAACCCATAAAACATGATTCAGAAACACCTGCAAGTTTTCTTGGCCGAAGCTCCTTTAAAATGGACTGAGTTGGAGTCAAAAACTGTCCTATGATCATGATTTGAACTTCTTTTTGGAAATCATAGGTGCCAAATCCTCTGCTGTAAAGAGAAGAGAAACTGTTACACTTGTTCTCAGCACACTGTTCATAAACCAGCTGACTGATGTGGTGCTGAACACTATATGCTAGTTTTGGAGCAACATATGCTGCTCTCCAGATAATATCTTTTACAGGGAAACCTTTGCCTGCATATTTCAACAAGACAATGCCAAACCAAACATGGCTCTATAAAGGATCCCAGATGCTAAATTGGCTTACCTGCAGTCCACATCGAATTTCAACTGTTGTATATGTGTATTAAAAACTACTGGGTATGTTTTCTTCTGACCAAAAGTCCAAGAAGATGACACTTACTGACTTTCATCCAGGTCGGCTGGTCTTGGAAGTATATCGACTAATAAACTGGCAGCAACAATATATAATAGACTCTATCTGTTAGAATAATACCGGTTTTTCCTTCATGCATCATGTTTAGATTTACCGATTATGTTGTGTATTTACCACCCGTTAAGTTCCCGACATGAGTCTTCTGAACATTGTCCTGTGAAGATAAGCCTTCATCAGTGACTCTTTCAGCAGAGCAGTTTTTCTACAACATCTGTTTCTGGACCCAAACTCCCCTTTCCTTTCTTTAGATCATTTCCCCACTCTGCTCTCTTATCTCTCCTTGTTTCCTGAATGTGTATTTACTAATGCAATCAACCCCTCACAGTAGTGATGATATTTGTTTACTCTTCTATCCCCAGTGTTTTCTGTTAACTGTTCATTTCAAGGCGTGAAGTGCTTACAGCGATCTGTTGCAGTTTAATGAGATGTGTGAGTGTGTTTGAATGTATGGGGGTCTCTGTGTGTGTGAGGATGAGAAGTGCAGCTGCAGCTCCAAAATCAAGTCCTTTCTTGAGCCCTGAGGGATGGGTGAGGGAGGAGGGAGGGAGGGAGGGAGGGAGTCCCCCGCTTCCTGTGTGCAGTGAGGCTGAAGAAGTGGTTTACAAATGGAGATGACACAGGTTTCTGCACAACCTGTCCTAAATTCAAATGGTTTCATGAGAACAGGTGACACAAAAAAGACAGATGAAGCACTGTAAGGCTCTGATATGTCAGTTTGTGACTTCTGTCTGCAGAAATTTAACATAATGATCCAGCACATCAAAAGTGCAGCTCATGGAGACTGACTGTGCATTTTTCCTCTATCTGCATCCACCTTGTTTTGAATGGCTCATTGACACAGCATGGTTCTGTGATGTGAGATAAATAGACTCACGCCTCCTGACTCTGAGGTATGCTTTTATCCTGAGTATGCCCTTTAATTTTCCTATCAGACTGCTGACTCCGGCGCCTAGACTGCTGTTAAGTGTGCAAGGTTAAATAGTGATGAACGATTACCAACAATGTTACACTTTCTTCGAAAAGTCATGATTATCTTGTTAAAAACTCTTATAAATGACAAATTTTGATGTACGATACTTAAAGCTCATGTGAGGACTTTTTTGGCAGATTGTAAAACAGACTGAAATTCATACTGTTGTGGTTATTTGAGTTGCAGAAGCAAATGAGACCATCAGCCTAAAGATGGGCGACTTCTAATGCATGAAACTCCTGCACCAGGGTAGGTGTCAAAAAAGTTATTAACTACATGTTGCAAAAAAAGGAGCCATGACACTTGACTATTTGAGGAAGTATAATGAAGTATTTAGTCCGAAAACACAATTAAACCATATATGAAAAAGACATACAGATCACAGACTGTGCCAAATATCCACAAAAAATCCACACAGGAGCTTTAATTCTCCAAACCCGTAAAAATATCACTATCAAATGTAGTGTTTGGGCTTTTTGGGCTTTATGTTGAGAGATGTAACAAAAATATTCTTACGTCCAAAATATTTGAATCACAACCTCTTCGTGGTTCAAATTGTTGCATTTTCCCAATGCACCATGAATTAGTTTGTTCCAGTACCATTAACCTTAACTCATGCGCGGTCCTCAGCCTAACCCCAGGCTTTGATTCTGCAAAACCTATCATCCACTTATTCAAGAGCACCCCCAGCCCCCACTCTCTTCAACATCCCCCACTTTCCAGTTGCAGTGACAGGTGGCTCTTGGGGGTTTGGGGTAACACAGCTCAACAGCTGCACAAAAGAGCCCCACTGAGGTCCTTTTGGGGGGGTGTCCACTCTCAAGCGTGCCGGTCAGCTCCTGGCCCAGCCCCCACCTTGGCAGATGCTACAAGACACCCACAGGTGGTAGACCCTCTTGAGTACTTAAAACTGTTACGTAACAAGGAGCCTTTCAGCGTTTTATGTTTTGAGCTTGTTTGTACCGTCTCTGGCTCTGACTTGAAGGAAATCTAAAAATACATGATGGTAGTTCTTCAAAGGTGGAGTAACTCGTTTTACGCAGCGAGCATCCATCATCTGAAACAAAACCCGGCAGACAGGAATATCCAGTGTTTTTTGTTAAACTAAATTAACGTGCATGTAGAAGCTTTCTGTTCCAACAAGTCACTGACTTTCACCTACATTGTTGAGTGTCAGAGGACTTTGGATGCAATTTAACCATCGCAGTGGGAACCTTATCAAGTGCCTCCAATGATTATAGCTTGATTTTTTTCTGGTTTCTGTTCAGGTACAAGTAAAAAGAAGCGATGATTATTTTTTTTGTATTTTTCATCAAGTTAACCCAATGGAGATCAATAAAATGTTTTATTTAAGAGATTATTTTATCTTCAAAAAAAGTGTCAAAGCCAGTATGTTGAGTAAATACAGGGAAATATGTTAATCTAAGTCTTGGTATGTTTATTTTGTGAAAAAAATGTGAGTTAACATGGTCTTTTCTGTTCGTTTAGTGGGTTGTTTTTGAAAATAAGGAATATTGAACAGTATAAAGGCATTTTGGCCTGCAGCTCTTGTTTAATTTCATTATGTGTTTAGTTGATTAATATATTATGAAAGAGGGGCTTTCTTCTTTCTGCTCCTTTTCATTCACATGTTTGAGATTTTTACTTGCTTGTATTGAATGTTTTAAATATTAACTGAATGAAATAAAGTATGAAAATGAAAATAAAATGAAATGAAATGATAAAATATTTTGGTTTGTTATCACTGGAATTTATGATATTTGAATGAATATTTCCCACTCTTTCTACTTTTAAATCGCGTCTTAAAACTTATTTTTATTCCTTGGCTTTTAGCTCAGCATGAGAGTTGTGTGATCTCTGTCCTTTTATGTCTTTTTTAGGTCATTTATCACTTTTATTTCTTTTATGCTTTTGTGTTTTTATTTCATTTGAAATGTTTTTTACCTGCTTTTATTTATTTCATCTTGACGTTTTCTGCAGTGTTTGTTCTTTCAATTTTATTGTGCTGCACTTTGGTAAACATGAATGTTTTTTAAAATGTGCTATATAAATAAAATGGATTGGATTGGATTGGATTGAACGAGGTTTCCATATTAATAAACTTCATTTTAATATTTATTTTATTGAAATGAAATGTTTTAAAAACTATCATGATCAACATTGCTTGACAAACGATAAGTTGGCTAGTCAAAAGTTGTCGAATAATTTTTGTATTGATTGTGAAATATGCCCACATTGTAGTTTTGTGGGTGGATAAACTAATCAGGGGGGAGGGGGTGTTAAAACCATTTTCCACTCACGATAAAATTGATTCACTCTACAGAAGTCGACCATTACGATTTTATATGTTAACTAAATAAATTTAGTTGTTGTATCTTCCTCTCGTGGTGAAAAATATAGCGAGCATTTAAAGAAGAATACTTTTGGTACAACCCTCTCCCCCTCCAGCTAATGGTACGTTCCGATCCTGAGGCCAGTGAGGGACCATCCGCACGAGCGGAGCATCAGCTGTGGTGTTTGCCGGAGAGTGAGAAACTTCCCTCACTCCTCCTCCTCCTCTGCCGCTTTCTCTCAACCAAATTCCCTCAGTCACCTTTTCTTTTTATTTAACTTCTCACCGGTGCGAATCAGCCACCTGTGAACAGGCTGGTACCGACAGAGGCGTATTATTGTATTTATTTATTATTCTGTTCGAGGTGTTAGTTTGGACTGAAGGTTTCCTGCCCGGTTCGTTCAGGACTTTGGGTGCAACTGGAGCGACTCGACCAAGTTTCTCCCCCCACCTCCATTCTGCCTGAGGAATGAGAGGAGCGCCGGAGAGGAAGAGCTGAAACTCGCATGTTTGAATGAACAAAAGACCTGAAAAAAGCGAGGGTATTGCCGCCGAAATGGAGGAAAATATTCTGCTGGGAGCAACATGTAAGTCACATTTAGTCTACCTTGAAAAGCTTTGTCATTCACCTCCTCTCTCACATCGTAACAGAAATATTTAGGACATTGTATCGCGTGTTTTAACTTCATAGTCGCCTGTCAGGCTCAGTGAAGGGCTGAAAAGCTCTGGTGCAATTAAGGTGAAGCAATAGAGAGTGTGGTTAGGAATAAATGTGTCTGATGAATTATGAATAGTCCATTATGTGGTGCAGATGCAGACAGCCCACAAATCATAACGCTAATGCAACATTGTTGTTGTTGTTGTCCACAAGATTAACACCTAAACCTCAAGCTGGGGTTTTAATCTGGTGACAATAAAAGATGATTTAACAATCTGCATACCTAAAGATTGTGAAAACAAAACAAAAATGTGATCACCAGCTGACTGCAGATCGACACATGCAGTTTTTCCCTTTAACAGAGCTCAGTCAACAGGGTTATGATAACACAATTTGCGCTAGATGAGGTAATCTGACTAGTACCATGATCCCATCCCCCTCCGTATGTTATGTTTAGCTCACTACTAACGTGATGCAGTCCTATGAGGCGGTCTGGCATCCTTTCCGATCTCCTCTTTGCTGCTGCCCTACCACAGGATGTTTTCCAAATGCAGTGGATAGTTTTTTTTTTCATGCACAGGTGCAGCCAAGCTCTATTTGTCCTCCAGTGCATCAAACCATACAATTAAATTCAAGGGGGAATAACTCAGTAAGGATCCAAAGTGCAGGAGAAAGAGCTCACCTCACTCTATGGGCAGATTTGGCTCAGTTACTACTTTATATGTGCAATAAAATCCTGTGATCTCGTGATCATGCTGCTCAAGTCCAGCACCTTGTCTGCACACTCGGTTATAACAGATGTCTCAGTTGGAGACGATTGGAAAGTTGAAGACGCCCAACATTGCATTGACAATGTTGACTGAATCTGAAAATAGAAGTGGACGCACAATGTGATGACCTCTCCTCCTTCTGACAACAAAAAACTTCCTTCCTGCCAACAGGGGGGCTTCATGCAGGAAGGTCAGTTTGTTTTGGCTCTGCATCAAGCAGGAGGGAGGCGTGCTCCGCCCTGATCGTGAGAATCTTGACCAGTAGACAGGAGTGTCTTTCAACCGCCATAACATACAGAGCTTGACACTAACTTTTTTCACAAGGAGTACACAAAGAACTTTAGGGGCACAATGAAAATTGATCAAATAATGTGTGTCTTATTGGTCGATAGAAATGTTATTATTTGAATTCAATTTTAGGTCTTTTGGTCATATGACATGGAAAAAACAGCCTTTTTAAGAACATCAACCGGTAATTTATTGATGGTCCCTTATTCAACACCCGATGTTGACAGCGAGGATGCCGAGTAGGTTTAACCACGGTGCTGTTGCTATTACTGGCTATTGCAAGTGAGAAGACACTGGTAGATCCGCAGTGAATGTTCGTCGAATATCCAACCTAAAACTAACTTCATTGGTCGATATAAGTACTATTATTTGAATTCAATTTTAGGTGTTTTGGTCACATGACATGGAAGCTTTTGGTATAAAACAGCCTTTTCTGAGAACATCTACTGGTAATTTATTGATGATCCCTTATTCAACGCCCAAAGTTGACAGCGAAGATGCCGAGTAGATTTAACCACGCTGCTGATGCTATTTCCGGTTATGGAGAGTGAGAAGACACCAGTAGATCCGCAGTGAATGTTTGTCGAATATCCAACCTAAAACTAACTTCACCGTGGTATTTACATGAAAAAATATTTGTTGCCTCGGCTATCTTTTTTTATGCACACCAGTGTTGTGTTCGTTGACGAAAATATATATTCAACGCCCTTTTTTTTCCACGACAAAGACGTGATGTTGACGAGCTAAACATAAGTCTTAGATGACAAAAATGTGATGAGACGAGACGAACAGAGATGCAAAATTCATGAGCATTTCGTCAGTCAAACGATAAACATATATTCTGCAGTGTTGTTTTCGATGACGTTGACAAAATATTTTCGTCAACGTCATTTTTGTCAACGAAAACAACACTGATGAAACACAACACTGATGCACGTGTACATTTTACAATTCGCACACATCTATTTTTAGTCCCAAATGCGTGTGAAATGGTTGCACTGTCGAGCCCTGGTATACACAACCAGAATGCTCAGAGGGTATAAATGTAGCATATTTACAGTGTATCATGACTCACAGCAGAGGTGTGCTCGTGTCTTGTGATGTCAGCCAGACTGTTACGCTTCCTGTTCTCACTGAAAATAACCAAAACTTGTTTTTCCAGCTGTTTCTTATCAGTCACAAGTTCATCTGCTTTCCAACTGTTCTCACACATCGCCCAGGCCTAGCGTGCAACATCAAAAGTTGCTCTTGAGAAAGACTTTACCATAATGATAATGGGACACACAAACAGCATGTCAGACTGTGTCCATAGCCAGAAATCCTCAGGAGACAGACATTTTTTCTCGACTCTGACTCCATATAATGGGCTTTGCTTACTTTAAACACCCCTCTGCAGTGTGGCAATCGGTCTTTTGTGAGAATACAGGCATAAAGAAACTCACTTGATCTGTCTTGCCTGGAAACTAGTCCTTAAACCTGGACTTGCTGAAAGCCTGGCCCAGCGTGGTGAAAATCTGCTGTCAGGACTTTTGGAAGAGATCTTCTAATCCCTCTTTTCTTTATGTAGCTTTCTTCTCTCTGTGCTCTCATTGACAGTTGGCTCTGTTTGGTCACCCCCTTTAATCTCGGTACCTGAACAGCTAAGCCATGACCAACTGAGCTGAAAAGAAACTTGAATCATCCTTTCAGATTTACCTTTTGAGGCACTTATATTAGAGTTTAAGAAGAAGGCGTATCTCTGAAGTAATTTCTAGTGGTATAAAACGCACAAGATACATAAGTCAGTGTGCCATTATGTAAAATCTGTGTCAAGCAGGAAAGAACTGCCGCTTTACTATCTCCTTACAGAGGATAATAAACCTCGACAGACTGATAATGAGACGGACTGTGTTCTTTTTGTCCTCTGTGTAATAAGGGAGAACCCGGCAGCTTTGACTGTCAGGCCCGTAGTCAACAGGATCAGCTTCACATCTTCAGCTGCAGGAGCTCTTATGTAATCAGGAGAATACGTGCAACCGTGTCCCATTTTTTTGGCCAGAGAGCTGCTTTGGTGTCTTTGCAAATTAGTGGTGGGCCGGGTCCCAAGGGGCCTCCCAAGTTTCTCTGCCTAATGAAGGAGTCAGATAACGACGGGAGCAGCTATTGTTTCTGCTCAAGAACGACTGTAGGCGTTGTGGCGTGTGTGTGTCATGACGGGGTGTTTTACATGCCTGAGGATTTCACTCCAACAGGTCGGATACATGTCAAACAGTGTGTGTCTGATTTACATCTTACATACATGATGATGCACTTAACCTTTACTTACTTTTGAGTCTTTCTGTCAAGGTTAAAGAACAGAATAAATCTGAACATTTTCTCTTTAAATTGAAGTTTTTTGAAGATTTATGACCTTTTAACTCTTCTTTCTGTTTTTAATCTTATCACACAAAGGAAACCAACCTGTGTCCCCTGCATCCTGTATAATCTACTGAAAACATCGTCTCTGTCTTGTCAATCAAAGGCATACTTGGCTAACAGGATTAACTGATTCTTTACTACACTCTTTCACAAGGTAGCACTTTTCCTTTAGTGTTGTAGATGAGTTGATTGTTCCCTCAAAGCCACTTCAGGTGTTGTCGTTGATAGATGAAACCAGAAAAGGGGGCTTCCCATGTTCCTGCATGTTCAGAAGAGTTCAAAGCCCACTTTAGCACATGTTGTCGAGGGGACTTACCCTTGTCTCTATGAAGTCTGGATCGAGAAAGAGAGGAGAACAGAAACATCTGAGTCACAAAGAGCTGACTGAAGTCATGCCAGCGCTGTGGCGTAGAGGTCTGCTCTTGAATCTGCAGTGCAGTTTTAAGTGGATTTGGCTCCTTTGGGCTGCAGCCCAGTAGATTCAAAATAAGACACCAACAGGGGTTACAGCTCTGAGGGTGTCCACGATATATTTATGAACAGTGCTGTGATATTATCCTTTTTATTTTAGTCACAGCTTCTGCATTTTGAAAAGCTCAGCATGACAGTGACGGGACTTCATTTCCTCCTCTGTTCAGACAGTGAGAAAAAACAGACACACACCCTGAGAGACTTTACAGCAAACCACCAGCTCAAAATAAAAGTCCTCGTAAAAAGAAAAGATTAATATAGTGCTGTGTGTCGGTTTGAGATTTACCCAACAACAGCATCCTTGTAAATGACAAATACTCAAGGTGTGCTGGATACATGCAACTGCTGGTGTATTTCTCCCTGTAATAAAGTAAAAAAGAGAGGGGATATTAAAGAGGAATGTTTAAAGGCAAGAAAACATTTAGAAAATAGTGAAATTCGAGCACATTTTATTCAAAACAGCTCAACACAGGTTCAGAGTCTAATGATAGCAGAGCTAGCACCACCTGCCTTTGGCCCTTTTTGCAGGTTTACATGGGTCTGCTTAATATGCATCGCTGTGGTTATATAAAACTATTTCAATTTTCACTGCGAAAATACTGCAAAACCACACCTGTCTTCTGTGCGTGTTCATATCAGCATGGTAAAACATCATGGCGTTGTAGCAGAGGTAGGCTCAGGTAGTGGTGACCTGCAATCATGGTTGTTAAATGAAAGTATTGACATATTGAATAAAAATAACAGAATAAGAAAAATATTGATTATTCATTTAACCAATGAGTAATTCTTGTGGCATGTTCTACCTTGGGAGAATTTAAACAAAAACGCGACATAATCTGGTATTAATCTGGCAATTTTGTCGTCTTGGTTCCTTTTTCTTTCCAAGTCTTTACCTGCATTTTCGTCTATTTTTTTACAACTTTTAAATCACTTTTAATGTTTTTTATCAGCTATTTAATCATCAAACTGTAATCAAGTTTACAAACATTAATAAACTGTATATTTAAATATTAAATTAAATAAACAATCAGGTTTGTGGAACTTAAGTCAGTATATATTGAAAAACCTTTCATGCCTTTTATGGGATTTTCAGAATAAGTTTAGTCACTTTATTATAAGCCCATATGAGTAGAGCCTATATGTTGGATACACAGGTTTGCAGAGCAAATACATCTGGATTTCTAAACCATCAGACTCTAAACAGAAGCTATAAATGAATTGTCAGTGTATTTGCAACACAAATTTTGTAGATAACGCTTTAAACAAGTGAGAGGACTTCAGCTAAAATCAGATGACAGACCAGAGAGAGACCGGACATCCAAAAAGGTGAGAAAAACTGATCATTTTCAGCTTCCCCCTCTACAGGAGGTCAGTACTGCTCCTCCTCTCAGTAACACCCTGCTGATGTAAATCACACTGTCCAGACACTGACCTCTCTCAGGGGAATCGAGATAGATCTCTAGCCCAGCACTCTGGAAAGGCAAATAATGTTGAAAGCCTTCCCATTAGCCTGCACTCAAACTGTACAAAGTCTCAGTATTCGACCAGGGAACGGCTGCTGAAAGCGGTCAATAGACGAATCAGGCACAGTTCATGTTTGAATTTGAGGACCTGATGTGAAAAACAGACGTAACCTAATTTTCCTCAACGAAAACTTGGTGTTTATTCTGAAAACACAGATTAGGAGGGGATTACAGTCATACTTGTCTACCCTTGAACCACCTCCAAGCAGCTAAAACCATGACGGAGCTCAAAAACAACAAAGACCGATTGTGTGGTTTCACCTACAAACAAATACACTTACGCTGATCTAGGACAATAAACCAGCACACGCTTATGCTTTTCTTTTGGCACCAATGAAGACCAGAGTAATTTACTCTCTCGTAGCCCCATTAAAAGTTTTATTAACATGACGGGCCGCTGTAGTTTTAATAGATTAGCCTTTAAAATGAGTCAAAGATGCTTGTTACTTCACATTTTGCCTGAAGAACTCATCCAGCTCATGAAGACGGGTTTGAAGAATGACTGTAAGATGTATGCTCTGTCTGCACCTCCCCGGCTCCATTAGTCTTTCCTCCTAACAAAACCCTTTGATATTGAATACAGTTGATCACTCAGAGGGTTGGGGCTCGTCATATTCCACCTGGGATGACTTTGAGTCGAAGGAGGGAAAAGCAGGTCATGAGCTCAGGAGATTTTGGTGCTTAGAGGAGGTGCTTAGGGTAGTTATTTGATGCTAAAGATCAGATACAGTGAGTTATTGTAGTTAAGGGAACTGTTTGAGATTTGGGAGGGAAGATGGTTTCTGATCCAGCCTAGTCTACCTTGCACCAGAGCAGAATGAAGTAGGGCCGGGCGATATGGCCTCAAGTCAATATCACAATATATTGATAACAATAAAAGGACGATAACTACTCCACAAGCTGCTCACCCCCTCCCACATTAACTTGGTCTACTTCAGTCGCCGCTACAACTTCTGAACCGTCCTCCAACTCCTCACCTGTCTTTCCATCTTTGTTACGGGCTGGATGGGGTGGAGTCACGTCTCTGACGTAGGACAGCGTCTATTAGCCCAGCGTCAGCGTCGATTATTGTCGTAAATTTCATTGTTGGGAAGTTTTCGGTTATCTCCCAGCCCTAGAATGAAGTCAGAGAGACTGCAGAGATTTTTCCAAATTATTAGTCAGGCAAGTTTATTTAGCACATTGATGCACACATTGATATATAAAGCATTGATTACAGTGTCAATGCCATAGGCCCAAAATTAGGAGGATATAATTGTCTAATCTGGTCCTAGATTCTGCACATCTGCTGCAGCCGTGCAGAAAAAATGCCATGGTACGCCAAAGAGACATGCTGTTCTCCTCTATCTAAAGCACCAGAGGCCCACATGTGTGCACACATGTGGCATTTGGGAAGTATCTGCTCCTTCTAACCCCCCTCAGTCAGTCCTGTTAAACACAGGGAGTAGGCTGGTGCTGCAGAGTCATGGCCTAGATTTATGTTCAGTCAGCTGTACTCCACTTCTCCTTGAGAGAGGAGAGGAAGGACGAGGGAATGAGGGGAAAGGAAGTCTTGAAGTGGATTGAGTCGCTTGTTCTCAACACCTCTGATGAAAATATCCCAGACGGGACGCTCTGGGCTCTCTGGTCGCCTGACAGGTCTGGTCACCAGTGGCCTAATATTAGACCAGTCCCTGCTCAGCTAAAGGGCATGCTTTTGTATTGTAAACATGCATTGGTCTACATACATTTTGCTAGACACTTGCAGCTGCTGTTGGACCTATTTTGGTCCAAAATTCCAGCTTTAAGATCATAGCAGAGAAATGATATTTTAGGGACTTGAACCTGAAGAAGTGGGAATTACATGCTATCATGAAACTCCTGTTGCAAGCAGAAAAGTCCTGTTTTTATTGGGAGGCAGAATTCCTGTAAATGATAACTGTCGGGTGTAATTGCATGTTAAAAAGGCTCAAGATTACTGCCTCGACTGTATTTTTGCCTTAGGTAATGTTTACAAAAACATCCATTTGGAAAAGATGACCATCAACAACTTCGTGTGCTGTCCCAGACGAGGACTCACGCAGTCGCAGCTCTCTCTAAATGTCAACAAGGATGTCCTGATGAAAAATGTCAGCAGTTATATGACCTGAACCCACTCATTAATCACAGGGGGGGTTCAAGAGCAGGAAAGGATCACTCCAAAGTCTGTGTTCCTTCTGAACTGGGACAACTTTCTGATGTTCCTGAAATGAGGTTAAGGGATGCTGCCCCGTAAAAACAGAAATAATAAACCCAGATGAACTCAGAGAAGTGATAACCGATGTCTGGCTTTGCGAGTGCTTAGGTAGACATCCACAGCTATTAAATTATTGTAGAACATAATGTAAGATTTCAAAAAGTCGACTACATCAACTCTTCTATTAATTTCCTTTTTAAGCAATCAGCAGAAATCTCAACCTTACTGGTTTCTAGGGCTGGGACGATATGCTTTTCTCCTGATTTGATCGTTCTATAATTTTTGGATGCGATTCTGCGATATTGTTGATTTTTCTCGATTTTTAGTCTGCACTAAGACAGTTGAATGACTATGATTGTCTTCTGATTATTCCAGGAACCATATTTCCCCCAAAAATACACATCACATGTAAGGCAGTTTTAAGATTAATTCTTAAATTTGGAAAAAAAAAAAAGGTTTTTGATCATAAAAATCGATTTAAAAGTTGTAAAATAAAAAAAATCATGATACTTAAGTGAATCGATTTTTTTCTCCCACCTTTACTGGTTTCCAAATCTATGTGATGTTTCTGGGTCAATCTGGATCTGACAAAAATTGAGGATACAAAGTCAGACTGAACTTGGTCCTCAGCTGTGACAGGGGACAAGAAAACTCGGTCAGTAGAAACTAGATCATGTCACCACTTCCCAACCCCCAAAAGGTTTGTGGAGCCAGTTGCTAGTAGCGACGGGATGGCATGTGGCTGTGCAGCGTCTAGCTCTGAATGGCAGCTTGTGTGGCGTCTGATATCACCGAGAAGACTTTCACCCCCCACCTCTGGTTGGACTGTCGAAGTTTCTCTTCAAGGTTACAGGCAGCTTCCTATCAGTAATTCCTGTCATGAGTGAGATGACTTTGGTAAATGTAACAGAGCAGCAGCGGCAGCCAACTGGCAGAGATTGTCCTCCTCAGCCAGGCCAGGTGATGTGATGAAAGCTGTTGAAAACCCTGACAGAAAGACCTCAGTTCTTACTGACCTGCATTAACAGAAAGCTGTCTTTTGTCCTGAGCTCCTTGGATTAGTGTGCTTAAACTTTCATCATTATTAGACACACATTAGCAGGGGCTTGATAAAGGATTTCATCAGTTTGCATCAGATTTATTTGACCTATTTCTTTGCAGCGTGTTTTGATCTCGAAATGAACGTGAAAAGTTGAGCGGTCATTCTAGAAAAATACGTTTTCAGCCATTTTTACGATTGTTTGACTCCATTTTCTAGGCTTGTAGCCTAATGACAAACAGAATTTCTTGATTTCTCAGTAGTATTAAGATCACAATTGACATTAAATCAACCTGAAGCAATTTTATTAGCATAATCCAACAAGTTGTTAATACAAAAATAATCTCCGGTTCAATGTTATCTAAGAAAACTAGTTTCAGACAGTTAATCAGCTGAAAAAGCATCTTCATTTTAGAAATTTTGATGAGCTTTTACTCCTACGTTGCAACTTTTAATGCCTCATGACGTCTTATATGATCTGGAATTAAAGCTATCATTTATAACAGCCCGGTCCTAAGTGCCATTATGATAAATGATGTTTATCTCAGCCTCCATTTAAAGTTGTAGTCCTCGGTTGTAAGCACATGTAATGAAAACTTTAGCCTCTAAACACACACACACTCTCTCTCACAGAGCCCGGTTTGGCATGGAGTCTGTGCTTGTTGTTTACACTGCGCTTCCTGTGTGTCTGGGCCCCCTTTGCCCCTCTTACATCACCCCTATTCGGCGCAGAAGGGACACAAACGGGGTGAAGGGGCGACGGGTTAGGGGGGTAAGCGATGAGGTAGTTCATTAGTCCCCTGGCCCGTCACAAATGAGATGCAGATCCATTCTCCCTGTGTTTCACGAGTTCCTGCTTTCTTTATTCGGGGTTGCTGCCCTTTTCCTTTTCCAGTCTTTTGATTTCACACTCCGGCTCTGTTGTTTCCTCGCCTCTTGTTTGCTTCATCTCTGTTTTTTAAGGGAATGTGCTGCATTTTCTACTTTTAGCCATGTAGTTGTAAAGTTCAAGACTTCACAGCTGTAATTTGTATTTTTAAGTTTCAGTTTTTTCACTCAGGAGTCCGACTGTGCAGCTTCTCCTCTTCTTATCTGCTCAGCTGAAGACAGAAAAAGTCGTGTTTGGCTTCATACATATTTCATACCTTGTCCTATATATTTACTCTGCACAGTATCTTGAAGACAGCAGCTATGCTCTGGATGTTGCGTTGAGAATGAGCTGCACTTGAAAGTTGTGATCTTACTGACCGATCACTACAACAAAGATCATTGTATAAGATATCATGACTTCTCTGTATGTGTTTATCACTGGAATGTCTGTCTGTTTGAGTATCAGGCACTTCTACACGGCCCCTGCTTTCTTCAAGCTCTAGTCAGCCGAAAGCATCCCTCCCTGAGTTGTTAATGAGCAAACACAGTCAGAATGTGTTGTCATAGTTTGCTTATTCTGTCATACAGTGAGTCATGTGTTTTGCAAGACATAACCTATGGTAACATGGTTGACAACATCAAGAAAACAGTCTTTCATTACAATAGTCAAGTCAAGTTTATTTATAGAGCACCTTTAAGAAGACAGCAGTCAATCAAAGTGCTGTACACAGGATAAATAAAAGAAGTAATAAGTAGATAGATAACAAAACAATAAAATTAAAAACAGTGGACAGTAAAAGAATAAAAGCTACAGTGCCTATGATTCGTGTGTGCTCGTTTATGAAATACAAGGCAGAAAAAATGGGTCTTTAAGGACAATTTTAAAGTCTCTAGGGTCTGTGAGGCTCTCATATGGCCAGGCAGATTGTTCCAGAGTCTAGGAGCGATGTCGAAAAAGCCCTGTCACCTCTAGACTTAAGTGTGGTTTTGGAGGTGTCCAAAAGCAACTGGTCAGAGTGACCTTAAGGCTCTGGCTGGGGAGTGGTGATGCAGGGGCTCTGAAAGGTACAGAGGGGCAAGACCATCGAAGGCTTTGAAAACAATGAAAAGAATTTAAAAATCAATGCGAAAGCGGACTGGGAGCCAATCGAAGGGTCACTAAAATTGGGGTTATGTGGTCTGAAGGTGGTTGATCGATGACTTATCCAAGGAGGTACAGTAATCTATTAGTGATGCAATAAAGACATGGATAGTTTTTTCAAGATCAGCCTTTGTAAAATAATATTTAGTCTTGGCTAACAGACGGAGCTGGAAAAAGCTCGTTTTTAACAACAGCACTGATCTGCTGTTGGACTGGTACATTGTACCAAAGATCCTAAATCTCTCCTCCTATCGTTCTTATGTGTGTGGTCTATAATCCATTTATAAATGCATGGACTGAATATTCATTCTCTGCTTTACAGATAATTAAATTTGAAGAAGAGCATTAGTGCACCAAAGATTTGGCTGGTGACTCTAATGAGGTAGAACTGAGGATGCACCACAGGCTTTGCATTGTGGGTATTTCTATATCATGCTAACTGTGAAATTGGATTTCTGCTGGATCATGTTTTGCGTGTTAGTTATTACCAGCTGTCCCACTTCTAGCCTGGCTCCTTGCTCACTAATGTCATCAGCCAATCTGTAAAGTACTAAATTCCTTTGTGATTGAACTTTGGGAGCGAGTGCTTAATGAGCTTTGCAGAGCCTGTGCTACATTTCCCCAAAGTTGCACATATTTTATCCAACCTAACATGCTTTGAGCCGGGAAACAGCACACAGACTGTCCTAATTACCTGCTGATTCCCAACCTGCTGCTCTACTTCCACACTGTGCTCATGCATGCATGTCTACAGCCTCCCCTGCAGGGGTTCCTTTAGCATTTCTGCCGACTTTTACAGATATCTTATTCTATTGTCGCACTTTTTTTTGCATGCTAACGGATTCAGTTGAGCGCCTCGGGCTTTGTTTGACACCAGCAGCCAGAGAGGCCCCATAGGGAGGCATGATGAGCTGTGGTGCAAGGTGACGGTGTGATGTTGAACGAGTGATCGCACACAGCGTGCCGCAGATTCCTGAACCTCCTCTGACCCACTTTGAAGGGTCTCATACTAGGAGGGGGAAAACAAAGCAACCATGCCATGACATCATTGCTTCAAGGGGCTCCAAAGACTGATTTACTGCCTTTTAAAGTATCTCCAAACCGCCCAGTAAGCCATAAATCAATCCACATGCTGATTTAAGCTGCAGTAATACTAAAACAAGTTTTTCCTCAAAGGCTCTTGGATTATTCTTCCTGTCTAAAAAAAATAAAAATGAACACAAGGAATCAAGTAAAAGAGAAAAATGTCACTTGTGTTTTAAGGCAGAGAGAGGAATGCTACCAAGCTTTGAAAACACCAACCAAATGTCCACCGTGTGTGTTTTTCTCCAAGCCATCCAGTAATAAGTTCCACCAAAGTGTTTTTCCATGTTCAGACTCGGTGGACGCCGGAGCATCTCTGAGTAAGCTGGTGAACATTGATTTATGACACTGAATAATGGAAGTGATGTCACAGAGGGGTGGTCTAATGGCTTGTGGCTGGAGTCGTCCCCTGGGTGCAGAGCCCTGAGAAAGCTGGAGTGTAAATATTGCAAGGAGGAAGTTGCTCTCTGAGGAGACTCGTGCTCTATAGATAGACCCCTCTGCTGTAAAAAACAGTTTCTAAATAAATGAGGCTGTTTTCCATTTTCTAACAAAATGCGGTTATTTCATTTCTCATAAGAACACGATATTGCAAAAGTACCTTGATAACTTGATTAGCTTAGCTTGGCTCGACTCCTATTTGTTTTTGTCTTTGACTTCAGAGAGGACACAGAGTCCATGGATTGCTGAACAGATTGTGTCATTGAATTAAGTACATCTGTGCAAATATTACTTCAGCTCTCTCCTCTAAATGTGTCCCAGTGTTGTTTGCAGTAAGAGGTCACTGGGCAAACAGTTTCCCAAAGTTTTGTACCTTTCACTATGTCAGACCAGGACAGGCACAAGTTTGGGAAACCAGTCTTTAAACTTTGACTTACTCACTTACAGGAAAGTCAGTGTTTGGATCAGCGTGTGCAGTAGTTAGACCGATTTACAAATTTAAAATGAGCTTTGTGAAGATTGATGTTTGTTTGCTTAATACCATCAATTTCTGGCTGCATTTCTTAGCGCTCATTTCACCTCATAGTTTGTCAGTGCTATCTCAACTCAGCTGTAGGCAATAGAGAAATCACAACAGCTCTTGCTTTTTAGACGTTTATTGATTTCTGTGAACAAGCGCCAACAGTTTGGATAATCAGTCAACTTGTAAGTGATTAATTTAACACACAAAAAAGCAATTTTCTAGAAGTTCAGTATCCCAAAACAGTTCAACTTTGTTTTTTCACCCAGAGGTAAATCAAAATTCATTGATTTCAGTGTGGTCTGAATGAAAGGCTGTCAAATATATATGTAGTATTTATTTTCAATCAATCAATCACTGGATTTTAGCAGTCATTTGGGACGTATCACATTTTAAATATCAAGATACGCCCACTTGTGTGATGCGGTTGCTTAGTAACATCAGTCTAATTAGCTGCACCTGCATGTTCTTAATGATCATGACTTTTATAATTATTATTCACTAGTGCTACCCTGTTATATCAGTGTGGTCTGAAAACCATGACTAAGGTCACAGATTCAGACAGCTTATTCTTTAGCGTAGATTTATCTTACACAGTCCTAAATCATGGTCTGCCCACTGGTGTGATGCGGTTGCTTAGTAACATCAGTCTAATTAGCTGCACCTGTGTGCTTTAGCTTGTAGGTGGTATCTCAAACTTGAACTACTTAAAGTGGTATTTTTATTTCATTGGACACAAAGTGCTTGTTACTTTAACTTGTTAACTGAGCCCTTTAGGACATTTATAAAGGGAAATGAGTCATTCAAAAATACTGCTGTGTTGTTATTTTCTGTTGAGCTAGCAGCAGCTGGCAGGGGACTAAGAGACATGCAGCTAAAAACAATCATTGAATTAATTTCAGAGCTTATTTACATCTTGATAAAAGCATTTTAAGAACGAATTAAATCAGCATAACTAGTTTTTCTCCAGTCCTAAGATTAAAAGAAATGGTCAACCGAGTAAAAAGTTTTCATCATATTTATCAATAGCATAAATCTTTGGTAGTTGCTCAAACTTTTTCATTACACTCTTGTTTCTTCACCCGTATATCTCTGTTTTCTCTCTAGTCTGGTGGTGCAGACAGTCGGTGCAGATTGATGGTGCTCCATCAATCAGCCCTTGTTTCAGTCTCTCGCTGTGCAGCGGCAGTCCTCCTCTCCCTCAGCTCCTCATCCCATTTTCCTTCAGAGAGTTTCAGGTTTCATTTGTATTCATTGTCAGTGCCACCAACATACCATAGTGTGTTACACTCCCATTCTTTTTGTCATTGACCGTTGAGATCACTGTGATTGTCTGACCGTCGCCCACAGTCCTGTTCTTTGTTGCTCCTGTTCTCAGGTGTGTGAGGGACTTTCTCAGAATATGACACCTGTCTGTCAAAACTGCCTCTTCTACTATCACCTCATGTGTCTTGTAGCTGTCACATCTGCCCTGTGAGAGAATGGCGTTGAATGATAAACTCACACACTAAAGTATTGTTATTCAGCACCTGAGCAGACACAATGGCACACCTGTGGCTGTGTGTAGCACCAGTTGTTTGGAAAGAAACCTGCAGGGATTTGGTCGATTGTTTCATATCATGTATCACAGAGAGTCTTCTGTCTTCTGTAAGTGCAGCAGTGTAGAGAAATGATGGAGGAAAAACCGGGGGCAAGCAGTTTTAGTGGATTTAGTCATGTTTAAATTAAGTCATTTGCAACCCCTGGGTGCTTTGTTTTATGCTGCGTGCATTTTTTTAATTTCAGAAGCGAGCAATTTTATTTTAATCTCTCATCCTTGCCTAAATTACTGGCTCCAGCTTTTAGCTTTTTCCCACAGAGATGCATTTTGTCACTAAATTGGACTGAACCCACTCCAGCGTTCATCTTCTCCTTTCAGTTTATCTCACTACCATTCCCACTCCCTCCTCCTCCTCTCTCCTCTCTCCACTTGCTGTCATTGCGATGTTTTGGCTGCTGTCCCGTTGCCATGCAGAGACCACAACAATGGCCCCTCTCTGTCAGAGCACATCACCGCCCCGGGAATGCTTATTTAATAGTGGCATGCTTCGACAGGGGAAACACAATGTCTTGTCTACCAGCTGAACTCTTTCATGAGCTCAAACTGCTGTTTTCTCTGCGGCCGTCGGGCTTCGTCCGGCTCAGGGTCACCGGCGGCTGCTTCTATTTCCCAGAGTGATGATGACATGGACTTTCCAAGCCTGCAGCTTAGCGTAGACAATCTTCGCTTCAAGGCCAAACATTTCACTGTGTGCTACTAAATGTCTGTAATTGTACAGAGCGTGAAGATGACTTATTTGTATTAGCCAGTAGCTGTTCATGCAAATCTGGATTTTACTCAAAAGTCCTAGGGCTGGTTTTCTTGGAGATCTTTAGACTACATAGTAGGGCTGTAATCAACCGAAGAAATTCTTGGTCGACTAAAACCCGGAAATTTTCAAGCAAAAATCAACTGATTTTGATTGACGTGGGCGCTCTTCAATCTCTGGGCTCAAGTGGGTTGGGTGAGCACCCCCTGTGAAATGGGGGTGCTCCGAAAACACCCCCATTAACACTGGGTACGTTACTCCTAGTGAAATTAACCATAGATAGTAAATTGATGCGGAAAAAATTGAGTCGACCAATCAGAATTTTGTCGATTCAGCACTTATCAGGGTTACCAGGTGTACAATAATTATTTGTCTGATAATTTTGGCCTCTTTACAATGAATAACCCTGAAAAAATGCTAGATGTACGATCATTTGACAGTTTTGTTTACCACGTGATGTTTCTATCCGATTGCTGTAGTTTGAGTGACGTTTGTTTCCGAAGAACTCAACTCAGTCGTGAAGTCTGATCACATGCTGCTGATGTGGGGCTGAGGTCGAATGACCACAAAACTGCAGCAACAAAATCGTGACTGGAATCAAGTGCCTGTAGGACGCTAAACAGAGGAACTTAATGTGACTATCATGCAACAGTAAGATTGTTTTTTTGATTATGATGGGTGAACGATAATTCTGCCAAAAATACGATAATTTTGAGTCTCTGGTACAGTTACTTTATATTTCCCATCTGGCATGTATCGACCATAGACTGTATATAGAATGGACAGCGTCTGCCTCCTCACTGGGTGAAGCCACTCCGAGAACAGCACCCTCTGTTGATGGGCTGCAGTATGGGTCATAAATCCCGCCTCCGCCAGCAAAGCTTATGGAGCTGTGGACAAACTTTAGAAATTTATTACACAGAATTTTTCTCCCCCCTGCTTGCGATGTTGACATGTAGTTACTGTAAGACTGGTTTGTGCTCAAGTCCTCTTTTTTCTGTACAGCTCCGTTTTTAAAAGTTATCAGGGGGTTCATGTTTTCTATGATTGACACTTGATACAGCCTATGGGCGTACGAAGATTGCGTAGCTCACCCGGGGATACACTGTTTGAGCCGAGCGTCATCACAGCGACTCTCCCGACGAATGAGCACAACGCTACTGCACAATGCTGGTTTCAGGAAATGAAGAAAAATCACAGAAATACCGAGAGCTATTGGGCCTCAAATCTGTGTACAGGCGGGAGGCAAAACCAAGTTGTCCATAGTATATACAGTCTATGGTATCGACCAATAAGTCAACCAGGCGACGAGGACTTTACAGCCCTAAAAGTCAGAGGGCTTTCTTGTTTTTTTTTGGAGATCTTTAAACTACACAGTTGCATACTCTATAGAAAGCTATAATCATGCTCTTTTGAGGCTGCACAGCTTTAGTCTCACTGCATATCGGCCTTCTTCTTTGCAGACTCTTGAATAGAGCAGCATTTGTAGAGTAAATCTTGAGTGCATTCACTGTCCCAGAGTGACACCCCCCCACTGTCTGTGTTGTTTTTAGCCCAAGTCTGAATAATTTACAGCATGTTGCCTCCAGTGTTTACCTCCAGAGACTGTGCAGAAGAGTCTGTTCTCCAACATGGGTTCCACAGAGCGCAGGGGTACAGTGCTGAGTGGACAAAGCCAAGTGTCCCCTCCCATGAGGGTCTTTGTTTGGCCGTCAAAGCCTGGGCAAACTAATGTTTGAGCAGGAGATTCAAGTGCAGCAGCCTGCCAAATGTGAGTCATGGTGCGGTGAGTGAAGCCGCTGTCCCAACAAACCAGAACAGCTTTTCTTTTATCAGATAACTCCGAAAGTCTCAGACAGCACAGATGACTCATGAGCAGAACCGAGCGTCAGTGAAGACGTTTTTTCAGCAAGAAGGAGTTTGTCTTCCTTTCCGGGAAGATGATCTCTCTGATTCTGTTTTCCTCAGCAGCTCATTTCACCTCAATAGAATCATCAGGATGCCAAAAAGCAATTACTGTGTTTTGTTCTGCCAGGGAGCCAGGGCCATTTGCTGAGGCTGCTCCGTCGATAAATCAGTTGTGCAGAGTAGAAATGGTTTTAGACATGGAGCGAGAGGAACGGTGTAATCTCAGCAGCAGCGCAAAGATAAAGAAACAGGAGACATATTTGGAGGTGCACTATTTCATGGTGTTGTTACAGCTCTGATATTTGACTATCAAACTGAACAATGTCCCCAAGAAAACAATCCCGTCTCTGTGTAACTGTGGCCTCCACCCTCACACTTGATACATGCAGCTCTGGAGGAAGTTTACGTCACCCTGGTGAATTACTTCACAGGCTCAGCCGTGAGAGGAATGAAGACCAACTGGTCCAGTCCCATCTCTCTGCGTCTTACCTTTTACCTCACTGTTTTCTCACTTGCTTCTGCTCTTTGTTTTTCTCTTCAACCAGCTCCCGACTCAGACCTAAAAACAAAACCCACAAGGCCCGATCCGGAGGGGGAGAGCAGCCCCCCGAAAACAGAAAACGCCACGCAGAGGATGGAGTCGCCGGCGAAGAAAGACGCGGACCGGAGAATGACAACCCCGACGAAATCTGACATCATCTCTCGATCACCTGGGTCGCCTCTACCCAGGACGAAAAGGAAGGAAGGTAAAGAAAAAAAGAAACTGTTTATCTAACTCGTGTGGAGTTTAGTTGCGTAAAAGTTCAAAGTTAAACTCATCCACACGTGAAGCAGCTCCTCTAATGGCACCATTACATCTGCAGTCAGCTCTCTTGAGGCGAGATAATGCTCCACTATCTGACTAAAAGTGACCACATGCTTTCAGACGTGAAGCTAAATCCAATAGAGCTGCTGGAGTTTATCTAAAGTGTCGGAACAAACACGGAACAAAAGCTGCTGTGTGGAAACATCTGAGCTCGGTGATCAAAGATTGAATTAGTTAAAATAAATCTGCCAGTAAAATATGGACAAATGAGCTTATTTGGTATGTGGCGGGCTAATGCGGAGCACCGCCATGCACTGTGCCCTCATGAGAAGTGGGCAAAAGGAACCCGATTAGGAACCCCATTTCAATGAGCGATGCCAAGAAGACATTTAGTTTGACCTGCCTCTGTCGATATTTCCAAAGCACATGAAAACTCTAAGGAGCATGTTTGAGGGATTTTGGAGTTTAAGCCTCTTTTCTCTCTCTCCTTTATTCTTTATCCATTAATCCATCCTCTGTGGTCATGGTCTTTATTCCCTTAGCGTGAGGTGACAGGGATAACCCCCCTCTAAAGTCCCAAACTGCTCCAAAAGTGTGACAGTACTTCCAGTTTTGAAACTCTGATGCAGCTGAGTCATATATACCAAGACTTCATGATCTCTTTTATCTCTTTTCTGTTTTAGAGGAATAAAAATGCGTATAGTTGAGCTTGTAGTCTCCAAATGTAACCCATGTAGTCCTTCCTTTTTACGCTAGGTTTGTAAAGCTCATTACTTTTGAGGTTTTGCTGCACCCAGAGGGGAGTGACGAAGATGGAAAGCACTTTGTGGTCCTTTTTTAATCAGTGAAATGAAACAGTAAGGTAGTTCAGCTCAGTTAAGTGGTTTAGTTTGAAGCTTTTTCCCCTCATACTGAGCTCTTTTTTGTCAAATTTTAAACATTATCCCGTCGAAGCGGGTCATTTATTTCTGTCAGGTGAACCTCCTGTGAGTGGTATAGAAATAAAACGTTTGTGAAGTCAAAAAGAAACTTCCCTATCAGCAGAAAAACTCACACTTCAGATGTGTTGATACCCTGAACTGTCTCTAATGTACAGTCAAACAAAATGACACAGAGCTGACTGGAGGAGTGTGAGAACAGCGCTGAGGCTGACACTGTCTCTGAAGCTTTGTCCATGTGACGTTATGATTAACATGGTGCTGGTGGTGAGTTGCAAACGGCGTCACATCACACGGGCCGAGGCTGTTCACATGGGCTTTACATATTCCTATAAATATCAAAGTGGGTCAGAGGGTTTTTCTTAGAGAGGGCTGCATGGCAGATTGTTTTCATGTTTATGATTCACGCCTACACCGTATAAAACCCGGCTGAAGGTTGCGTTCCTCTGTGTTTGATGTCGAGCATCTGGTATGAGAGGACTGAAGGAGGAAGTGTGACAAGAAGACTCATGAAGGATCAAGACTAGAGCTTGTTGCTGCGCTGTAGAGAGTTGGGGTAATACAGGTGGAATATATGTAAATATGTAAGTTCACATGTTTAATGTAAGTTGAGCAACACTGAGCAGATCCTCCATGATGAATCAGATAATGGTTTCAGGTCTACAGTAGGGATGCACAATTTCGATTTTTTTATTCAGTGACAACTTCACGATACTTCACTTTAAAAATAAAAATGTTTTCTATCATCTCTAAAAAACGAAACCACTGAAAACAATCTAGTGCACATGCCAAGCCAGTAATTGGCGCTGTAACGCTGCTCAGGAAATGCACAAAAGACAGAGGAAGAGACAGAAGAAGAGCCGCCATAAAAGAGTTACGCTGTGTTTCACATAATCGTTTCAAGTGAGATGCAGGTAGGCATCCACACAGAGATGAAATGGCAGTCGTTTATGGATTTATACATTTTCAAAAAGTTCCATTTACAGCCGTCCAAAATGCTGTTTCCATGTGGATGAAACGCCAATACGACAAAAAACTTTTGCGTTTACTCCTGAATTCGTTTCCTTATGGACGGGTTGATACCGCTTTCAGACAGACTTTGCAGCTTGGAGTTGTTTGCTCTTCATCCGAAACTGCAAATCTGTACCAATTCCCCACTACTGACTTGCTCTTGCCCCTTTCAGCTTCAAAATGATCATCCTCTTTTGCAAACGACATGTTTGTTTACACTGGTGTGTTCTTGGAACTGGGGAGCGCTCTTACAGGAACGGGGAGCCTATAGTGGCCTTGAGGCACGAGTAATAATAAAGAGGAAAATCGATTTGACGATTTTACTTTTTAAACGTCATCATAATCAAATAATCCGTTTACGAGTTAAAATCGATTAATTGTGCAGCCCTAGTCTACAGCATGTATAGACATAACATTAAATCAGCTAGCCTTTTGCATAGATGACCATGTTTATATTTTTACCAGGAAGTAGGACTCTACAAACATCTTGAAATAACTGCTTGCATTGCCGCCCCCCTCTGCATTTCTTTCCACTGAGAGGTTCCCCCTGAGGTATTTGGAAGGAATGTTGTGTATGAGCACACATCAGGGATGTCACAGGGAGAAGAGACATATGTAAGTGCCCCCTGTAGTCATAACAGAGCACAGCCGAACATAAAAAAGAGCATACACCCACAACCAGATGGCAGAGGAGATTTACCGAGCCTTAAACATCCTGCAGCTTTTATTCGAAGAAGATTGGCTTCCACGAAGATGTTTACGAACATTTGTTCTTTTTGTTTTCTCTGCATGTGAAACTCATCAGTTTTGTTGTTTTTGCATGACTTTTGAGATGTTGAGGTTGTCGGTTTCCTGCCATTGTGTGGTGGCATTTCCTTGTGGTGGTATTTAAACGTTGAATACACCTGCTGCACTTCAGTTAGTGACTGTGAAGAAGACATTTACAGTTTTTCAGAGGGAAGATTACCCCCTTTTGCACAAATCTGTTCTGGATAGATGACGGTGCATTCAGGTGACTTGTAACTTGTAACTAGAGATACTCTGTGGGAGTCAGTCATGTCTCAAATGAAAGGTTGACGGTTTGATCCCAGCTCCTGCAGTCACATGTTGAAGCATCCTTGGGCAAGACAGTGAACTCTAGACTCCTCCTGGTGACATAGTCAGCATTTATGAATGAGATTAGCCAACACTGATAATCCCCTTCTGCAGCGCCCTCTGCCATCTGTGAGAAAATGAATCTGACAAGAAGTTTAAGAAAGCTTCAGGTGGTCAGAGAGACAATCTAAGAAGAATTTGCTTTAAAAGTACAGAAACACTCACCATCTACCCTAAACTTAATAATTAGAAGTTTTTGGCTCGATCACTTATCTTTGTAATCAGAAATTGTCCTGAAGGAACAGTTTTCAGCGAGGTAAGCTTGCCTGAACAGCTTTAATTAGTTTCTTAGAGGGTGTTGTCTGTAATTGCTCATTTATATGGATCCAAGGGTGAGTCACAAGGCCAAAAACTCTTGAAAGAGAGTTAATTCCCAGTTGTTTTGGTGATTAGGATTGATTGCACCATATTGGTTTTCTTGCTTCAAGGAAACACGAAGAAACATCATGATTTGACTTTTTTAAATGAATACTTTTGTGGCCAGGTCTGGATTGGACCTGATGTATGTTTCTAACTTTTAATTTACACATGCTGTATATTTTTCTCATCCTAGACATCATGAAGTCAGAGGAGAGGCAGAAGCTGGCCAAGGAGCGGCGGGAAGAAAAGGCCAAATATCTCGGTAAGCTGACTAGAGGGGTAGAAAGACTTTACCCTTTACACAGTAAGAGAGCTCCCTCTAGTGTTGGGGTGAAAGAGGTTTTTGCTTCAGTTTGTATTCGTGTTGCTACTGGTTCCAGGCTGCAGATGGCATGCACATGTTGCAAAAGGAGGAGAAAAATGGTTGTTTGGGTTGCTGAACATAAAAACGGCTCAAATGAGCATAAGCTCAGCCACCATTTTATTTTGGGTAAGCAAGCAGCCGGTTTCGAAATGCATGCTGCTGTTGGGATAAATTGGCTTTTGTTTTGATTTCAGCACAGCTTTTTTTTTTTGCCAAAGTTTTAGTTCTAACTATTCCTAAGATTGAAAAGAAATGTTGGAGAAGTGACAAAAATGTACAGAATTCTGGCGAGTCTTTTAAGAGTCGTTAATCTTTCTGATATCTGAATGTTTTCTGAAATTCCTCCCCTCTGAATTTGTACAGTCTTCTACATTTAACCCTTTAAATTAGTTTTTATCAAGCTGACTCAGTGCCATAACTGTTGAAATGTTATGGCTGCACTTTTCACACTGGTTGGTAATGCATCTTTTTCGCTGGAGTCCATGTGTTGGACACACATGGCTGTCACATTGGCTGCACGCTGCTCATACACTGCTTTGCATGATTGACAGTTGCCTCTGTCTTTTCTCTTACCTCTTACCCCTGCAGAAGAGCTCAGCATAGCACAAGGTAAGCCACTCACCTTTGTGTATGTGGTGATGGTGGTGGTGATGGTGGTGGTGTTCACTTTGACTATTGCTTCATTTAAATGTATTAATTTTACACCAGTTTTAACTAGAGCTGGGCAATAAACCTACTAAAATACAGATTACACTATCTTACATATATCAGGATAGGGCTGGGCGATACAGCCTCAAATCAATATCACAATATACTGAGCAGATAATGATAAATGGATGATAACTACTCCACAAGCTGCTCACCCCCTTCCACATTAACTTCATCAACTTCAGCCGTCCAACTTTTGAACTGTCCTCCATCTCCTCACCTGTCTCAACATGGCCTACCTGCACACATCCAAATCCAACTTTTGTTTATTTATTTATTTCTTACAACGAATATACCGATATGGGCAAAATGGTGTCAGTTGTTGTTGTAAATTTCAGAATCGGTAATTTTTCAGTTTATTGCCCAGCCCTATGTCAGCATGCTTGCTTACATCTCATATGAGGCATCAAGTATCATTTCCTCACAGTTTTGACTCACATGCATGCAGTTCTTGTTTGTTTTGTCCATCAAAACAACACAAAGAGTAAAAATATTGAGTTCTGGTCAAATTGCTCAGCACTAGAGCCGATTCATTCATTTAATCCTCATGTTTAAAAAACCTGCTTTGGTAGAGCCTTTATCAAAGAAATTACAGCTGATTGTGACCTCTTTTATCCATGAACATAATCATGTTTCAGTAAACAGAAAATCATGTAGACATCAAGTAGACCGATCACTTAACCAATCATGTATTTGTGCGTAAATGTTGATGTATATAAGATCATATAGCGTGCCCTGACTCTGAACTTTATCCATCCATATGCTCCAGCTGCAAACACCGCAGAGCTCCTTGGATTTTGTATTTAGATACAGTCAGACATGTTTGAACCACATGCCACAAAACTGCTATGATTACCATCTTACTGCTCAAGAAGCTGGAGCTCAAAAAGCTGCTTGCAGCCAGATTTATCTTGGCTGCAATTTTATATCTAAATATTACGTGATTTTGTTTACTCAGACCAAAAATAGACATAGAAGGGAAAGTTCCAATATTTTTTACCCACTTCTTTTTACATCCATATAAAGTTTCTTGGTTAAACATTTTGTGAAAAACAATATTTTACAACGGTACTTCTTAGATTCAATATAAAAACAAAATATTTATACTGAGTTTGGCTTTGGATGCTAGATTAAGGTTCCAGCAATCAAATTCATTCATAATTATGTCATTTTTCCTCAGATGTTGCCTATTACTTTAACATTTATACTCTCCCATGAGCATTATGTCTAATCCAGCTGTGTTTTGGACACACTTTGTTGTGTGGATCAGCCTAATTGGGCGATCACTGTGCACGCCAGATGGCACAAGTCTGATATAATACTCTGTCAGACCTGGATAAAAAGAGGAGATCCTCACAAAAGCTTGTTTTGACTATGTCAGATTAAAAAAGAGATCCTATCTACCATCACCAGTGGTGTTAATAGTCTGGTAGTGATATTTAAAGCAATCTCACACATCTCGGCTTGTATCTTGTTACGTTAAAGTGAAGCTTGAAGAGATGTGTATTGGGGGACTTGACTGCGCCTGCACAGTAGCTTCTGTCTGGTTGGTTTAAATACTTCATGTACCAGAGTTGGAGCAGCGCAGTGCGTGTTCATGATTATTTCATGATCTTACTACAGTCGGCCCTGATGCTACATGTCAGCACTGATTACTGTCAGGAAAGGTTCAAGGGAGGCTTAAAAATACGGTTAGCTTAAGATATAAGAGTGGGACATTTGTCGGTCAAAATCGAGGCACAGATAGATTAAATTGATTGTGATCGAGAGCTGAAACAAGTATTTTAACATGTAGATGTCAGATCTTACTTTGCACAACCATAAGTCAACACCTTTGTTGAACAGCCCAGGTGATTTAATCCATCTATGGACAGACATCGTCTCGCAATCTGTCTCTAAACATCTCGTTTGGATCCAGTTGCAGCAGTCCTCCCCCCTCTGTTTTCATCACAGCCCTACAAGTGAATAATGGAGCACTTTCCACTGCACTGAACTTGCAGCTCATCTCAACAGACTCGTATCACTCTTAGGTAAAAGTACAGCTTCTCTCAGATTAGGGCCGTGGAGCTGCCATGAGCTGAGATACGCACTGCAGCAGATATTTTTTTTTTCCTTGCTGCAAGGTGCTGGCAGGCGACGCCTCCTTATAACTCAGCGTTTTGTTCCCTCCTCAGGAAAAAAAGCTGAAATGGGTGCCTCCCAATAAATTTTTACCCCCGTCGCCTCCAGCATCTCTGCATTGATCCGTTCCCGTTATCTGAAATCCACAACAACCAGTTGCTTTTGTTGCATCAAGCGCTTCAGAGAGGCGGGCTTCACCTCCTTTTGCAGAGGCCGATTCTTCATGGAGGTGTTTTCTTTTGTAGTTAAAAGAAATATGGTTGCTTGTGTACTCAGAGAAGCAGCTGCTAAAGGCTTCTCTACGCCTTCTTTGAATGGCTCGGCACAAGAAGATGATTTCCATATCAAAGTGTGTGGTTTATTGAAGCTGACGTGGAGGCTTGATGGTATAAAAGTGTTACTTCAAAAGTGGTGTATCAGTCAAACTCAGTACTAAGCGTTATTGTGTGGCAGGGTCAGGTAATTTGATGTATTTTTTCAAACAGAAAGGACAGATAAGGCGATGTAGAAACGTAATTCTTCAAAGTGAGCGTGTGAAAAAGCCCTTCTACTAACCTTTCATGCCATAGTGTCAACAGTGTCCCTCTTTGTCCGCGCTCATAATCTGGCATAATCTGTGACCGTGTTTTCTGTCTCGTCTTAGCTGCTAAAAAGACACAGTGGCTGGAGAAGGAGGAGAAGGCGCGGCAGCTGAGGGAGCAGCAGCTGGAGGAGCGCCGCAGGAAGCTCGAGGAACAGAGGATCAAGGCGGAAAAGCGGAGAGCTGCCCTTGAGGAGAGACAGAAACAGAAACTGGAGAAGAATAAAGTAGGTTTTAACGCTTGATACGCTGAAGAAAAGTCCATTCAGTTTGTGTTGTTTCATATACCGCTGCGCTGATACCAAGATTTAAAATGTCAGTGCCCTCTTTCAGTGGAATAACAGCCAAACAGAGTCAGTTACAGATGAGCAGATTTGGGATTTAGCTCAAGGACACATAAGCCGGACCAGAGGATTGACTCCAGGGATTTCAGCTGAATGCGCCCAAGCTCTAGATCCCGTAGCTTTAGATATTCAAATCACTGATATCTCTATAACTATATTCTTTCCAGGAACGCTACGAGGCAGCCATCCACAGGTCAACCAAGAAGACATGGGCAGAAATCCGCCAGCAGAGATGGTCCTGGGCTGGAGCGCTGAGCCAGAACTCCAGCCAGAAAGAAAGTGAGTTCAGCGATGAATCTGCAGACCTGAAGGAGTCGATGAAAACCACTCACAAAATTACGGTTCACAGAGCTAATACGAGGCTGTTAATGCCTGAGTTGTCCTTGCCTCAGTGTGACATACGACTCTTTAATGGCCACGAATTCTGTCATTGTGAGGTTTTCATTTTTCATCACTGGCTCTCCAGTTTCAGCCATTAACCTATTGAGTCCATTATAGATTAGTAATTCAAGCATTCGTCTTCCTCATGCTCCCTGCTGTCACTATACATCATTATTACAGAAGCCAAGTGTCCTTATGGAGAGGATTTTTTCTCTAAAGGGAAGTCCGGATCATCTCAAGGTTTACTGTCACAGATTTAGGCTGTTTCATGTTATCTTTATTTTTTACGATCTATTTTCAAAACAACATAAAAGAACATAAAATTAACACATTACATAAACTTTCATCTGTTAGAGCTCTAAGTGAGTCCCCAGATGGCTGGTTTTGCTAGAAATAGTTCACACAATAGTGAATCGAAAATCATACAATAGAAAAGAAATCTTCATATTTAAGAAACTGACACAAGCAAATGTTGACATTTATTATAAGACGCCTTAAAGCTCCTGTTGGGAATATCCAGGTTGTGTCAACTTCGGCGCCCCCTGTAGACAAAATCTCATCCTGCTGACTTTGACAGTCAGTTGTTGGATTTATTTAATTTTAAACACAAGCTGTTTCTTAACTTGCTTGGTCAACACCTAGCCCCTTGCACAAGTTCCAGGCATTAAAGTCACGACCGATAAATAATCAATCAAGCCGCTGATGGTTTTGTTGGTGTTTGGTTATCATAAAAAAGGCGTCTAAATGAATTTTGGTTTGTTTGTTAGAGGTGAGAAAAAAATCAAATCAGGAGCTTTAGACATATATATATAGAAACCAACGTTGATGTTGGGTCTTTTCCTTCTCTTTTAGTATCTGGATGGTTGCTGGAGTTTGGACATTACAACCTGAAAATAATGCACAATGATAAATTTAGCCAAACTCAGTCTTTTCATCAATCGTAGTCCTTAAACCGATGGTTCAGATTTGTATACGGTGTTTTGTTTGACATAGAGACACTGATGAATTTGTACCTGTTCGAAAGCATTGGCTCTTTTTATTCTGCTCAACTGTATCTGACTCTGCATGTGCCCTTTCTGCATGTTGCACTTCTCCTGGTGTGTTAGCGACTACACTCCTGTTCTAGCCGCCTCGTTGCCTCTTAAGCATTATTTCATGGTCATTAGCCCCTGAACCTTGCTAGGTTGTATTGATCTCTGGAGTTAAATATGTAATCAGCTGCTTTAATGAAAGCAGAGTTCGGTCAATAATACCTGCTGATGCCATGATGTACTTTTAAATGGTGTACTGCCGCTCTAAATCTAAATGTTCCTGGGTCCCTGACATATGCCAGAGGAATTATTGACTCTTGAATCAATCTCTGCCTTCCTTCTACCTCAACAGCCTGTCGTCTGTCAGATTAGGGAAGTAGAGAAGCATGAACAAGCGGCTGTGGAAAGGCTGAGAATTTGGATGTTATTTAGGAAATGCTCCAAATGCCCGTCTACTGTGCATCCGTCAAAAGAGCACACTGCCTCATCCGTTAGACTTGTCTACTTTTATGGAAATAAAATGGAAATTAAAATAGAAAGTCCTGCTCTAATGCTGCTCCTCTATTACAGTAATGCTCTCTGAATCATTTCTGATGACATTTGGGAAAAGAGAAGAGAGCTCTCTTGTTTGCACCGCATTAGAGGGATATAAAATTGGGATCGATACAAGTATTGCACAAAGATGGACTTGAGGAGTCAGTGTTTTGCCTGTTTCTGGAGTGCCAGTCCACGTCATTTACGGTCAGCTCTTTCCAACACTTTTTATACTGTCGAGGTTTTTTGAGGTGACTTCTCCTGTTTGTAGCTTTAAAAGGATGTAGTTTAAATGCTCCCTCTGAGGGTGGTTCGCATGTTTGTACTGGAACTGATTATTCTGAATTAGACAAAAACCTCTCTTAATCTTGTATTTTTAATGTTAAGGAGAAAATTAAAAAGGTTAAACCAGGCAAAGTAAACCCACACACAGAAAACAAACTCCCATCTGTCTCAGTGGAGTTGCTCTGAATTTAGCTGTGTGCTCACTGTGCTAAAAAAAAAAAGTCACTTAAAGTATTAATAAGCGACAAAAAGATGCCCTGCTTACTTGGGATAATAGAAAACCCTCATGCCAGCACTTTTCAGGGAGTAAATCATCAGCAAAGACTGACGCAGAAGAATGGAAACAGTTTATTGAGTGTTATGAGGATTATTCACAGTAATGAGGTCTCTGTTTCTAGAGATTGATTTTGCATTGTTTTTAAGAAGTGCTATCAGCCAGACTCCCTTGAAAAAGAGGTTTTTAATCTCAATGGGACATTCCTGAATAATAAAAAAATAAAATGAAATGAAGAACTGCTTTGGAATGCAATGGAAAAAACAGAAATGTTGGACGACAGGACAGTCGAATTGATCCCAGGATGGGACTTCAGGGCGCTCTGAAGGGCGATTCAGCGAGATTAATATGAGATTTGTTCAAATAGTGACATTAGGAGGCATTAATGCTGCGTTCAAGTTACCTCTAAAGTCAGATGTCGGAGCTGAAAATGACGGCACACCCGAGTTACCAGCGTTTCAGTTACCAAGTTGGAAAAAAGCAAAATCGGAGGCAGAAACAAGATGGCTACATCTACGAAAGTTATTTTAGCGCTTGCCTTGTTCTTGTTATATTTGGACAAGGCAAGCGCGAAAATAACTTTCGTAGATGTAGCCATCTTGTTTCCGCCACACTGGTTACTCAGGTGTGACGCCACTCCCAGCTACTACAACTGACTTAAGAGGTAACTCGAACGCAGCATAACCTCCTTAATAGGGCCAATTTGTTGCATGGCAACAGTGAAGGAGGCTTCTGGAATGCTGGATTCTGGAATGCCAGGAGCAGAAGGCTGTTTGAGGCAGAGGCTGAAACATGGGTTTTCAAAGACAGCAGCAACAGGCTGAAATATGTGGAGAATCTGCTGAACCGTAAATCATGTAAAGCTGCTAAGAAGCTATGAGAGGGATGATGTAAAGTCAAAAACATAAGTATAACTCCCCCTCTTAAAGCACCAAGAACATTCTTACAACACTGAGGATCTAACTTGTTTGATAAGCGCATTAGACAGGGTTCCTACGCAAGTATGGAAAGTATGGAAATACATTTGATCAATTTCCAGGTCTTTAAAAGTATGAAAAATATTAATGTTTCCAGGCTATTACCACAGTTCTAAAATACTGTTTTTAAAATAGAAAAAGCAGGTATTTCCAAAAATAACTCTTAAAAGTAGGGTATGGAAAAGTATGGAAATTCCAACTGTGTAACAACCCTGATCAGAGACTATGATTAATGTTGCACATCTTAACCCCCAGGCGAACAAAAATCCCCTCTCAGTTCTAAATACAACAACTGAAAATCAAATAAAGATGAAGAGAAGAGAGAGAGTGACCAAAAAAGTCACTCAGACATATGACATATCATATTTGACACTTGTTTTAAGCCTGTTGGTGTATATAAAGATGCAGAAATGTGCTTTAATCATGGCCACTCAGCTCCCAAACACATATTGTAGTTTCTCTTCCAGTGTGTGGGTGTTTGTTTGTAGAGGCATGATTCAAGCGTAACACATGACGCCACAGAAGTTCCCCCTCCTCTTCCTCCTCTTCCTCTCAACCAATATGACCTGTGTGAACATCTGTGTGGCGCTCTCTTGGCTCTCTAGGCAGATGCTCTTTGTCGACGGTCAACCTGCCCAAACACGTGGACACTGTTATAAACAAGCGACTGTCCAAGTCCTCCGCCACGCTCTGGAACTCCCCCAGCAGAAGTAAGGAAACATCTGGAATGACCCCCTCCTCCTCCTCCTCCTACTCCTCCCGTTTAAATGTGTCCATCACTCTGCCACCGCCAACACCTCCGAATCCGTCCATCATCGTCTCCTTTTATTTTTCAGTTCTTCCCCTTTCTGATTTCAGTCCCTCTCTTGTGCTTGATGGTTGACAGCTGACCCATTTCCATCTTCCAAAACCACTGAGTTCCTTCTACTCTCTTAAATTTGGGTCGGGTCCTTGGTTGACATGCTCTGCATGCTCGTGTTGTAAGATGGGTTATTTATGGTCTTCATTTTTGGTTTTGTTGTCTTTTTTCTGTCCTCCGACTGGTTCATTTTTGTGTTTTTGCATCATCCAGTGGGTCCTTCTGTGCTCATTATATCATAACAAGCCTGATGTGGGATGTCTTTTATATTGTGTGGAATGATTTCTTGATCTGTGGTCATGGAGAGCGGGTGTTTAAATCTTTCTGTCTACCTTTCAGTCAATGTTTGTCACTTTTCAGATACATGCAGCTCCTTTTTTTAGGTCGGAGGAAGTTAACCAGGTCACAGTGTACCTTTGCACAGGATGAGAACCGTCTGAGTTTGAAAAAAGTAAAAGTTAGTGAGTGACTCAGCGTTTTTCCGAGGATAATTTATTCTCCAACACTCCCTGCAGCAGGTACCGCTCCTGTGCTGCTGGAAAAAAATAGATAGGTGACAACTTCATCCCTTTTATTGTTCTCCTGTTCGCTGCTATAAAACTCAGAGGCCTGTCTGTGAATATTCAGTCAAACATTTTCTACACCTCAGGGTCCGAGAAGAAGGTGCGTCCCCCTAAAATTAAAAAAAAAAACAACTACTCTCTATTCCTCTTCTTCTCTGTTTGTAAGCTCAAGGCTGTGGTTATAAATAACTGACTCAGTGTCTAGACAAGCATTTCAAATAACTCTCGCTCTCTTGGGTGGTACTGCTGCAGCCCAAGGTTATAGCAGACACAGTTACTGAGCTCATTTGACTCTCTTTGGGTGGCGCTGACGTGTCTTACTGGGAGTTTGTGAAATTTGTTGGCTCTTAATGGCTTGTGGGCATATTGGTGCATACAAACCATAATCTGGTTCTTTCTTATTTCCCCTCTGGTAACAAATCAAAGACTTAACTTTGTTACTAATGAAAGGTCTCTGCGAAAATTACACTAATACTTGGACATGATCACAGTTTTGGATGTTGTAGACTTTCGGCAAAGTCGTGGTAACCCCGGGGACATCCATTTCAGAACCAAACAGAAAACATGTTTTCATGCTTTCTTTGTTTTTCTCTCCTGCAGCCCGCGGCCTTGCATTAAGTCCCTGGGAGAGCAGTATTGTCGACCGGCTGATGACACCAACGCTGTCTTTCCTTGCAAGGAGCCGCAGCGCCGCCAGTGTCCTCAGCAACGGCAAAGACGGTCGTAAGTTGAAATAAAAACAGGGTCACTTTTTGTTTTGTCGTCATAAACATCTACCAATTGAAATAGTAAATCATTTTCCTGCCTTAGACTCTCCTCTTTGCCCTCGTTCGGCCTCAGCCAGTCCCCTCACCCTGTGCGCCCACCAGCCTCACCACCGCTGCTCCGACCGCTGGAGAGTGACATCCAGCACGCCGGATATCACCCAGCGCCAACACAGACGCAGCTCCACACCTGTAAGTCAGCCTCATGAGCCCACATGTAGTCTTCTGATGTCTTCAGATGTAGTCGTCAAACTTTGTTAATATTTTATCTCACTTTCATACAGATGGACAAAAACAAGAAAGAAAAGAGAGAGAAGGACCGGGAGAACGAGAAGGAGAAAAGTGCCCTCAGTAAAGAGAAGGTGTTGAAGAAGAGACAGTCTCTACCCAGCATGAGACACAGACCTGATCCAAGGTAAAATAGACACCTTATTTATCCTTTTTTTATCTTTATTTAAACACCAACTTCATAACAAAATGTAAAAGTTACTTTTTGAAGATTGAAAATCAAGTAAGCTTTGCTGTTCTGCCTTTTTTTATTTATTTGTGCCATCTAAAATATTTCTAATGATATGTAACAAAAAACAAACCTTGGCCCCCAACTTAAAAAAAAAAAAAAAAAATATATATATATATATATATATATATATATAGCATTGCTTTGAGCAGCTGTATGATACTAAAGAGGATTAGGGCCACATGAAGAGAAAAAAAATAACAGGAAGGAAATTAAAGTCAAAACTGCGAGATTAAGAATTGAAATCTCGAGATTAAAGTTGAAATTTTGAGATTAAAGTCTTAATTTCTAGACTTAAAAAATAAAAATTATGTCAATAAAATCAAAATTTCAAGATTTAAAATCCAAATCTCAAGATTAAAGTTGAAATTTCAAGATTAAAAATTTGAAATTATGTCAATAAGGTTGAAATTTTGAGATTAAAAATTGAATTCTCAAGATTAAAGTGGAAATTTTGAGAATACAAAATGTCAAAACGTCGTGAATACTGTCAAAATTTCAAGATTTAAAAAATTAAAAATTGGAGATGAATGTTGAAATTTCGAGATTTAAGTCAACATGAATGGAGTCAAAATTTTGACTTATTTCAATTTTGACTTTGAACTCAAAATGGAAATTAAAAACATCTCTTTTTTTTCTCTTGTGGCCCTAATCCTCTTTAATAGTACTGTCGAAATGTTGGGGAAGTCTGACACATCTGCTGTTTTAATATTAATACTGACTTTGCCCTGGAAACAGTATTGTAAACAGCGTTCACCTCACATTCCCCTTGACCCACGGCCACCATGTTTACGTCTGCACTACAATGACCTCATAATTGTGCTCTGAGCCTTGGCAGTGAGTGAAAGGTCCCGGCACAAGTGGTCATTTCCTCTCTTACCCTCAGGCTGCTGAAATAAATGACATCCCATGACAGGAAAGAAGAAATAGGAGAAAAAAAGTTCTTTAGATTCAATAAAAAGGCAACAAAGAGCTTGGCGGAGCTGTCAGTGCCCGAGGGTTAGAGATAAAAAATGTTCAGTATAATGCATGTTCTCCCTCCAAGTGTTGCAGTGCCTGTGTGTAGCTGAGCGATAAAGCACCCAGCGGATGACGCAATGTTTGAGCACTTCATCTGCTGAGGACAGGTTCCTTTAGGACGTTTGTGTTTTTACAGTTTTCATCTAGAAAACCACCATCTATGTTAAACAACTGTTGTCCCATCAGTTTTTCATTGTGCCCCCTTTTTTTCCCACTCTAGTCCCAGTCCTCTATCAAGACAACGGCCTTCATCTCCAGCTACGCCTAAGGGCAGAACTGCCTCGCCCAGCCCTGCTGCCTCCCCCAAGCCTCCATCCTCACGTGGAAGCCCATCGACTCCTAAAAGTCGGCCCAAGAGAGCCAGGACCCCTGCTAGGATAGACCACCGTACATCCTCACCCATCCCACTTGAAAGAGTGAAGGAGCCTCGCAGGTCTGCAACACCTGAGGACAGAAAAGGTGAGGACCGGACACAGTTTTGGCGAGTCTGTGGGCACAAATAGATTGAAAGGCTGAGTGAGCGGTTCGATGTTGCGTGTTCTGCTTGCTTCTGCTGTTCACACAGACTGTTTAACCTGTGTACACTAAAACTGAGATTAGTCAATACTGCTGGGAGTACAAATGGACAACAAACAGAAACAAGAGCACCTCTGAGGCTGAAAACTTAGACCCCTCTTCAGAGACTTTGTAAAGAAAGTTTTCAAGATCGATCTTTATTGTTCGTACTTGAAAGTCTTGTTTCGTTTTGTGCAGACTGAGGAGAATACAAAAATAAAGAACAACAGATTAAAGTTTCATGACTGGGCATCTGCTGAAGAAGATCATCAGAAGAAGTAGCCGTCAGTTTTAGTCATAGTTATCTTGCTGTGTGTTTTTACAATCTGCTGCACGATGTTCAAAATTCTTTTTATTGAGTTCTCCTTGGATGTCTTTCAACAGCGAATGTCAGGGCAAAAGGGATTCACTTCAACACCCACCCAAAAATATATATATTTAATAATAATAACAATAACAATAATTATAATTATTATTATTGTAAGAATAAATAAATAAATAGATTAGATGAATAAATAACTGTCAAATCATACCAAAACAATGCAATTTTAATAAAATAAGAAAACCATGTAAAGAAAATAAAAAATAAAAAAACAAACAAAATTGAGTAAAAAATAATAACATTTAAAGAAATAAAATAATAATAATAATTATAAATAAATAAAAAATGATTGGATAAATACATTGACAGATAGATATATGGATAGATAAATTAATACACTCACCGGCCACTTTATTAGGTACACCATGCTAGTAACGGGTTGGACCCCCTTTTGCCTTCAGAACTGCCTCAATTCTTCGTGGCATAGATTCAACAAGGTGCTGGAAGCATTCCTCAGAGAGCTTGGTCCATATTGACATGATGGCATCACACAGTTGCCGCAGATTTGTCGGCTGCACATCCATGATGCGAATCTCCCGTTCCACCACATCCCAAAGATGCTCTATTGGATTGAGATCTGGTGACTGTGGAGGCCATTTGAGTACAGTGAACTCATTGTCATGTTCAAGAAACCAGTCTGAGATGATTCCAGCTTTATGACATGGCGCATTATCCTGCTGAAAGTAGCCATCAGAAGTTGGGTACATTGTGGTCATAAAGGGATGGACATGGTCAGCAACAATACTCAGGTAGGCTGTGGCGTTGCAACGATGCTCAATTGGTACCAAGGGGCCCAAAGAGTGCCAAGAAAATATTCCCCACACCATGACACCACCACCACCAGCCTGAACCGTTGATACAAGGCAGGATGGATCCATGCTTTCATGTTGTTGACGCCAAATTCTGACCCTACCATCCGAATGTCGCAGCAGAAATCGAGACTCATCAGACCAGGCAACGTTTTTCCAATCTTCTATTGTCCAATTTCGATGAGCTTGTGCAAATTGTAGCCTCAGTTTTTGGTCTTAGCTGAAAGGAGTGGCACCCGGCGTGGTCTTCTGCTGCTGTAGCCCATCTGCCTCAAAGTTCGACGTACTGTGCGTTCAGAGATGCTCTTCTGCCTACCTTGGTTGTAACGGGTGGTTATTTGAGTCACTGTTGCCTTCTATCAGCTCGAACCAGTCTGGCCATTCTCCTCTGACCTCTGGCATCAACAAGGCATTTCCGCCCACAGAACTGCCGCTCACTGGATATTTGTTCTTTTTCGGACCATTCTCTGTAAACCCTAGAGATGGTTGTGCGTGAAAATCCCAGTAGATCAGCAGTTTTTGAAATACTCAGACCAGCCCTTCTGGCACCAACAACCATGCCACGTTCAAAGTCACTCAAATCACCTTTCTTCCCCATACTGATGCTCGGTTTGAACTGCAGGAGATTGTCTTGACCATGTCTACATGCCTAAATGCACTAAGTTGCCGCCATGTGATTGGCTGATTAGAAATTAAGTGTTAACGAGCAGTTGGACAGGTGTACCTAATAAAGTGGCCGGTGAGTGTAAATAGATTAGATGAATAAATAAAAAAGTAAAAACAATGCCAAGATCATACAGAATTAGATTATACCAAAACAATGCAAATAAAATAAAATAAAATAACCATATAAAGGAAAAAAAAAGTAAAACAAACAAAATAGAGTAAAAAAATAATAAAATTTATAAAATTTAATAATAATAATAATAATAATAATAATAATAATAATAATAATAATAATAATAAGATAAATAAATAAAGAGACAAATACAAACACACAGGAAGGGACAACAATGCAAACTCCCATCCCGACAGTGATCTGCTGTCCTATTTGGCCCTGCCCTGTGTTTCAGTAGTTGCTGGTCGCTTCCTCCCTCTCTGCGTCATACAGTATTATTGTATTCTGTTATAATGCTTCTTCACTGTCTGGCTTCGTTTCTCCTGCGACCGGCCAGAAGAAAAGATCAAATGGAAAAAGTGAACGAGCGTCTGGAAAATCTCTCTCGCTTCAAAGAGCCAATAGGCAGAGATTACATCAGGCTTAATTATCCATGCAAATGTATTTAGTGAGCCACACACACAGCTTCATGGCCCTGCGTCTTGTCGCACAAAGCGCTGAGAGGCTGCTCTAATCAGCCTTAATTATGTAATTACCGACTTCTGAAGCTGGGGCTGTTTACGTTTTCTAGTTGCTGGGGACGAAATGTTTCAGAGTGCATGTGGAGAGAAAAGGCTGCTGTTGAATGTTTATTAATAATGATGGATCGGTCTCTGTACAGGATCTGAGGGTTTCTGTCTCTACTGTAACAGCTGTCCCTCTATTTTTTAGGCTCTCCTCTGGTTCCCACCATCGTAGTTTCCTCAGCTGCTGCTTCCCCCAATGCACCAAGCTCCACAGTCACAACCACTGCAGCCTCCTCCTCCTCACCTGAGCCAGTGCATTCATCTCCCTCTGTCCCCGCAGCGTCGCCCGCACCCTCGCCATCGGCCAAGCCCATGGCAGGGACAAACAACCCGGAGGAGGCGGCTCGCATCCTGGCGGAAAAACGCAGACAGGCCAGAGAGCAGAGGGAGAGGGAGGAGCAAGAGCGGCGCGAACAGGAGGAGAAGGAGAGGTCAGTGGATAATAAAAATGCCTCAGAGCGTGTGCACAGTCACTGCTCAAATGAAAAAAGGGACTTTGAGCACATCTGTGTCCACACAGAGGGAGAGTCATTCCCAAGCTGTGTTTCTATTCGGGGAAAATAGGCGATGCATTTTCAGATGACCGACCCAGTCAGAGGTTTTATAAACGAGGACTACAGGAGCCGTCGTTGTAACGTACGCTACAAGTCATTCACAGGCTTTCATATGACATTTACACGAGGCTAAATAATGTAGCCGTTTTAATGTCGCATGATAAACTTCACTGAGGACATTGAAACGTTTCCACCGTAAGAAATGACAAATGTGTCTGTCAGACTGAGCAGGAAGTCTACATGCATTTTCACCGCACATGCATATCTGAATAAGTCCTCGCTCAACACTGGCCACGGTGTGTGAACGCATTAAGAATCTGATAGCCTGTTGACTGAGTCCTACCAAAACAAGTATGAGGATTAAAGCGATCCCCTGTCGACACTCATACTTCTGTTTGTTTCCATTCCCTGAAATAGTTTCCGGTTGCCGGTGCCTGAAGAGGAAAAGTGTCAAATGAAATAGAAATATCAATGTATTTTTGTTTGGTTTTTCCATCTTTCCCTCTTTGCAGTCCCAACATTATAACAGCAAACCAACAGCTGTCCAACATGAGTCTGGATCTTCTAGAGGTTTTGTTCTCTAGTGCTTTAGTGCTTTACTAATATATTAAGATGTAAACATATAAAGAGTAATGCTGCGTTCAAGTTACCTCAGAAGTCAGATGTTGGAGCTGGGAATGATGCTCGACCGAGTTGTGCATTCCAGCTAACAAGTCGGAAAACCGAAACGGACGCCTACAGTTACCCGTTTTTAGCTGTTGTTTACAATTGTCAGCTGTTGTTAGTCATTGTCAGTTGTTAGCTGTTGTCAACGATTGTTGTTAGCGATACCCGTTGTAAACAACACATAACACAGTATTTTACTCTACAAACACCATAGCACCGTGTTCACAGTTAGACATTGGGCAGTACAACATATACCACTTATTTAATTTCACAAAAATAAAACAGAAGTGCTAATAGATAATACATTACGAGAGCTTTCACTTTATTGTTGATGCACTGCACTGCCATCTTGGATTATGACGTTGTCGTCAAGTCGGAGTTGGCGAAGATCGTCCGATTTTCTGAGTTGGAAGTGCGACTTCAGGGAGGCGTTCCATATGAATTTCCGATGAGCTCGGAAATTCCGACTTCCAAGTAAAACTGGAACACATCATAAGAGCTAGACCTGCTTCTCTGGTCTGGAGATGAGATTGCTTGTGCTGTATGTTTGGTAGGGCTGGGCGATTAACTGAAAACTTACCAATATCAAAATTTATGACAAAAACCAACGTCATTTTGCCCCTCATTGGTATATTAGGTGTCAAAAAATAAATATAAGTTGGGTTTGGATGTGTGTAGGTAGGCTATTGTCTCATGTCCCTTTAAGACGATGTCTTACATCAGAGACGTGACTCTACTCTATCCAGTTCATACTAAAGAGGGAAAGACAGGTAAGAAGATGGAGGACGGTTCAAAAGTTGTAGCGGCTGGAGTGGCAACTGAAGTAGACAAAGTTAAAGTGGGAGGGGGTGAGCAGCTTGTGGAGTAGTTATTGTCTATTTATCCTTATCAAGGTGAACTGCTCAATACATCGTAATATTGATTTGAGGCCATATCGCCCAGCCCTAATGTGTGGGCATGATGCACTGGAAAAAGCTAAACCTGGGCCTTTATTTCTAATCTCTTTAGGATCCTGAGAGAAGAGCGAATAGCAAGAGAGGCAGAGGAAAGACGAATCCGGGAAGAAGAGGCCCGCGCCATGGCCGAGGAGCAGCGCAAGAGGGATGAAGCCCAGCGTCTTCAGGAGGAGAAGGAGGCTCAGGAGAGAGCCAAAGCCGAGCAGGAGGAGAATCTCCGCCTGCAGAAGCAGGTACGCTGACTTTTACTGCCCAGCACAAAGATATAAAAAGTGAGGTGGGAGTCATTGGGTGATAAGGCGGCGCAGCGGACGGGCTTTGTGGGCTGAAGGTACTCATAAGGGCTCCAAGCTGTTATGGTGACAAGGACCATAAAGCTACACTGTAAAAAACGATTGCTGCCTTTCTGCAGGAAGGTCAAAACACATCCATACAAGTACGCTGCAGCCTGACATTATCTCCAGGCACTTTGTCGGTCACACCGCAAACTTACACGCTCACTCCTGTACTGAGCAAACACTCTGTTTGGAAGCATTTATCTTGTTTACTGTTTTAGCTCAGCTCAGTGAGTTAATAACAGGGTATGTTCAGAAACAGAAATTTCAGGGCAGGTAGTTTCAGACGTTGTTTTCCTTGCAGGTATAAAAAAAAGATGCTGGTAACCTGGTACATACAATTAAAGTGGCCTTTTGTATTTTATTGTTTTTCCAATAGACGTCATAAGATGATTTGTCTCTTCCTGTACTGATAAAAGTCGATAATGTTGCTTTGTTAGTGGAAAGATTTAATAAGAACATGTTGCTTTTTATCACAGTCCTGTAAACCTGCAGCCAACCTGGACCTGTCCTCTCTCTTTACACCCAGCTCTTGCTCTTTGCCGCCCCCCTGTGGTCTCTCACAGTACATGCTCTTGCGGTTGGGCATGATCCATCACAGTTATACAAAGGCATAATTAAGCAAGTATTGTGTTTCCCTTTGAGTGGTTTTTACAAGGCAGTGAATTTTGAAAATAGACCTTTTTTGGCTCTGAGACACCCTAAAAAAAAATTCCTTTTGTGGCCGTAAACAATAATTGCTGTGTGCGACCACACCCTTGTTACGTAGAAGGCATGTTATTTTGGCTGAGATCTTTTCTCTCCCCCTGTTCTTCTGGCATTAAAATTAGTGGTTGATTCTCACCCGTGTGTGTGTGTATATGTGTGTGTTTTCAGAAAGAAGAGGCTGAGGCTAAAGCCCGAGAGGAGGCAGAGAAGCAGCGTCTGGAGAGGGAGAAACACTTCCAGAAGGAGGAGCAGGAGAGGCTGGAGAGGAAAAGGGTAGGGCCACACATCTGTCCTCCCATCAGTGATGCTTCAACCAGGATGAAAAATCACCTTTTTAGGACTGAAAATGCACATTTTATGAGTCCTCTCTGAAAGATTGTAAATTAGGTTTTCTAAAGATCCTCGACTCAACTTTTAAAATGTCTAAATTGATTGATTTGAAGCAGTAAAAGTCCCAGCTCATCTAGTCTCCACTGCATACATCTCAGAGTAACACAAAATTAATTCTGCACTCGTTGTACAATAACCTCTCCTCCCTCAATGAAGGTATCATATTCCCAGCTACATAAATCAGTGGTTTGCCTCCTGACATGACAAAAGCAGGCTTGAAAGTTGAGTCCCTGAAACCATGATGAATGATGTTTTTGGCTTATCCAGGATTGGCTGTCTGCATGCCACCATTTAATAGGGCTTAGGCCGAGTGTGCGTATGGAGCTATATATAAACAGCAATAATGGGGGCCTTGCTGTGCCAATCTTCTGTGTGTGTGTGTGGATGTGTGCAGATCTATGTGTGCTGATGTGTGCTTGGTGACCGTGACCATCCACTCCAGCGTACCACCCACATCTGCCCGTGTTTACCGGCTAAGCCTTCCTTTCCCTCTCCTCATCTTCCCTCCATGTGTGAAAAGCTCTTATCTGGAGGTGCCAGGCCTGGTTCACACAGCCTTAGCCTGGCTCTGTGCCGGATTTAGCCCTCAAGAACAGCATGTCCTCTGCACTGATGGCTCCCTGCTTACTCACACTTTTTACAATGCATTGTTTTTTTCAGATTGACTGATGTGTCCTAAATCTAACCGGCCCTCTAGTAAAGAGGACTTTGCGGTCTGCAAAAAAAAAAAAAAGGATGTTAAGTCTGTCCTCATTGGCACCAAATCCACCAGACACAACAAGAACCCTGTAGCTTAAGGCAGGAGTTCTGCAGCTGAGTTAGTTTCCACCAGTGTGTGAGCTAGCCATGAAAAATCTCGGGTCTTTAAAATGTTTCACTTTTATGAGTGGCAGCTGCAGTTCTGGCCTCTCTGTCTCTGGCTAGCTTTGTCCTCAGATTATGGTCGTCATCTCCTGTCAAATCCTTCCCCTCTGTGCAATGCGCTGCAAAGACTCAGTGTTCTTTGTTCGAGCATCCTACGCTGACGATCCAGCTGAAAACACAAGTGCTGCTTCACCGTTGTTGACACAGAGCCCCACCTGGAGTCACAAGAGCCTCTCTTTGACTCTCTTCATTTACTCCGAGCACAACTGCCTGACAGTCGAGCTTTTTCAGCTGTAAAGAGAGGTAATGAGCAGTGAAACATGAGCCTTAATATCACAAAGTGTGTGGGCTCAGTGTGGTCTGATGCACCAAACCATTACCCTGTTAAAAATGTCGTTTTGGTGTGAATGTGGCATCAATTACCCTCCATATTTGATTCTTGTTGTGGAAAATAATGGTCGCATTTCTGAACCTTAAAAACACATTTGTCCCGGTCTCTTCCTGTGTCCTCAAACTCGTCCCGTTTTTGCGTTTTCTTCTGTGAAGCATTTCTTTTGTCTTACTTTGCGCTTGTTTTTTCCTCAGCGCCTGGAGGAAATCATGAAGCGGACACGCAAGACAGATGCAGGAGACAAGGTACAATTTCCTATTCAGTTTGGAATAAACCGATAAACTGAAACAGAACTTACCAGTTTAAGTAACCGGTACTTTCTGACATCTTCACAGAAGGAGACAAAGTCCTCACCGCCCACGAACGGCAACGATGCAGAGAGCAGCAAAGGTGAGCTGAAGTTCATGTTACAGAAGAGACAGAGGAGAATCAGAGCCTGTAATCTGCAGGATCTCCTTTGAGATCAGCTGTTTTCTCGGGTCCACTCAATAACACATCCACATCTTGCACTGCATGTGTTCTCAATCTCAATGCAACAGTTTGTCCCACTTGGCCTGATCAGTCCAGTCCAGTCTAGTTTATGTCTCTGGACCTTCAAGATGTGTTCTGCAGATTTTTCTCTATCGTCCCTTTGCACATCTTTAAAACAACAGTTAATATACTATCTTAGATGATATACATTGCACACCCCAAACTACATTCTCCATATCAGACTGCACAAGAGCTCAACCAAAGAAATTCTTGGTCGACTAAAACCCTGAATTTTTGACCAAGCATTGACTAATCCAGGGGGGCAGCTTGGCGGAGCGCAGCTCGGCCGATTTCTTTGACATGGATGGTGGAGGAGGACTCACATGAAAGTTGAAACACTCAAAATAATAAGTAAATATTCAGTAAACCACTAGACGTTGATTAACGTGGATGCTCTTCAATCTTCCTGTCTCCGGTGGGTTGGGGGAATCCAAAATGTAGAGAACAAGGGGGGTGTTCTGAGACAGGCTGTTACCTGTAAAAACGAAGGTGTTCTGAAAACACCTCCATTAGCACTTGGTACGTTCCTCCTGATGAAATTAACCATAGACTGTAAATTGACGTGACCAATTAGAACTCTGGTTGACTCAGCATGTATCGACCAATAATACGACCAGTCGACTAGGACTTTACAGCCTGAGACTGCACTGGAATAAAGAAGGAATCGAGCTTATTAAAGCTTTCAGATGACGTTTAATAAGATATAACAACACCATCTCTGCTCCTGTCACTTCCTGCACTTGTGAGATTAAACAAATACCCTGGTCTTTGTTGCGCTTGAGTTCATCCGAAGATTTTGCAGCAAAAAAGGAGGTTATTCGATTATACATCTCTGCCTCACATCCTGCACAGCTGCAGTTTGACTCGCTCTTCTTTGTATAATAAGACCCATGTGTGCTTGCCTTTTGTCTAAGCCGTGGGACTGAGGGACTCTGAGAGGAAGAGCCTGCAGCTTTTATCAGATATTGACTATTGACACAAGCGATTCTACAAGGATATGCATGATCTTGCAGCTTCCAATTATGGAGAAGAGCTCCTGACAAAACTTAAAGTGAGAAGCCTGAAACGTGAACACCCTCTTGAGCTTCCACGTCACGTACAGTAGATGAGCTGGATGAAGGGGATCAGTGTGGTCAGGGAGATATGCTGTTCGAGGCAAAGTTCCCCCAACGCAGGAAGACGAAAGCCAGCTACTGATGTGGTTGGAGGTCTGGCAGGCGCGCTTTCATTGTAGTCGAGCGTGTGGAGATGTTTTTCAACCGCAGCCATGTCCTCAGTGGAGCGGGGTTGGGATGGGGGGTTTTGGACTGCACAGAGAGGATGCCCCTGGAAAGTTCTACCTCCCTTTTCTGCTTGTTCAAGTCAGCCTGACACTTTTTAAGGATGATTACTGATGTGTCACCCTTTGGCTGGAGTTAGTTTGAGAGTATTTAAGTAGAGCGTTCATATCCCTTTGTTTTCAGATCCCTTTGGGTCCTTGTAACACTTCCAAAGGCCTCCCCTTCACTGTGTTGAATTAGGGCTGGGCGATATGTCCTCAAGTTCACTTTGATAACGATAAATGGACGATAACTACTCCATAAGCTGCTCACGTTCTACCATTTTAACTTCGTCGACTTCAGCCGCTACAACTTATGACCTGTCCTCCATCTCCTCACCTGTCTTTCCTTCTTTGTTACGGACTGGATGGGGTGGAGTCACGGGTGGGACACAAGACCACAGCCTACCTACACACCTCCAAAACCAACTTTTATTGATTTATTTCTTTTTGACACCAAATATACTGATATGGGCAAAATGATGTCGGTTATTGTCGTTAATTTCGATATCGGTAAATTTTCGGTTTGTCGCCCTGCCCCTATGTTGAATGCTGTATTTTCTGTAAACATACTACTTGTTTTTAAATGTGCTAGAAGATGCTCTACATAAAGTACCTTCTTCTTCTTTGTTTCCTCCAGTATCTGCTGAATTTCAGCCAAAGCCAGAGGTCAACCTTCCCAATCACAAGACAGAAAACGGACAGACAAATGTCAAAGAAAGGTAAAACTGTTTCTTCTTTTTTTTTTGGCCAGTTTAAAACTCTCTTTGTGCTCATGTTGAGACAAAACGACTCTGCCAGATATCTAGCCAAGTGTTGACTGAGAGCTCTACAGAAAACACAAGGAGCCCAACAGTAAACAACGGCAGTATGGGGGGAAAGATTCTGTTTCCAGAAATGTTTACTCTGTATTTGAAGACCCTTCATGGGGAGGATTGAAAATAACTCGTGTAATTGGACAACGCAGAGATGACTCATTTGTTGTGTGAGTCACTCCTGCCCATCTTAACTGGAACCATATTCTTCTTTTGTGTTTCCCCCTCCGCAGCAGCCCCTCAGCACCAGTGGTCAATGGGGTCCAGCCAACAAGACATGAGAACGGTCTGTCCACCAAAGGGGACTCTGCTCACTTCGGGGATATCCTCCATCTCGCCAACACCACCAATGGGGCGCGGGATAACTCAGAGAGCAGCATGGACACTGAGCCCATCCTGTCGTTTGAAAGCGAGGATTCATTCATGAAAAAGGCCGGTCCCATGAAGCCCCAGCATGTTGCAGGTACACAGTTACAACATTACAACTACACCAAAAGACATAGTTATTATCACATCTTTATCTGCCTACAGTGAGCCAAAATATAGGATGTAGTTGAGAGGAGAAAGATGATATTACAGTCTGACAGGTGGTTGAACAAGCCTCGCATTGATGGTGAAAACAAGGAGACACTATCAGCAATTAAAACTAAAAATAAAAGATTCTACCACCCCAGAATCAGAATATTGGCTAAGAATGTAAAAACTATGTATCGACAAGGGCCTGACCGATTTATCGGTGAGCCGATTAACTCGGCCAATTTTAGCCCGTTTGAGACTAATCGGTAATCGGCCAAAACTTGCTGATTTTCGCAGATATTTTCAGGAATAAAATGTGTAGAATAAGAAACAATGGAGGAGGCACTGATCAGCCGGGGGGGGAGTTGAAAATGCTTTTCTGGTCCGAGTTTGATCAGTCGGTCTTCCAGTCAGCGTGAACAGCAGTAGCCTACAGTATAGCTACAGTATATAGTATACTGTAGATATTTACAGTATACAGTATATACATTTCTTATAACTTCATAAAATTTTTTTAAAATTGGCTGATTAATCGGTAATCGGATTTTTTCCTCCACAATAATCGGTATCAGCATCGGCCCCCAAAAAATCCATATCGATCTGGCCCTAGTATAGACAAATGCTCAATATGATTATCATTCCAAAGGATGATTAATGCAAGCAAGTCATTTCTTTTACCAAGCAACTGTCCTGGACACGACTTCAAAATAAAAGCATGTAAAAACAGGGGTAAAAAATGTTTGGGGCTTTTGCTTTGAAAAACATTCAAGATGTGCTTTTAAACTATATTTTTCTAGCTTGTGCCATAAATATAGCAGGTAAAAAGCAAATACAGCCCTTAAATAATCATTTTTTCAGCCCACGTCGGCCGACTTGGTTCGTGATAAAAAAATTTAATAAATCAACATGCTGCCCATGTCGGCAGTACGAATGTTCTGATCTGTTAACATCTATTAGTTAACAACAAATTATGATATGGAGTGAAACAAAGAGAATTGAAGAACATTTTTATCTTCCATATAAAGTATAAAAGAAATGTTATTATTCTTTTGAAGCCCCCACATGGATTTACGCTTAGGCTCACTGTGCAGTCAAGAAACGGGACATTCAGCGGATACAGTCCACATAGAAAACCTCATCTATTTAAGTATTCTGGAGTCAAATAATGCGAAACAACCATGTGTTGGATTAAAGGATCTGGTTAATATGCTGGTTCCACTTAGTTTCCTCGTCTTTCCCTTCAAAAAGGAGCAGCAAACAGCCGTTTAAACAGTCATGTTCTTATTTGCCCTCAGCCAGTTTTACACTCGGCCAACATTTACCATTTAAGCCCGCAGCACAAACAACCACAGATGGTTTCGCTGGCGTGCATCGACTTTGAACCTGAACGTGCACTTTGACCAAACGAGCGGGTCATCACACCCAGAAGAGGTGATGGTGCGGAGTGTGTGGGGACTCCACTTACATCCACAAAAGACTGGAGACAGGACGGGGAAGAAATAGTGTTAGGAAAGAGGCGAAGAGAAGCAGGGTATCTTTATACTGATGACAGCTTTTATTCCACAGCCTCTCTGACGGGGGGCCTGTGAGGAATTCTCTGAATGTCCGAGGCGACGAGGAGACCCTATCCACAAGTGCTTCTCGGCCAAGGGTTAGAAACAGGACCCAGAGGCAATTAAGCAGCATATCACCCCTCGCTCAGCCAACACCCCTGCGGCAACGTCAGCAGCACCCTACTCTCCCCTTCCTATGGGATCTTAGCCTGCACCTGATAGCCTGAAGACAAGCCAGAGGGCATAAATATTGCGGAAAGCAAACACAGGCTGCCAAAATTATTTTGAATCACATTTTAATTAAAACTTCTCTCCCCCGCCTTTAAGCTCAGCTGCGTTCGAATCAGACTTTCTCTTCTCTCATTTTCGCTCTTGTAAACGTGGACACACGAGACGCCTTTTACCAGGCAGGACATTTGCGAAAGCAGCTACGATAAGGAGGACTGATATGCGAGACGAATTCAGTGTTTTAATGTAGCTGCGTAGGACGTAACTTTATTTGGAGGCAATCTCCCAGGGTTTATTTGAATGTTCAAACTTTTATAGAGGAGGCAACATGTGGCAACGTCAGTCAAATAAACGAGTGTAACATCCATTAGCAGCTCCTTTTATATGCTGGCGGGAGCCGATTAAAACACTATTTTATTGAAAGTGAAGGCTGTGAGACTGTAGAACTCCACAGCCGCACATCTTTCTAATTTACGGCTTGTCACGGAGTCAGAGGTTAACAAACCATCCCTTTACAAAGATCAGAGTGTGACCCCGTTTTGGATACAAACGTCGCTCCTTTCTGTCTTCAAGATCATGTTCATAAATCCTCCCCGACTGCTGACCTCTAACCTTCTGCTCTCTGCCTCCCCTCACAGAGGTCCTGTGACACGTTCGTGTTGAAGCGCTCGTCGCCTTAGGCCGCCGACCTTCCCCGGCTCTGCCAACACTCGCATGGGGAACCCTGTGACCTGTGCCAATCAACAACCTTTTTTCTCTAAGCCCTGAAACGCAGACTTACTTCGCTCTGAAGACCGGAGGGGCTCCAGATACACAAGAAAGAAGACGATGAAAGGTGTTGCCACGTACGACACAGAAAGGATCCTTGTGGTGCCCCTCAGTAATCATCAGTATCATAATTGTACATTAAAGCACAGCTGTGTAATTTTGATTACGACATGCTGATGTATTTTACTTTGTCCTTTAGTTATTTAACTGAAAGAGAATCTAAAAGACTGGGTACATTTTTGTGAATAATGTAAATTAAGCGTGTGTGATGGACAGAGGGGAGAGTTGGATTCAAGTCGTATGAAAGGGAGTCATTTTATGCTACTTTGCATAAACCAGGTGTGACACATCCTGGGGTGTATAAAGCTACCTGTAACAGTTTTTTGTAAAGTTCCACACCGAGAGATTTGACATGTTAAGTTCACGTGCAGCAGCTTGTGTGGTGTGTACTGTCTGTTCAAAACCTCAGCTTCAAACTGATTGTAAGCAGGACTGGATGTAAAAATGAGAATGCAACCATGACATTAAAGAAAGCAGAATTTATCGGTCAAACCCCCTAAAAGAGGGAGTTACTCCACTATTTAACAGTAAAATGCTGTTTTTATTTCACTTGTTCAAGCATGACACCGTTTTTCTCTCATTCACATTGAGATTCCATGGACTCGTGTAGTTGAAATGCTGCTGCGTGTATATGCTATAATTATTTTGATGTGCGTTACGAGGTCAGTGGGAGTATCTTTGAGTCTTATTAAAGACAAGCTGTCCAGTCTGAGGTCTCCTTGTTCCTTTTTTTTCCTGGATCTTGAAGAAAAAACCAGGGGGTTTGTGGGAAGATAGAGGAGCGTGCAGATGTTCCGATGCGAAAGTAAAAACATTCTCAGGTTCATTCATCAGAAACAGGCTCTGAAAAAGATGTTTTAAGTTTGACAGTCAGGGGCTGTTCTGTGATTCACTTCGCCCTGTTTACTCATTTCGATTTAACAATATTTAGACTTTTGAGGGGAAAAAACCCACCAACGCTGAGAGTCGCTGAAGACACGGTACACGCTACCCAGCAGGAAAACAGATTTAGAGATGGTACCACAGGGCCTTCCAGATGATATACAAGGCATGTCGGTTGGCTCAGCTGTCCATTTCAGTTTGGGTCTCCTTTTACAAAATCCCCACAGGGGGGCACATGCCACTCTTCGGTTTACCCCCCTCCTTTCCAGTATATACTGGTGTCCCGCACAAGTCCTGGCACACTTCAAGGTTTCCAACCACACAGGCGGCTAAAGTGCTCTAAAAACACAATTTATGCCCCCTTTGATCAAACACCAAGACATTAGTGCATGATGATCGGCGAGGCAATGATGTAAATGACGTATAGCCGCCTCTGAAATATAACAAGAGTGAAGTCCAGTAGCAGTGGAGGGAACAGTTTGTTAGCTTGAGCTTGTGATGCATGGATGGCCTTTACCTCCCAGAGGACAACATTATTTCATCACCATGCAGTGGAAAGCTTTGAGCAATGCACAGAGGCTCTATTTCATCTAAGTGTCTTTGAGAGGAATGCTTTCACCTTAATGTATGTGCGACCCAAAGATGGAACAGATCCACCATCCGAGGGACTCAATGTGCTTTTGACCAAGATTTAAAGTAAGTGAGATCTTTGTTTGTAAAAGATGTGAGCGCGATGAAAGATGGCAGTTTTTAATGGAAACTTCCATCCTGAGCTTGATTAAACTCCCATTAAAGTTCGCAGAAATAGACGCGACCTTAAACTTCTGCTGATGCACCAAACTACTTTTCCGTTTAAGACTGCCATCAGAGCTTTTAGTGCTTTTACCCGCACGTCTACAAAGGCTTTACCTCCTAGAGCAGATCCGGCCACAGCCTGTTGGCTTCATGAGCGCCCCTGAAAAAGATGTAAACTCCCGCCGACATCCAAGTGTGAGTTTCAACAACATGATCTCCCTGGTTTCTTACGTTGCTACCGCACATGAGTCTCCTGCAAAAGAGCTGTATTCATTAACCCCAGCAGAGGGTGCAGCTCTGCAGCAAGGAGGTGACAGACAGCGGATTACATTTCTCCAGATTCATGGCTACTCTGTTGTTTGATACAACAATGTGTCAACATAATGTTCACTTTTTTTTAACATCTTTCTCTCTTCTTGGGAAAAATGCACAGATTTATTGTGACATTCTTAAACTATACTATGTTTGGGATCTCTTTCTCTCTGTGAATCAATCTCTGGTAGTGTGCAGTCCTTCTCAGAGGAGGCATACGGATTAGTGGTCACTATTTTTAGGGAGGTGTCAGCGAGGCAGTGCACAGTTACAGGATGAGTAGTGCCAAGTCTCTGAATAAATTCAAACAGAATGAGGATGGAAAAAGAAATCGATAACTTGACTTTATGGATGGTAAGGTTGATCCAAAACCTTTCAGCTGCATTGAGCTGGACGGTCCAGAAATAACTTTGCTGGGTGGCATTGCTGAAGCCGCCTCGTGTTCATGCCACTTTGATTGATGGTGTATTATCTCTGCAGTCTGCAAGCGTGCTGATGGGTGCATTGGTTGGATTTGAAGTACCCTCTTCTCTGGTGGAGGATCAGCAAGAAGGACAAAAAGATCCAACCACATTCTGTCGCGTGTGACAAGCTAACAGGCCCATTATCAAACCTCTGTGTTCGAGCTGCTCTGCGCAGAGCGTGCAGCTGGCATACTTTTGGACATGAGCTCATTGTTGTTTCAGACGTCAATCTCTGCACTCGAGGACTGTGAGGAATCTTACAAATGTTTCAGAACGGCAAGTGTGCCCGCTACGACTCCATTTTGAACAAGATAGAGGGGTTCAGGAGTGGGTCACACCACTCCAGATAAGACCACCAGGGCTATAGTTACTCATACATCACAACCATCAAAGCCCATCGCCCCAACCTCCTCCAGTGTTCAAGCTCACGCCCCCTTTTCCTTTCTCACGTTGAACCGTCTCTATCTGCTCAGCAACAGGCTCTCTTCACACAGCTGCTCTCAGATGGCACAGTGTTAATGAAAGGCCACTGAGCAGCCACCGCTCGCAGCGATCCCGGTCAGGACCGGTCATTGCAGGGCAACCCTTCAGCAATGTCTACGTGAGAGGGAAAGATTTAAGAGCGATTCCCCCCCCTCCATAAGACCCCCAGTGAGCTTTGATACCACAGTGCTGCCCCATGAGTGTGCACAGGGCCTCACATCAGGGGTGGTCGCCAAGGGACAGAGAGCACATGAGTCTAAACAGACAGCAGCTAGACTGTTGTCACAACTTGCCTGATATAGATCCTTTTTGACGAGGTCCGACCTCAGTGCACCCTGCGTCCACGTTATAAATGATGCTTTCTTTGAGTATATGTGAATGAAAGCACGCTCAAATAGAGTGGGAACAGGTTTATTGGACGAGTCAGCGTTACTTTATGGGTGCATCTGCTTGGCGGCTCATCTGAACTGAGATTCCTTTGTTTACGGCTTTGGCTAAAAATGTAGACTTGAATAACTGTTGAGTAACTGTTGTTAACAAAAGTTGGAGCTTCATCACAACTTTTTTTTGAAAGCTTTGAGATCCTATAAAATAAAGTGATTGATGTTCAAATCTCTGCTAATTGTAACCTGCTCTAAAGCTGTCATAAAAATCTTCCTCAGGTATGCCAAAGATATTAAACACATGGAAACGCTTAAACACATAAAATGAAACAAGTCTAGTCATACTTTTAGCGTAGCCTCTTAGGAGTAGCAAGACAGAGCAAGATGGTAATGTCAATGATCTAAGAAGGTAGCTGTTGTTGGCATTAGCTAGAAATAATAAAATCATCATGCCATTGTTGGCTAGGGTGACCATACGTCCTCTTTAACCTGGACGCAAATATTTTTTGTAGAATGGTAGGGGAAGGTCCCGCCCTCCTTCGCCTCTGGTTGTCATCGTCTGTCAAATTAGGGTTAGGGTTAGGAGATTCAGAAGTTCTGTAATGTTCTGTTCGATGTATAGATCCGACAACCCGCGTTTGGCTTGAGCGTGTGGTGATGTTTCCAGCTTTTCTAGCCAATCAGAGGCGAAGGAGGCGGGACTTTCCCCAACCGTCCTACAAAAAAAGAAAAATATCGCAACCTAGACGTTTCCTCTTCTTGGGGGGCTGTCTGGCCTTGTCCGGGGGAGTTTATAAAATCCTTCAAATGTCCGGGATTTTGTATGGAAGTTTGGAGTATGTGCTGCATAGACTTACTAAGTTAGAAGCACATGATCTTGATCCAACCCGTAAAACATTCCAAAAATAACTCGGCTCGGCCCCTGCGTAGTCGTGTCCTCCTTTTTGGGATTCAGAATATGGTCACCATATTGTTTTGTTGGCAGGTATGGTTCCTAAGGTATTTTTTAATTTCAGAGCACTGGAGCAATTGTTGGTGGCGTAGCAAAATGCGTTCAAGGGCAGAATGCAAATAAAACAACAAATTTGCAACATACGTGATACCATGTCTGTTGCAGGAATGAAATATACCCCCTTTGTGGCAATGCTGATACTTGCTTGACAGAACTGAAGACCCAGTATGTGGCTTATTGGTAGAGTTGGTCATCTCTCAATCATAAGGTTAGGGTTCGATCCGCGATCCTGCTGTCTACATGCTGCAGAGTCCTAGGGCAAGACACTTGACCCCAACCTGCCTGTGGTTGCTGTGTAAATGGACAATGTAATGTAAAAAGTCCTGAAGTGGTCAGAAGACCTGAGAAAGTGCTAAAGACATCTTGATCTCAATGGTTTTCTTTTTACCTGGTTAAATTAAAAAATCAAATAAATACGTGTAATAGTGTAGAGTAAAGGTCTTCTGTCTGATCCTAATCTACCAAAATACTGATCCTACAAAACGTGGCACCAAAACAATCCGGGATCATCCAGGTCCCAAAGATCAGTACACAAGAACACTAGAAGGTCTATCGAGAAGTAATAATCTCATATATAGTCAATCTGTCAATGCTGTACAGGTGCTACGGAAACAGCCAGTCCAATCGTCCAGTGGTCATGAGGGTATTTCCATCTGGACCAAACTGGTGGAAAAGTGACCACCTGACCAACCCAAATTGTCATCCTAAAGGCCAAGCCTCTAGTGGCTACAAAGCAATATAAAAACCTACACCCAAGAGGTTTCACATTTAGACATCGACACAGTTCGTATTTCAAAGATCTGTTGTCTCTTCATCTTGAGACTGACAGCTTTACAGCCTCATTGCCAATCAGTCCACAAAGGACAAGCGGCTTCAATTTTGCCTGCTTGCAAGCCTGGTTATTTTCAGTTCATGGGATAACTGAGAATTAATCCCCCGATGCACACTCGCTGCCAGCTACACAGGGGTCTTCGGATCTCTCAGTTTTCTTTTTGTTCCATTTGGAAGGAAAACTCTCAACCGGGGGGGCTCACGAGAAGGGGGCTGGAGCCATATGTTTAATGTAGAAACAGGATCCTCCCCTGCGTCCCTCTGTGTTAGCATTGGCTCAGTAAAGAGGAACCCCTATAGATGATTTATCTTTGGGTTGGCCTGGCACCACCTGTAGTGTCTAATGTCTCTCTGAGGTGTACGTTCACTCGGCTTAAATGTTGCGTCTTGGTTGCTGTGACACTGTGGAACATTATAACCACAGCGGCCGTCACATGAAGCCAAACTTAGACCGTTTTTCCATTGGAATTTCCATTGGGAATTGGGAATTTCTGTCTGTGTGCTTTAATAACAGGAGTTTCCTTCAATTTTAAGTACTTTTGGAAATAGAAACTATTTTCTCACATTTTCTGCTCGACAAAAGTTAAAACCCCCATAACGAGAATTTTAGAATAATATTAGAAATAGTGACTCAGCCCTTAGTTAGTCTGTCTATTAAAAAGTAGTTGCCAAGGCACTAAATCTTCTTGTTCTTTATTTATCTTGCAGCAGGAAACTACACTCAAGGCTCGCTGTTTAGGGTTGCACTAATTTACTGCCGTGAGGTTAACAAGAGGGTGTAAGAAGGTGTCTAGATGTCCGTCTGTGAGTGAGAGGGGAAAAAAATACTGAGAGAGAATGTGTGTGAATTTGTGTTTGCATTCCCACAATTCTGTTTGAGCGTGTTTTTATGTGTGTGTGAAAATACTGCAAAGTGTGGGAGTGTCTCGGTGGCAAGTGAGTGTGTTAGCATGATACATGAGAGCAGCCGTCCGGGACCCTGGAGAGCAGACTGAGAGAGGAGCTCATAAGAGGGGGGCTGAAACTAACTTCCATCCCCCCGGTGACAGTGGCCCTGAGCTGTCAGCGCTGTAAGACTGAAAGCATTCTGGTGGTGGAAAGAAAGAGTAAAAAAAACAGTGACACATTTCTGTTTCACACCACCACAACGGGCTAAACCTGCTGAGACAAAGTAACGGCAGGGTGAAAAAAGGCAGAAATTTCAGATTCATTTACATAAACTGACATGAAACATCAGGTGAACGGTCACTGGTGTTCATGGGAACATAACACCTGCGTTTGACTGTCACACTATGAGTTGTTTGATTAGTCAGTGAAGGCTGAGTATCTCTGAACAATATGGCTGTTTTTATTCAAAATTTAGACCTTCATTTAAACTCTGGGGGAAAGTTCATATTCGCGCTCCACTAAGTTATTCAAACTCATAATTATTCAGTGTAGTAGCACATCAGGCTGCCTGATGTAGCTTCCTGTGTGATCTAACAGAGGACGCTCCTACTGTAACCTATCCAACCCGTGTATCTCTGACCTTGTTAAACCAATACAGTTATGTTAGTCTATAAAACTGGAGGACATGTCCATGCAAAGCTGCATGTACATTTAATTTCCTTGGGGGAACACCCAAAAGGATAAATAAAGATATTGCAAATCTAATGTAATCTAATGTAATATAATGTAATATAATATAATATAATATAATATAATATAATAAAAAATAAAATAAAATAATATAATATAATATAATGTAAAATAAAATAAAATAAAATAAAATAAAATAAAATAATCCAATATGGAAGCATATTGGGTCCACAGATGGAAAAAAAAGACAAATAGATGGCTGTTTGTTGACGATAAAATAGAATAGAATGGACGAACATCCATGGATAATGATTCTGATTCATTCCACATTATCTAATTGTTATCTTATTGTTGTGAATCCTACTAGTTTAATGAATTTGATGTTTTTGGTCTGTTATTATAAGCCAATAATTAAAGACAGCTTACTATATCCAATAAATCCAAAGACTGTGTAAAACACATGATTCCACTTTAGATGTTTCTTTTAAAGACATTTTGACTTTCTTTTCGCTCTAAAACCTAAGTTTCCCTTCTGTGACATCCTCTCTGGACTCCACTGGGTGGATTAAGGACTGTATAGCTCTGCAGGAAGTTCTTGATATTTTCCTTCATTCTTCAAACTGAGCTCTCTGCAAGACTGAGGAAACAGCAACCAGCTGTGTTTTCTGCGAGGCTAATATAAAACAATACGTCTACCTAAGCATGTAATTCAACTACAGCCATTGAATAGAAACTTGAGAACTTGGATCAAGTTATAAAAACACAAGAAACAAAGAGTGAATCATCTCTTAATCATGTGTATCAAAAGTGGTTGGTAAGAAAATTAGGCAGACATGTCATCATGTGAGAAACTGGCTAACTAGTTTAATCTCAAATCTGTGAAGAAGCCGCTCATTGCTGTGATTTACTGGGCACTTTCTGTCCGTTCTCCCAGTAGGGAAATCAGGCCCAGCTGCTGCTTCTTCTGAGAAATGGAAAATCCCCTTGTGTGCATCATTGTACCATCACTTTTTCAGTTTCTTGCTCCTTTCTTCTCACATGAGAGCAGCACTCAGCTCGCCAGCAGACTCATCTGTCTGGGTCTATGGTTAGGTCGTGCTGGGTGTGACGTGGCCCGACCTTTTCTCACCAAATTCGCCTCCTTGCAGATAGCAGGAGATGATGGATGGTTTTCTGGAGGTGGCCGCCACTGACAAAGATTGCCGCTTGGAAGCAAACGGCGTCTTTCAGGAGGACAGAAAGTTGGGAATTGGCTTGTTAAAGTGCATCATGTTTGTGTATCTGAGATGTAAACCAACGTAATAATTGCAAGTAGGTCTGCAGTTTTATTTGAAACAGATGCAGTTTGCATTCTCTATCCCTGCATGAACCCGTACTGTAAGTCCCACCACAGCATGTGTCTGGGTTTAGGAACGGAGGAAAAGAAGGAAATCCTGATAAGATTTGCTGGTTGAAGTCTGAACTAAGAACCCCTTTGAACGCAGACAACTTTAATATAAAATTCAAACTTAGCAGTAAACTTGCAAGACAGATGGACAAGATTTAAAGAGCCACCATAAGCATATGGTGCTGATCAGAGAAACGCCTAAAACATATAGGCTGTCATGTATTTCCCATGTATCTTTCACTCTTCCAGCTGCAGGAGATATACTGCAGTTTGGTCAAACATCTGACAGTGCCAGTAGCACGAGTAAGAAAATGCCTCATGGGGGAATCCGGGCTCCTCAGCTCCTTCTCAGAGAAAAGTAAGGTAATTTTTCTCCTCCATCCTCATAAGACCTGCTCTAATTAAAAATAAACAGCAGCTGTCTGCAGAACGCCCACCAGGCGTGAGGTTCACGAGGCCACAAGATCAGTTCTTGGTTTCACATGGGAGGCGAAATGCCTGCACCATCTTTCTGTGAGGACTTTATTTTCAAAGAAACTTCTCAAGTGGCTCCACAGCAGGGTTTTGACCTGAAGTCATCTCATTCGGTCACCACTTGTGTCACTCTGTGGTCTCAGATCCTCATTTGTCATGAGGAGCACGGCAGCTGACCCAAAGTCTGCGAATTCACCACTTCTTACCCACCGTCAGATTGTGTTATGTAAAATAAGTTTGTATCAAGTTCTATGTTACCTAATCACATCAAATAGCTCCAGGCTGCTCGGTACTATGAAGTCCTGCAGAGAGTTTTTAGTCTGCCCACAGATATTCCCAAACAAGGCAATACTTTTCTGATGGTTGGCATTGGCAAAGCGGTGAGGCTGGCATGAAGGGGAGTAAGCTGCTCCTGGTTACTTCAAAATTGCTTTGGACCCATTTACATTCATGAGCTTGCATAACTTAAATCTAAAAGCAGCCAAGATCGGCTGCAGCCAGCCAGAGAGCTGGTGGTCGCAGACGTCGCCACACTCCTTTACGCACTGCAGATTTTTGGATCTGCGTGGAAATAACGGGAGCAATGTGCGCCCAGTGTGTTGACAGGTTCTGCATTGAATATACACACTGCAGAAGGAGCACAATGTGTTCCCATGTGTGTCTGATACTACTTAATAAAAGCAACACTCATGGTACAAGAAGAAGCTCATAAAAGGTTCAGCAAACCTGCGGCATTTCCTTTCTGTGAGCTTCGATAAAAGATAAAGAAAATGTGCAGAAATAAAGAATGACAGTTAATCGGAGCTAAATGACTAACACACTGTCGCCTCGCATCAAAGTCAGCTGTCAAGTGCATGCCGCATTTATTTGGCACCCCGTTGTGTTGCTTGCAAAGCGGTCCAAACAACCCTGTTGATGTTTATTTTTTCAACACGCAAAACGGTTGATGAAGTTTTTGCACCTTTTCCGAACAGAACAGAATTGTCCTGTGTTTTTTTTTTCTTCCTTTTTCCATAAAAAAGGCATGGAAAAAGGAACACCAGACCCAAAAGTCTCTACATGTGTTCTTCATCTGGTGTGAAAGAAGCACTAAATCATTGTCCTGTAAAATAAAGACAGTGTGTGTTGGTCTGTGGGAGCCGTGGGGAGGAGGAGGACTGAGAAAATGATGGGAACAGTTTGAGGGGGATTCAGATCTGGAGGTTCAATGCCAGGGTACTTCCTTATTATTGCCCCCCCTTGCAAAGCCAAGCGTCTTCGCACACAACAATCATAAAAAGACATTTCCAAATAATTGGCAATACACGGTTCTTAAACAGACGCTGGGTTGATGTCCAATTTGTGCAACATCATGTGTTTCAGCTGTGCTGAGAAAATATATTTTAGAAGACCATCATAATATTCATCTACATCTTTTATTAAACTCTAACTTATGAGTTTAAAAGCACCAGATGGTTAGAGTTGTAGAGAGAATTATGCCGTGTCTCAGAGCTTCCCTCGGCCAAATGTGATTGCATCACGGTTATATTATGTAACAGTGTGAGAGAAAGATTTCATGACTTACGTTTATGTACTTATAGTCAGCATGTGAGAAGTGAAAGAAAGTAAGAGACTATTGTTGGAGGATTTCAGTTTGGCGTTGTGTCAGTCACATGTCTGGGGTTTTGGAGCCAGTTCTGACCATATTTGGATGAGAATGTGGAAACACATTGCTGCTGTAATTCCTTTATAATCAAAAAGCTGCAATAATGGCTTGAAAATCACAAGCAGATAAGTTCTAAGTATACCACACAGTATCCTTGGTTTTAACATGGATATGTCGAAGAATTACAAAATAAACATCTTGTTGAATTAAAGGGATATTCTGGCATAAAATTAAGTTAGGGTCAAATACTCCATAACACCGAGTTAGACACTCCATCGAGAGATGAATGTTGCAAGTTGCTTACTTCTCTAGTTATACCAACTTTAGTAATGACCACATAATCAGTCGCAGGAGCCCCAACCTCAACAAAACGCCACTCTATAACCACAAATATAGCCACAGGGTCCCAGCCATAGCACTAGTCACCAAACATCTTTTTAAACTTTGCTTAATCACTTTGGCAAAAGGGCTAAACACAACTCAACTACTCTCTTCCAGCAGCCAATTGTTTGTACGGAGACCTCCAGGCGAGTCCATCGAATGCAGTGGGGGGATGCAGCTCAAGGAGGAACATTTTAAAAAAAAAATGCAATCAGACTGAGACGCTAAGGCAGAGGAACTACCGCGTCTGCAGTGCAAAATGATTAATATGATGAATATTACATCAAGGAAATGATAAAGTAATGATCATAAATGTTCTTCCTTGAGCTGCGTCTCCCCGCTGCAGTCGATAGACTCGCCAGAGGTCTCCGTACAAACAAGCGGCTGCTGGAAGAGAGTAGGTGAGTTGTTTTTAGTCTTTTAATCTCTTTGCTAAAGAAATCATGCAAAGTTAAAAAGATGTTTGGTGACCAGTACTATGGCTGGGACCCTATGTACTTATGATATAGAGTGGCTTTTGCTATAGAGTGGCTTTTGGTTGAGCGTGTGGCTCTCTGTATTGCTATCCTGCGGTTGTTACTTAAGTTGGTATAACTAGAGAAGCAAGAGGTCAGCAACATTCATCTCTCAACTCAGTGTTACTGTGTGTTTGACTCTAACTTAATTTTACGCCGGACTATCCCTTTAGAGGAGCTCAAAGTTGTTATCATGTCTCACTGCTTTATTCCAGGTCCCAAAAATAGAACTTTCATAATCCCTATTATATCACCTGTAGTAAGACTTTGTTTTGCAACCTGTAGATTTGCCCCCTGCTGGCCAACATAAAAACTGCAGGTTTAAAACACCTCTGTCTTGGTTTCAATTTCTAAATTACACGCTTTTTATGCTCTCTATGCTTCAGCTGTTGAGCTTGCACATATGCCTTACCTACAGTGCTCATGGAAAATTAAACAGTACCTTAGCTGTTCCTTTGAGGTCTAAGGAAAAAAAGTCTAAAAGGTGCATGGGTGAGACAATTTAAGAGAGGGTCAAGTTTGCCCTTCCTCTGAACCTGATATGATTTCATCATTTCAAGCTTGGGGTTGTTTATGAGGGGAACAATCTCAGAATGCCTTGCGGGTTTACAAAGGTGCAGTGTGTCGCCATAGCTATTCCTGAAAGCTAAAAGCTCTCTGAGCCCAACAGCCTTGGATCTAATGCTGATGGGCAGCTTTCTCTCACACCCTCTGACCCCAAACAGGCACCTCTCAGTGTAAATGCCCCTGTTATGGAAACAAAATGTGTTTGTGAGCTGGAAGACGAGTGTGCGTGCATGTGTCAACATGAGGAAGAAAGTGATGGAACATGTGCAACAACGTGGCTGCTCTCTGCATTATGTATCAAAGCGAGTGTACATACAGACTGTGCATGAGTCTGCAGCACAGATCAGACACACAAGGGGGAAGAGGAGGGGAAATACCGCTTAACTGAGCCTTGGAACAGGACCAAAAGCCGCAGAAGTAGCTCTGGATCCAGCATCCCCTGAGCCCTGCAGAGACAGCTAACAGGACAGAACAGAGCAGAACAGTAGTTCTATTCAAACCAAACCATTTTTCCCTGGCACGAGATTGAATGGGTAGAAAATGAGATCACTCTTTCTTTGCCATCACAGAATGAAAGAAAAAAAAATTAAATTCAGACAGAAAGGAATGAAATGTTCCACCTTCCAAACCAGCTGCTGAGCCCTTATACGGCTCAAGGTTGACTGTGATTAAATTTCATGGTATAGGTGCTATAGGTGGATGACAAGAACAAGAAAAAATATGTTTGGGTTTCAGCTGATGGGGCCTCATTTTTTCCTGGTGGAGTTGTTTCTTTTCGGAAGTGGAGGGGGCTGGAAATTTTTCCTTCACCAGAGTTAGTGCAGAAGAATAACTCCACAGTTTCACTTTGACACCCCTTTTGCTCTCTGCTACTCCTGTATTTTTTTTATTATCATTGTCAGCCAAAGGACTGTCCCTTTAAATTTGTGACTCTATGTTAAAATTGGCATGAACTTTAGCATAACGCTTCAAAGAAAGAAAGAAAAGAACGATCTCTTCAGAAGCCTCACAAGCACGTTTTCTTGATTAAACGTTCCCCATGAGAGGAAACAGGTGGGTCGACTCATCATAACTTTCACATACTCTGTGATCTTAGTCACAGGCTGGATTACAGTCAAGATGATGAGACTACGAATCTGAAATCAAAATGTCAAAATAAAATGTAAATTATTTTACTCTCTTATGCAGAAAAAACACGGCCATATGCCTGCACAGATAAATTATAGGATCTACAAACCACATAAAACATGTAGGCACACTGTAAACACATCTGCTGTGCATACTGGACATTCAGACACACTGTAATGACGATACTTGAGAGCACTTATAGCCTCCTATGTTAAGTGCTGCACTACAACATAAATAAAGTCCTAGAAAAACGATCCATCAAGACGTGAGTTAGGTGGATGCTGTCTTTCCTTTGGTGGGTTTTAGCTTTATAGAACAAAGAGTCATCAGCATATCTAGAGATGCACAGTCTCCTCCTCTCAAGTGTTTATTTCATATTTAATACGGAGCCCACAGAGGACACAGTATGCAAATAGAAAGGGAATCTCTCTTTTATACTCTGCAGGTCTCAACTGATGACTAATCACTTAATCAGAACAGCATGATGAGCCAAATCTGTTTTAATAGACCCCAGGCTTGGTAAAATAGCAGCAATAAACTCTAAGACAAAGAGCTGTTGTGTTGTTATATTGTGAAATGCATTACTCTCTTCTTTGTTTTGGTGTTTATATGTCATACTCTCCCACACGGCATAGTACTTTTGGGCATTGGTAAGCCTGTCGAAAAGTTCTGCCAATGCAATAATGACAACAACATGCAACAAAGGCTAAGAAAACACATCTGTATCTGTATCGTTGTAATTTACAATTTTGAATGTTTTCAGCACCAAAATTTAATCATATGTTTGAACATGCTCATGGGAAAACATCTGTATGCTATCGTATGCTTAATATGGTAATATGAGTCTTCCAAGTCAGGGAACAGTCAAAAATGGTTGTGGTGCCCATTTCATACACAGAAAAAAGCTTTTTTATTGAGTCATGTCAAAATCAGAGCAAGTTGGACACTCTGAAATTTCACTTTAGGACTGCAAAAGCATTTTACCATACACAGCTATAGTAAAAATGGTAATTTAGCACCTCTAGCACCACCCTTAGCTCCTGTGGTGGTTTTTTGATGATATGCAAAAGCAGAAAAAAATCAGCAGCAACAAGAAAGAGGAATGTTGTTCTGTAGTTTTAATGCTGGAAATGGTTGCAAAAAAGTTGTTTACATTAAATAAAAAGTCACAAATATATATATATTTGACTGTCAGAATTCAGAAGCATACTGAAGCATAAGGAAGACAGGATAAGCAAAGACTGCTTGGTCCACAGGGGGCGCCAAAACTGACTCAAACTAAAAGTTCCTCCTAGGATCTTTAATATGAGTATTTATGCATTTATGTATGTATGGAGGGGTCTTGACTTAATGTGAAGATGACAGAAACTAACCTTTTAGCCTCAATGCTTACAGATTCTGGATGCTTGAAATGATTCAGTGAAAAAACACAGTATGAATGATCTAAAATATGTCTTGTTTTGCTATAATTAATGTAAAGATATACCGTTTATACTGTTGATGATTTTGTCATGCATGCTTATTGTGAGCTGAAATTAAACTCCACTTGGTATTAAATATTTTAGTCAAGATCAGAGTTGCACTTGATGATTAATTTCTGTCTGGCTGCTCTAAGACTTCAGGGAGCACTTCATATTACATGAGTTAGGATACTTGCATGGAACACACTGATCTTCATCATCAACACATGTATGTCCGGGTCATTTTGGGTTACAGCTCTGTCTTCAGTGAAATGTGAAAACTATAGGAAAATATCTAACTGTTTCTAATTAACGAAAAGCTGAAGGCTCAGGGGTCCTGCTGGCCAAGCGGTCTAAGCGCGCCCCATATGTGAAGGCTGTGCCTGAAGCAGAATGCTCAGGTGGCTGCTATCCCACATGACCCTCCCTGCTCTCTCTCCTTATCTCCTTCTCCATCTATTGTGTTATATTTAATAAAGGCACAAATAAGCCAGAAAATGAGGTTTAAAAAAAAGCAATTTATTTAGATTCTAATTGAAATCAGAAAACTGTGTAAAACCAAACCTAATTTGAGATTTGGCGTCAAACATACAAAAAATAAATAAAAAAATGGCTCCAAGTTTATAATTTGCTGTTCCATGGTTGGCAGCCAAACTGGGTGTTAATTAGCCTTTAAACAGTAACATAGCTCAGGGGTAATTTACATAATTCACAATAAGGGTTCTGTAATTGCACAGAGTTTGACACAAATCGATTTTTTTTAGATGTATTTACTTTCAGTGAAGGCCCCTGTAGGTCCCTGGGAAACAATTATTTTCACTGGAGTTACTCAGTGCAAAAAAGAATCAAACCCAGATGAGATTCTGGCACGCCTCAGCGGATGGGAACAACTCCAGGAAAAGAGCTGATTACCAAACTGAAAAAGAGAGAGCCTCTCTGTGCGTTGCTCAGATGGCCTTCATGCTCGACATTAAAAAGAGCTTCATACTGGAGCTGTTTGTCGGGTTAAAGGACGTGTCTGACTGTCACATCCTGGGTGAGAACTAGGATAAATTAAGCTCATTTGTTTCTCTACTCTATCTATCAACTCAGTCCTTTTCTCAACATATTCCAAGCAGTCATAAATAATTCAAGATTGGACGTTTTGATTATGTTCCCATTTCATGATATTAAAAGTATTTTGGCCAGAATAGAAACATTCAATCATCTTTTAAAAATGCACTTCTGATAACGTCCTATCTTTCCAGCAGCTGGGCTTCACTAACATTCAGATAAGAGACTGCTAAAAGGGCCCAGATAAATATGTATTTCTTCATGTCCTTGAAAGTATATATGTGTGTGTGAGAGAGTCAGTGTGCGACATGTTTGTAGATACGATGATTTCCCAGCAGACCTCACTGATTAAATGTTTGTTCTAAACTGTGGTGCTCTCCCCTTGGGATTAAAACACTAAAAACCAATTAGCGTCTAGTCGTCTTTTTTGGAAACATGTGAGTCACTCAATGATTCCCCTCAGCTGAATTTCGTGAACAGCAATGTTATTATATTTTTGAGGCATGAAATGCTTCTCCAATTCTCGCGTCCTTGGCTATTTCAAACAAAATTATCAAATCAGCTTTGAGATTATCTGCTGCATGCCCAGCTTTTAACACTGCCGCAAGATTTCCACCATTAAACTGAACCATGTGACACATATTAAAGTCACCGCTTCCCTCCTGTTCTAACAAAACCAAAGTAGTGCCACTTCAGTAATTTATTTCATCTGCAGCCAAGAAAAGGTTAAACAAGGCCGAGAGAACGCCGGGATGCTGGATCTCTCTGGACACAAATCACGTCAGATACCACCCAGTTGACGGGAAGCTGACATAACAATTGGCACAAAAATTTTACATTCTTATTAAAACCATTTTTAAAGCCCCTAAAATTAGGATCAGTGTTTGAAATCTCTTTCCAAGGAGATTATTCAAAACAGATTCGTCTTTTCCTTTCTAACAAAAAAGATTCTTTGTAGACCCAGACTTTGTTTACTTGTGTCAGTCTCAAGTTTGTGTGTTGTCAGTTGTAGAGCAAATTGCCTTGTTACTTCTATTATGCAATACCTAATACTACAACTGTTTGATTGTTGGGATCTGAGACGACTTAGCAGTTTTAAGTTCAAAAACCATTTGTAGCTTGTGGCACTGATGGCCTTGTTTCAAAGCCCCCCACATTTAAAGGATAGTCCTCTCCACATCAGTCACTCGTTCGACCTTTTGCTGCATTGCATGCCTTCCCCCACTATCTTCTACCCTCATGTTCCATCTCTCTCAGGGACAGATCCAGCAAACATCCAGCAAAACCCTATTTTAAAATGTCAACAAACAAAAACACCCAAACTAAATAGTTTGTTGATGACTCCCTATAGGTGCTTCTTCACACTGTAGGTTTGACCAATCCAGTTGCTATGTGCATATGTGCAATAATCACATCATAGGAAAGTCACCTTTCCTATACCAGTTTCCAATCTTCAACTACAAGTTACCAGAGCACAGAGTGACCTGCACACTGTCTGATTGGACAAGCACGCAATACTGCCACTGGCACATACAAGGTCAGTAGGACTGTCCATGCAGATGTTCAGTTACCTGAGGCAGCTTTTCACAGCACGTGTTTCTATTACCAGAGGCTTATTGTCCCATGCTGGTCAACACTGTGGTGACTCACACGAGTGACTGGTGTGTTTGTGTTTTTGTCTGATTTCATGCTGTTTGTTTCTGATGAAATCAACCTTGGTAAGTGGTAAATGGACTGTGTTAGTTAAGCGCTTTCTCAAGTCTCCTGACCACTCAAAACGCTTCTCACACTACATGTCACGTTCATCCAATCACACTGCTTCCACACACTGATGGCATGCAGTGCAATGTAAAGCACCCATCAGTATTAACTAATCCAATTCACTCACATTACAGGGTTAAGGTTGGGGTTAGGGTTAGGGTTACAAACTTGACCTTTCAAGTGTCTTGCCCAAGGACACTTTGGCATGAGGTCAGTTGGATTGTTCACTTGTTCAAGAACATCCATTGATTGCATTTGTCCAACTGAAGACCTGTAAACACCTCAGTCCATCTCAAGGTCATCAACAGGATCCCCTAAACCCTTTTGTTTAAAGAGACTTGAGACACTGGACTTGCAGAAGCAAGCAATGGTAGACAGTGTTCTTTCTCACACCACACCAGTTTATTTGCACAGTTCTTGGGATGACAAACAAATCGGAGCTGTCCCAAGAGCTTGTGCTACCACACACAGAGGACCCCAATTAAACTATGAAACAACAGAACAGCAGAGAACAAAGACAAAAACCAAGTTTAGCCTCCGAACACTGACTGACTGTTTCACAATCACCCTTAGGTCAGCATAACTACTACCAGACATGTCCTGTCTCCCTGGCAAAGACAGCTTGCCTACTGTCCTCAGTGCATGATGTGAAGTCAGATTCCCAAGAGTTCTTGGGACAGGTCTCTGTTACATAACTTCAATAACCAAAACATGCAGCACACTGACTTTTAGCGGTCAGGACAAACTCACTTTCTAACAGTCAAATGTCCTTCTAGGTAGGCATGTTTGTTATTGTACTGATACTGGCGACTTCTTTGGTTTGCAAATGAGCGACAAACAGTCCTGTTGTTTGTTTACTGCCTTTGGCCTGTATTTCTCTGCAGCCTTAATGTAGAACTGGACTCTAACTCACCATCATGTCTTCTTGTCAACTTTGAATTATATCTACAAGAGAAAGAATGATGCATCTGTTGGCAACAAGTTCAGTCAACTCAAACTATCGTCTATCGGATTGCAGTTGCATCTTGTGCTTTGGCACATCCCTCTTAACACTTTGCTTCCTGTTAGAGCCTCTCAGTTTTTGAAGTGAGGTTATATGATTAACTGGTCACTGGTTTTAATCTTTTAACTGGCAGCACATAGCGTAGGAGAGTTTTGAACGACCCAAATTTCCACTTTCTCATGAGCTACTTTGGACACATCTTTGAGAAAAAGGCTTTTCTGCACCGGCAGCACTGGTCAGCGGAGAACTGTAAAAGGTTGGAGCTGCTGAGCAGTCCTTGAATTTGATTCTGTGTTACTGGGTATTTTGAGGAGAACATGACTCGAGGGGAGCATATGTGCAGAGAAAATATAAACAGATGTGACAGATGTAAAACCTGACAGGGACTCATCTCCTAATGCTAAAAAAGAAGACAAACTTAATTTAAGTTTGTGGCACAGTCTGTGTTTACAAAACATTAGTAAAAAGCTTGATTGGCACATGCTTATCAATTCATCCACTTAGTTTTGGTTATGAAAAAACACTGCTTGGGTCTTTACTTGTAAAAACAGACCTAAGTTACATCTGCAGGTGACAGCTTGTCCTGTCTGAGCTTCCACAGGCAACATTCAGACAGCCAAAGTAAACGGAATAGCAGCACCAAACACTATTAATGAAAATGGAAAAGGTCTAGTTAAAACACGTGGTCTAACACAAACAAGGCGCAGAAAGAGCGACTTTGTGGACAGCCGTGTTTGTCTGTGTAATATTAAAGTTGAAAGTCTGCAGAAAAACACACAAGGATAACAGGTTTTATTCAGCTGGATTATTGAAAAATGTACTTTTTCCACAGTCATTGTTGATGCTCTGACTTTGCAGTTTTGGACTGATCGCGCCAGATGTTGTGGATGCAAGGGCTGTATGTTTTTAATCGACAGAGACATTCAACATCCTCTTCCTGATTTCAAAAAACCATAAAACATCTTAAGTAGACACCAGTTGAATCAGTTTTCAGTGCTGACTGTCTCAGGTTATTTAAAGGACTCTCTTATGGAAGTACTCAACATTTTAAAGCTACTGTGAGGAGTTTTTGAGTTACGAAATAGGCCTCCCAGTCTGAAGTATATCAAGTCCAAAGACCTGTTCCCCCAGAAGGAGCTGGTGAAGGAGGATGGCGGCCTTCGGGTGCCATTCCCAGTTCTTCAGGGGGAAGGGGTTGAATATCTTGATCATGTCGATGAAGCCATCATCGCCAATTTCTAACTACCGGCTCTACATCAAGTTCAAGTAAACTTTATTGTGACTTACAAAAGCAAACAGGTCTATCATCATATAGATACACTTTTAAGGGCTTTTAAAATCTGAAATCACTAGTGAGGAGTAGATATCATCTGAAGTAATTAACCCCAAACTGAAGAAACAACCTTTTTTTTTTTTTTACAGTTTCCGTAGCAAAAATGTCAGATTAGTCACAAACTGAGATCCCAACAGAAGCTTTAAGACTACTGTTTTGACTGTTGTTTTCAAGGTCTCTGTTATTGTACAACTGTCCCATTGTAGCTCTGCTTGCTGTCAGAAAGCCACTCAGCCATGGCGGTGCAAGATGGCCACCTCGATGAAATGAGACCCACTCCAGCATGGATTAAAAAGTGTTACTCTAAGTTTGCAAGAGCAAAAACAATTTTTATACTTGAGTGATTATGAAACAGTTTACTTTCAAATTATGTATTTATTTCTAACAAGTCTGCTCTGCTGAATGACACTAACTTCTACGTACTGCACCTTTAAATGACTGAGGATCTGTTTTTGATATCACAGTACATTAGCACGCAGCTTATACAGATATATGTTATATATGTTATGCTGCATTTCAAACATTCCAGTGTCTGTTTGATTTCATGGAAAGCCCTGGCTGATATTGATGTTGTCTTTACACCTGGAGAGAAAAACTAAATGTTTTCTAAGAATGAAAATGTGTATTTTCTAAAATTTGGTGGAACCCTCCAAGAAGCTGATTTTTCTTGTGTCATTTTTAAAGGATGAGCTTCCCAGTCCTGTCTAACAAAGTATCTGCCTCTTGATTTCATTCAGAAACTTTCTGAAGTGAGTCTTGGCTTAACTAAAACTGACACAGAGTAAACTGAGTCTTTCAGTCCGACCATATTTCTTGTTGACTGGGAAAAAATGTATCCGTTGTCAGCAGGCTGTAAAAAACCCTTAGTGCACCACTCCTATGGTCAAGGGGCCAATGACAGGCATCTTGTGTCCAGACTGTGGAGGAGGAGGAGGAAGAGGAGGAGGAAGAGGAGGAGGACAGAACACAGTGTGCGTTGTCAGGACAGGCTTCGTAAAAGTCATCGCATTCTGACCACAAGTGTTATGACCATTTCTGCCGCAAGCTAAATGGATCCACACGGCCCGACAATAGCAGCTGAGGACAGCAGGCAGAGGGAGTGAGTCTACTTGGCATAGATGTGCCAAAGATCCAGTGGCTTTATAGGCATATGTTTAAATATTTTTACCGTCCAGAATATCGGAAACTTTTAAGCATGTGCCAGTAGAAGAAAATGTACAGCATATGGACATTTTTTTTCATCCCTGTGAAAGTAGAGCTGGCGGGGTGTTTTTGTTTTTCACCAAAAATGACTCACTGTGGTCTTCCAAAGGCATTCCTCAGTTTCACTCACTTCCTCAGAGCCCGTTTCTTTTGAGACCGTTAAAATGTGGCTGAATTCTTCAGTTTTTCTTTAATTTTGTTAAATTTATCACTCCGAGTTTTTTCCGTCATTTTATTCCTGTTTACCAACATGTTGATATGACACCCTGCAGTGGGCATCTGCCTCCACTTATTGAATCCTGCCTCAATAAGTGAAGGCGGATATAATGGGGTAAACTATTTAGCTTAAAGTGAAGTGAATCTTTCCAAAAGCAAAAGACATTACAAGTAATTTTATTACTTTATTAAATGAACAAAAGCTCATGGTACTGAAGTCATCCATTATACTCATAAATGCCTTTAGTGTTACAAACTAAACAGTCTCACATACCCAGACAGGCTATCATAGTGCAAGCGCTGGAGAAGTCTGGTTTAACCAAGATTAATTCCACTATAAGGGCATAAAAATACACAGTGGGCTGCATTTCTTACAAAACTCTTGGTGGCTTGTTGCCATGGCTGCAGCAGCAGTGATCCTGCAAAGTAGTAACGAGAGGGAATTAGTTTAAATGGAATATTTGCACGTGAAGGTCGTTCAATCCTGATAAAGAAATAATAGCAGCAAGCATTTATCCAAATATGACTTAAAGGGGGACTTTGGTATTTTTTCCACCTGGACTCTATTTTCCCATGTATTTGTGTGTATTTTTGACTTATAGGGGAAAATATTTTTTTTAATTGGTTCAGTCTTAAGGGAGAGCGGCACAGCCAGCAGCCGCGAAACGAGCTATTACATAGTTTGATTGGGCTATTATGCTATAGCCAAACTGCATCCACTAGAAGTGCTTTATTTATTTCATATCTGACAGGTTCATGTTGTTATTACCAATCCTAACAGCACAGGATTTTAATAACCCTTAGGCCCTCCTGGGTACATCTTTTGTTCTTTCAGATGAGTTTTTTTACTGTCATTCTGGAAAGGAACTGAGGGCTACGGAGCTGCCACTGCAAAAGCGCGATCACGTATGGATTTGAAATATAGAGTGAAACAAATAAAAGGCTCTGATTGGAGGATAGGAGAGTGACTGCTGGAATAAGGGCTCAATAATTCTGTCATGTATGCTGGTGCCAGCCAGAATAAAGGTGATATGTTCGCGATAACCATGTTTGGTACTGAATTTGACCATTTGTGGATGCTCTGTTGAGGACTGAGTGACACCTGTAAAGAGGGAGTTATAATAGTCTACATGGAAAAAGATAAAGGTTTGTTCAAGAAGCTTTTTTTGGCTTTCGTTTCTTTGTTTGGCTATCAACACGGGTTCGATTTCAGCAATTATTCACAGCTGAAAGAGCCGGACCAAGTGACCTGACTACGCTGTTAGCAGATTGGGAGAAGAGCTGCATCTGAAATAGACAGCCAATGGAGGGCTTGAACGTCTAGTCAACGTCCTGCGAGTCAGAATACCGGGCATGTGGAAAGCAGCGCTCGCTCTGTGTTATCTTTGTTCAGCTCTGTGAATTTCAGCCCCGTCTTTGCTACTCATTTGCAAAAGTGACCTCAGTGCCCTGGCTGAACGCCCTGAGCCTTTACCTCTAAGACATAAAATCTCGCCTCCGTTCAGTGCTATGATTAAGTTACGGCTAAAGCTAAGGAGATGACCTTTAAAAAATGCAGCCCTGTAAATGCCAACGAGAAAAGATCAACAAATAAATATAATTTACATGATGTCAACTACCCCGTATATGTTTCACAGTTGTAAAAACAGTATCCCCAGTACTCGAAAGACCCTGATGTGAAAATAACCACATTGGTGTAGTGAGCGAGATTATATTGTGCTCATTTAATCTCAAACTGAACTCAGTGAATGCATAGAGCCCCTGCTACGACTTTCATTGCCTTCCAAGGTTTTATTGTATGCATGTGTTTTTGTAGCGGAAGTAAAATTTAACAAGATGTAGAAGTCAGACCAAAGCAGGGTGAAACTGAGGTGAAGGAAACAGCATATGTCAGTTTTATGAAGGAATATTTAGCCTCTTTCTACGCTCTGTCCATCTCCTGATTAAGTTCTCAGGTTACCAGTGATCCATTGGAACGCTAACTGTAAGCGAAACCGATGACAGCCTGTAATACTGAGTGACAGCACAGGAAGATGGGGCACCCAAGGTTGGGTGGATTTTCACAAGCACTAAATTTATCCGTGGCAGAGCACTGATAGATGCTGCAGAGCATGGGAGAGCACCTGTGTTAGCATCTTTGTTTAAATGGGGTGTGTGAGCGTGAAAACAGGTCAGTGCTTCATCATGCACAAACAGCCATGTTAGTCACAGCCCGGGGTGGGGTGGGGTGGGTGAGCTTGTAATGTTTTTTATTGATGTAGCAGATCACAAACTGGCCTCCACTAACAGCCTCAGCTGCTCTCTATCCTCTGGGCGACTACATGCCCTTGGGTAGGCCTCCTTTGGGTTTGAGAAAGTGCAGCTGTGATGGAAGTTAAAGTGTTTTTCCTCATGCGCCGTGGACTCCCATGTGGATTTCACTCACACACAAACAAATTCATGCAGAGGGACGCATGCACACACACTCTGAGCCTACTCATCCCATGCAAAAGTGGTTAAATCTTTGCCTACCATCTCTGCAGAGCTGAAGAAAAGAAAAGGCTGATAATGCTGATACAGACTTTTTAAATAATAAGAGGACACGTCTCATCTTATCACTGTATCTGTGTTTGATTAACTCAGACTGCTAAGTTTAAAGCGCCGCTAAATGCCTTTCTCAGCAAAGCGTGGCTTGAAATTTCTTGTGTCAGCTACTACAGGACCTGAATCACACCACAACATCTGCTTAATAGTATCTCCGGGGCAAATGTTCCCAGAGTTGCCAACGTGTTGCCATAGTCACCTACACCTCAAGCATAATAAGCACCTCCGTCCCAGACAGCCGGGCTCACTGCTCTATGGCTCTGCAGGCTTATTGAATATCAAACTTGAGAAGCTGTAAAGCAGCAGAGGGCAATCGACAAACAGGATCCAGTTTCTCAGTTTGCAAAATATTTGGGGAGATGCCACAAGAGGTGTCAAGTGGCCTTAGACCCCAATTTAGTCCACTTTCTGGTCATTTATTAGCCGTTATTGGCTGTTGCTGCCAAGCTTTTACCACCTGCTGTCGGTTCATACCGGTCATGAATTTGGCTTAGACTTTAAGCACAACATTTTCCACATCCCACAGGTACTGATTCATCAAAACCTCATACATGGAAACCTTCAGCCCCCCACCAACAATCCCTAGACTGCTCTTAGCTGTAACTCCAACTGACCCAGCTGACGGGCCGAGTGTACAGGCAGCATGCACAGAGAGAGTTCCTCTTTTATGAGACTGCTGCGCTGCATCATATGGGGGAGTCTATTTAGGTCCGGGCTGCTGGCATGGATGCTAAGTAGGGGCTTAAGAACCAAACTTAGTTGAAAGGAGAAGCCCTGCTGGGGAAACTGATCACCAGTGAGAGTAGTGTCGACAGTCCAGTTGCTCAGAGGTGTTTTTTTACAGGGAAGACACAAGAGAAAAGTTTCTGCTATTCATTGAAAGAAAGAGAAAAACGTTCCTGATCTCCCTCTGCATTATAATACACTTAACCGAGGTCTGGATATGCACAAAATGTTCAGAAGCTGCCTCTCAATGTGGTTTTCAACATCCTGCGCTGGCTAACCGAGGGAAAAAACCATGAGTGACTCACAATAGGAAAGTTGAATTATTTCCAAGTTTTGTTTAGCTCATCTCC